AACTTTAACAATATGTAGGTATTACATGCTCCTTAATTGGATATCTGTCGCATCCATTTGAGACATTTACCGCGAAGAACAAAAACAAAAAAGCTTCGGTACATTAAAAATCGCCCCATATCAAAAATATATCGCAATTTTTTACTACAGAATTTTATGTGCTTGTCTTTCATAGCAAACACGTTATCGCTATCTGTCGCCTGTCGTTCCTATAAAGTTGGAATCAAGCCCAAAGAGCTAAGAAGTGTTAAAAACAAACAGTAACCATATGGCAGGCTAAACAATGAGGCTGTAATTGTGTAGTGAGAGCTACTTAGTCATAACATCATATTTCGATGCAATAAGGACAAAGAACTAAGACAATATTTTGCATTTACATCAAATGAGGTGAAATAATTGCCCGAGAATGAGATCTGGTCTTCTACGGACACCTGGACCACCAAACGAAGACGATCAGAAATCACATCGTGAAAAATCGACCGTGATACCGACTTTTCAAGAACATTAGCAATTTCATCAACATCAGTTTACGTTGTGTATTTTCATTTATTTGTAAGATTGTTTGAAATCGTTGTATATATATGTTTATTGATACATCTATATAAATAAAAGCGAATTCGAGACAGTTAAATTATTAAAAAGTGCAAGAAGACATTTAGTTATATTTCGGAAACTTTCGTTGATACGTGCGAATCCCTGCAATCAGAGCAGGGCCTTAAATTAATCACAAATCCCACAACCCAACAATCGATATTTCTGGCATTCGAACTCTTAATTTTACGCCTCGGAAGAGAATAAGCCACAATGCACACAAACATATTGGCTATCTGTACAAGTATAAGGAAAGAAGTAAACAAGTATCGATGATACAACATTTTTTTTATCACTTTTGGTATTGCGTATTTAATGGTGGGTTATGGCCCACCTTGTTTTTTTAAAGAGAATACTTTTACGTCTCTATAAGAAATTACGTGAACTTATAAAATGTCTGCTCTTGCATTATTGCCTTGGCGTTATGGTGTAAGTAAAACTTTCGAGTCTTACGCAACGAAAAATGTAATAATCTTGACAGAAGGAATGCCATTAGCATTAGTGTATACGAGCATGAGTTAAATAAATTTATTAAATATTTGAATTTCCACTTTGTAAAGGTACCATATTAACAACCAGTCCACTGTTACCGGAATAGCTGTAATTTCTACTCACATTATCGGAGAAGGAATACAACAAATAAATACGCAAGCCCCTGCGCGACCGAAGACAAAGTTCTCATTATTTTATTTACTGCGTACATAAGTGTAAAACAACAAAATACTGAGAATCTATTATTTAAGGACGTAAATGCATACATAAACATAAGGTCGCGAATTTCTAAAGTTTTGAAATAACAAAAGCGAAAACACGAGTTTTACTTTTGTGAATCGTAACACGAAAGTTATAAATTTATGATCAAAGAAGAAATCTTCTATCCGAATACAAAATTAAAACGAATTGTTAGTAAAAACTCAATTTGGCTTTCAGGTTAAATGCGGCATTTGAAATAAAATTTTTTTTTAAATTAATTAATTTTGAAGACGGAACAAAACAAACAGCGAAGCGTGCATAAACTGCTAAACAATCATGTTTTTGTTAATTCCTTGTATAGGAATGCTGACAAGGTTACAAGGAGCGAGAGAAAAGAAAGCAAAGTGCAAGTGTATGCAAAGAAATATGATTATTAGCGTATACTTTTTCATAAATTAATATAAATAAAGAAAGAGAAAGAAAGAAAAGATCATTAATAGACTTTGTAGTTTAATTACAAACATCGAAACGCAATAATTATGACGCAAAAGCAAACAAATATATATGTCATTATTCATTCCACAAGTGAAACGAAAAGATCAAACCAAGTAGGGGCAAGTTGTGAGCATTGTTATGCTATGTCGCCTGTAAAAGTGCTTGAGCACCCTTGCCGAACTCTTCAAACTCGATCACCTTTCTTTCGTTCTCTCAAGGCGCCAAAGACTACAATTTAATCATCGAACAATAATGAGGCGAACCATCTGTACTTATGCAGAAGGATTCATCAACTGCAGCTAACATTAGTTGCTGTTAGAATCTGTAGTAATCAGAGTAATTAGGACGAATTGCGTTGTTTTAAAGAGTCTGCAAATATTCCGGCATTTTCCAATTATAATCCCGCGCCACCGCATTTACGAAATATTCATTTACTCGCAAATCAACTGTCATTTAATACCCATCAATAAAGTTCTGCAATGCCGTATAATTTTTTTTTAATGAGCGGTCTATTATTAATCCGCACATAAAACTAAAACGTAATCAAAAATGAGGCTTTTTCATGCGAATGACAGCCAATTATTATCGCTATTGCCTTCATGCGAATGTTGGATTTTATAATGTAATCAAATAATTACGTCTCCACAAAATAAACACACAAACAATCCTATACGGCCTAAAGTGATAAAATAACTTCTTCCCCTAATTACGTATCCAATATATTTGCTATCTCTTTCTACACTGCCATTGAGCAGTTAATAAGCAAGTAATAAATACGTTCACTTGTGAACTGCAAGTCCGCATATTGCATTAAACAGCACATTGAAGGTTTCTGATCATTGCCTAAGGTGTGCGCTGAATCCTGCTGCATCAATGGTAAGGCTTTCCGTACATCATTCCGTCTATATTTTTTTAAAATTTCAAATTTATAAAAAGTTAAATTGGAGCCCCGCACCTAAAAAACGATGTAAATTTGAAGATAGTCTTAACTGAAAGCATTCATGGCGCCACAATGTTCTAGTGTAGGGGAAAAGTTTATTTTTCTAACGGATACCTTATAAATTAATAAAAGTGACAAGAATAAGCCTCATTGGACTACTTACCGCTATCTGAAGAAAAAACTTACTAAAGTGTGTTGTCAGAGCAAACAAATGAATGTCAATAACATTAGAATCGACGAACACATCCTCTCAGTAATTCGGTGCTCTGAAATGCTCTGAATGATTTACGTATATATGAGACTTTTGAAAATCCGACATTATTTACATATGAATCTTAAGTTTACTGATATGTAATTACATGTGTTAAGAACTTTTGTGGTTGGACACAATCCGTCCACTATACCCTTGGGTTTATTATGACTAAATGTTGATTCGTTTACATACTTTAACATTTTATTGCCTATCACTTGTGAATAGCGTAAACAATCATAGCCTTTGTGCGTATGCACGTCATATTTCTACATGTCGCAAGTTATCAAGTTCCAAACAGAGAAATGAATTGGGAATGAAGACTTTCTTCACCTGCCAAAGGGCATAATCGCTCCGCGGGAAAACTTTGCCTATTCGAATTATAAAATGTAAAGTCTCTCAACTTTCCCTTGTAATATATTTTTTAATTAGCTCAAAAAGTAAAACTAATGTTCTTCACAGTTTATTTCTCACTCAGATATGTAAAGAAATTATAATAAAATTTTTTTTCTTCCGTAAACAGACTTTATGGCCTCTGCGCCGCTGATGTTGTTATATTCGCACGTATCGTTATTGACGAATGCTTATTATTGTTAAGTAATTAAATGCTTTTTTTATGGATTGGAAAATTTTTAATCGTTTTTTTTTTATCTCTTATTACTTTTCATATAATAACGCAATCATCAACTTGTACATATGAAGATCTACTTAAATAAAGCAAGTGCTGTCTGTCTGCCGTTATTAATTATCTTCTAATTTAATTTTTAGCACAATGTCTAACGAACGATTGGACCTTGATTGAAGATTTGAAGAGGCATTATGAAATTCTAAGCTCGTAGCTAGACGTGTCCAAGAAATTACCATATCGTCGTTCACAAGAAGTTGTAAAAAGCGACAAGACAAGACATTTTACACCTTAGAACACTTGCAATGCAAAGAACGTTCTCGAAAATCTGCGAGACATCATCTACAAAATATTTCTTACCCAAGACTCAATTTTTGTTTTTTTATAGAAAACTCAATAAGATTTTTGTTGCTCACATATTAACGGGGCGGCGATATCTCTTGCATTGAATGGTTTAGCAAAACTGAACACAATGTCTTTAGATGTAGCGCAAGTAATCAAATTCATTTTGAAAATATATCTATTATCGAATTAAGAACAATTATATGCAACACTTGTGTGTTCATCGCAAGCATAAGTTTCAACAAACATAAACCGATAAAGGAAAAACAAATGAAGAGGACACATCAAAGGATGTATACACTTAAATAAGTCCACTTAAATTTTCATGTGTCGAAAACATGTCATCTCAATAAATGTTATAATAGCCGAAAAACTTGAACAATGCAGAAATTGTCAAGTGACAGGTTATTTAAAATGTTTAACAAATAAAACCCATTCAAACGATATTGCCTCCGAACACTGAAACATTTAAATAAACTAATAATTTATGCATCACATGTAGTTTTATCAAAGCTGAGACTTTAGACAAAGCTGAGAATTTAGAAAAAAAGGAAATATAAAGTTAGCCAAAGTCAACAGACTAATACTTGAATCAACTCTGATAATCTTCTTAAATTAGTGCGTAAGCACCTTACATGATGCTGTATCGAATCTATTTATATATTCACTTGTAATTTTTGACTAAAGTGAACAAATTATTTTTACACCGAACAACGTTTCCTGTACTCAACTGATATATTCGTTTTTTTTTTTACCTTCTCGAAGTAAGCGTTTTTCTCGACAGTCGTTAATGCACTTAAAGCTTTCCACCCGACTTTGTGTGACTTTCGAGGTTTCTTTGGCAGACGACAGACTGACATATCGTTAAAACGACTCGGGACAGTATGGTAAGATCTTTAATGCTTACTTGTGAGTGTTACATAACAATTTGTAAAGTTAATATTGCCCGCTTTTATTGAAAAAAAAAAAAAAATAATTATAAAATACTCAGAAATAAATAAAAACTTTCTTTCGTTTTATCGAAAAATCTGCTTTATTACAACATTTTTTGATTATAGATTTTATGAGAACTAAAACAGGAAAACAAACAAGTATTCAAACAAAAACATTTTAATTCCTCCCGATTTTGGAAAATGTGCCACAACAAATGCAAAAGAAATCACGCTAATAAAGGGTTACGCGAAGAAACTGTTAGCAATTCTCTTCTTCTTCTAGCCGCGCACTGCTCGCATTGCACTGTCGTTTAAGGGGAATAACATACCTTAATCGCACACTTGTGACCGCTTTCCGAGACGTGGCTTAAAAGGCACGGATTTTTTCATCACGCGCGGTACATATAAATGTGAAGCCCTGTAATTATCATCATTGGTAGTTTCGAAATCACGTGCTAAACTATCAGCAACGGCGGCTGCGTCAAACAATTGAAAATCAATACTGCGACCAAGTCGTGGTGTACGCCTAGTAGTAGCAAGTTGCCGTTCATGACGCACTGAAAGTGGAAAGAAAAATTGCGAGACAAAGAGAGATTACAACCCCATTGGATAACACTTAAGCTCTTCAGGTCTTTAACTAAGACTACTAAGGGTATGCTTTCTCCCCTATGATTATCAAATCAAAAGTTTGACATCTAATATGTGTACATCCACGGATGCATATTTGAAGCAGATGTAGATTTAGAAAAAAAGGGCGGGTGTATGAGTGGTGGCACTGGGCTAAACTTGATTAATTTTAAAGAGGTTTATTACCGATTACTCTCCACTTTATCAATGAAATGAAATTCTTAAACCACAGACTCTGAGTAATAATACTTGATTTTTTTCGTGAGATAACTGTCAAACGCCCTCTCCACCTGGGCTTTATCGTTGTGATCGTAAGTTGTCATTTGTATTATATATCTTTTTGCAATAATTTCCTGAATTTAACACACGGAATAAAAAAATTACGATACTTTTTCATGTTATTTGCAATGTTTACAAAATGGAAGCTCTGTCTAAAGGCCACCCAGGCTTCTGATTAAACGGGGAGTGTCCGTATTTTTTTGCTTTTTTTTTCAACTTACATTCCTTAAGCTTCTCCAACAACATCACATAGAGAACCGGTGGCAAATTGTCTACATCGATTTCATTCAATACTTTCCCCATCGGTGCCTGCGATGCCAGCGATGCCGACTGCAATAGCCCATTATCGTTCAATTCTTCAATCAATTCATTAAGCTCTGCAGCCTCTGATAATTTTCCGCCGTCTCCAATACCCAAAAGCTCATATTGTGAACGTTTAAAACGTGGTTCAGCCTTCAGTGCATAGCCAACTTTATTTTGCTGGGGCTTATGTTGATGCGTCGATTGTTTCACGTGGGGTAATCCAAAGCTCTTGGCAAGCTACAAGCGACAATAGAACATACAAACTACATTTATGAAAAATTCAAATGCGATGAACACGCTCTTTGTTGATATTTGTATCGTGCAATGGAAGGATAAGTTTTGGTCAGTATTAAGAAAGTAGTTTCTACTAACTCCCACTGAGATGCGTATCACGTATATTAACAACTTTTCACAGCATTATTCTATGCGTATGCTCTAGATGACGGGATTTCAAGAATCGTTTCAATACATGGGCATCTTTTCTTGCTTGTTTATTCAATAATGAACTTTATTAAATTTAACCGAAAATTTTGCATGTATGTATGTTCTTATGAGGTCATTACCTTAACAGTATAAACAATTATCACCTTTGCAAAGACATTGCTATTCGAAAACTAACGATCAAAAAGTAAAAAAAAAAGGTGAGAGAAAGTCAACTATAAACTGTACAAACAATTTGCATGAAAACCACTACAAAGGAAGTTACACGAAATGCGTAGCAAAATTTCATTACCACTACGGCCAAATGGCTCATAGCAAAATGTTAATGAAAATTAAAACATCACCGGCATTATCTTGTATTTAAAAACTATAATTGACTTCAATACGAATTCACCTCAGTCACTGAAGTGGCACACTTTCAGTGCAAACCAAAACTGTTTTCTTCTAACGATTCGTGCTGCGGCGCTTTATGTAAAAATATTTTTTTCTTAATTGAATTCTTAAATACTTAAATTTGTTTCCTGTAACTTGGAAGGAAACAGAGAAGCAAAGGAATAATATAAAGCATAATGCTATCGACAAGCTAAGCAAAAATGTTTATTGAACGCCCGGTATTTGTACCACAGTAGCAGCCTCTCTTGTAGCGGGCATGCACGATTTGCCCCCAACTACCTATAACTTTGTCCCTAGATATAATTGAAACTACTCCTCGAACAGATTTGCCGGTCAAATTTGAAAATTAAGACATAATCCTAAGCTTCCGTATATCTTGCTAAGTTAAAGTGATTTTCGTCGCTCATATTGCATCCAATTTAGTACAGTGTCGGCTAAGCCTGGCATATATAGTTAAAAGTTAATAACACACAATTAAGAAATGACAATAAAAATAACGTAGCGCGGTGGTACACTAACTTTTATTATCGTCATCGCGCAAAAAGCAGAAACACGCGTCACAGTCCTTTTACTATATCGATCTGAAGGCAATGTAGGCACCATATTTGTCCTCCACCGGCCTGCTTCCATTCTCATTATAATTTAGATAGAAGAAATGAAACTTCATACCAATCGTCTAAGTCGATGTCCCAAAATCAGGTTTTAAAAAGACCGCACACACACAAGCAAGAAAAAAGAACTTTCTTTCCTTATTTATTATTGCTATTAAAAATTGCTAAGTAGCATGAACTGTGCCCCCCATGACTAAAGGCTCCGTTTGATATTATTTTCGTATTAAAAACATATTTTCTGAAAAGCTGATTAAAAGAGGGCAACTTTTTAAAAATTCAAAAAACGAAAAATAATAATCAAGTTTTATGGAATTGGTCAAGACCCATATAGGTAATAATCCAACACTTAGTTTACTTCCTCTCGCTTGCTTATTTGCTCTCTTTATTTTTTTATTTTTTTATTTTTTTTTTTTTTGGTTACTACACCCTCTTCGCTATTTCTATCTAACTGATCACAATTATTTGCCCTGGCCTTCACATCGTTAATTTTTACTTTTTTTTAACTCTGATCCCTCTATTTATGGACAACTTTCTGTAGTATTTAGTATCCTTTAGAATTTTTGTAGGTTCTCAGTCGTTTGTTAGCAGATCCGTATATAAACATGTATTTCTGATGTGAAAAAATCAACAGCAATTTTTAAAAATACAAGATAAAGGAATTCATTTGCAATAAAATGCTTTTCGATGCTTCTTTTCGTAATAATAAATTCATTTACCTACCTGACGGTGATGTTCACTCCGTTTTGATTCTGAAGTGCAAGCAGCATAACTGCAAAATATTACTAAGACAAAGATTGAAAAGCTTAAACCACTCATAGCTAACAGAATTTTTAATGGAGTTCTTTATATCGAATGTCTTTGCTTTAATATTTTTTAATGTTTCGTTTATAATAAAAAATACGAAACTCTTTAGCAATTTTTTTTTTTTTACTTAGATATCTTCCGACTAATGGTGGAAAAATCTTGAGAGCAACTGATAACAAATCCTTAGAAGAATAGAATTTTTATAGGTTATCGTGGATAATAAAAAGACGAATATGTAAACATTTCTTTAATCCTTAAGTAAAATTAATGACATAAAACAGTCGTTTCAACTACTGGTAATTGTGCTGAGATTAATTTCTTAAAATTAAAAAAAATCGAGAAAGCATGTGCACGTAGTCGAAGCGAATGACAGCCGTGTGTTAAAACAAGATAAATGATAAGATGCGATCCATTTTAACCTGAGCAACACAAGACATTATTTTCTAAAGAATGACGAAACCTTGCTGCTACACCCAGCAGGACAACATACAATGCTCACCGGCATTGTTAATAAGAAGTGTAGTCATGATTGTTGACTTAAATGCCAGTTTGTGTGTGCGAATGAAACGACATTCGATGTGTTTTCTTTATTATACGTCCTCATCGAAAAAAGCTTCTGACAGAGCTGATGCGAATGCCTCACGAGCTAATCGCAAACCTTTACTCCATCTCTCTTGCCTTTTCCTACATGCAATTTAAACGATCTGGTGGGTCCCCTGGTGCTGTTTAACGCCACTTTCAAAAACAACAAATCAATCAATCTTTGTTAAATCTGGCAAATATAAGACGTGCTGATAATGCTGATGGGGGTATGGGGGTGTATGTATATAGAAACATGCCATTCATTATAAATGCGTAGATGTATCAATTGTTTGATTGTAAATGACAGCCAGTTTCTGTTGTTTATTTACGCAGGTTAATAAGTATTGCGTATGAATTGTAGCAAGAATCTATTTACATACACACGTTATAATTTGGCCCCAATGCGCCTAAGGTAGAGGATTAAGCGTACAGTACGCGCGTAATTGCTGCTTACATGCACACACATTTGCGTATATTACTCTTTTATCTACACTTGAAGAGTAGGCAACCTCGAGAAGATAAAACGTAAATTTAAAAAACTGGCAAGCCGATGGCTGGATCCAAAGTAGGCTAAACACTGTAGTTTAGAACTGTGAGATCTATCGGCGCCCATACATTTGGCAAAATATTTGACAGTTAAGGAATATAATCTTTTTGCTTGATTTGAAGATGAGAGTATCGAACCTGAAAATTGCACATCTAGGTGTTACTGTATTACGTGGCTTACGCTCATGTATCATTCAAAATGTATTTGCCTTCAGTTAAATAATTGAACTAGTAAGAAATCCTTGCACTTGTATGCCACTATAGTTCCATGTTTGGTTTCAAAGTCATCTAAATTCTTTCTTCCTATCGTTATATAGGAAGAGAAGGAAATTTAATATCTGGTCCGCATTTAATCTCAAAATCGGTGGCGAAGGCACATCAGTCCTATTGCAATACCACAAAATGCCTAACACAAATAACAATTTGAGACTTCGTAAGCCTAATAGATGAATAGATGGTCAAAGGGACTGATGAATATATTTTCGACCAGTGAGATGAAACAACACCCGAAGATGGGCACCTAACGCTTGCGCATACTCATTTATAAAAACTCTCCCTCCTAGTATCAGTGATGTAAAAATAAAAAAATAATTTAATGGCTAAGATAAAAATTTTCTACGCCTGAAGGATTATTTGCATTAATATTTTTCTTTCTTAATTAAATATAAACACAAAGTTTAGATGGAGTGGAAACATTTCATAAGAGTTGCATGAATTATTCATTTGTTTCCACTAAATCGCTTTTTGGGCTGAAATCCCAAACAACGCTAAAATTTAATTGCCATATAAGAGCAAGCGCCCACAATCGTTTTGATTTAAAAAATAATTAAACTTATTTTCATTGCATAAATTAACATCTTTAACAATTACATATTGAAAGTCTGTCTTTAGTACAACTATTATTGAAACTTATAATATCTACGTTATTATTATTATTAAACTTTTAAGCGGAGCAAAGTTGCGTCTTCTGTTGCATCAAATGTTGCAATCCACGCAATTTTTTTAAATATTAGTCATACAAGGAATTAAAGTGCATTTTACTCGACGGACTTATCAATTAAATTGCATTGAAACATCGATGTTCTTTAAATTGCAGTTACAACGCTCTCGTACTGAACTTTTTAGCAGAACTTAAGAGCAAAAATCTTCGTTGTACAATTGCGTGCATGATTAGCTGAAATTAGTTTAAAGTAGAGGAAAGAAAATAAACCGGAGCCTGAAACCAATAAAGCGTAAGTTACGACTATGCTTGACGACACGGATATGTTGTGATTAAAACCAAAAAAAGAAAATATGAAGATTTGGATAAAGTTGGTGGGAAGATTTTGCCACATTTGTCACATTACCAAAATAAATCATTATTACCAAAATTGTTATATTAATAATGCTGACGCTTAAAGCTGCGTTCACTCAAACGTGTGTGTGAGCGGAAAAGTAAAGTCAAAGAAGGAAATTGCAACTACTAGTGGCAGTGGTTGATGGAACGTATGCTCAAAAATATTACAAACAACTGGAGGCAGCGATAACAACAACGACAAACGCTGCAAATTGATTTAAACTAATTATGAATGTTACCTTCGATGGAAATTACCAGCAACAGAAATAACAAGAATAACAAATTAAGTTAAGAGAACACTTTATAAATTCTTAAAGCAATGATGAATGCGTAGACGCATCAGCAAAGTAAGCATTTAGTCATAATTATAACCAAATTATTTGAAAGTCATAATTAATTATATAATTACACGGTAGTGCATAAGAGGCAATGAAGTCGCTCTCAGACTGGCCTAAAATTACAATACATAATGCATCAAATATTATTTCCACTACATCGCCAGCGACCTTAGACGAGTTAAACACTGCCAAAGAACAAACACAAGATAAATTTGCATATGTTACCACTAATCAGTATGCAACTGTAACCACCTTAGCCGTGGCAGCAAAAAAATCTTTACAGTTATCCCCTTCGCCGTCTGCTTTGACTGCTTTACGATCAAACGACTTCGAGGATTTAGTAGACGTTCCCACTAGCAGTCCGCTAAAGTCAAAATCTGCATTACCAGCATTGTCGGCATCATCGCAGTCTCCATTACCATCTTTTCAACGACTACAAAATTCGACAAGCATCACTAATGATACTTTAAAAACAATAACATCAACACAAGCATTTACAGCAAAATCTTCGAATTATGACTACAGCTACGATTACAGTTACAGCAACGCCTTAGACGAAGTGGACATTTCTACTTCATTTAACTTTCTTCATACAAACACTAGCGGCTATTTTAATATCGTAAATACAAACAACACCGCCAACCTTGAAAACATTACGTCTACCCTATTCTCTACGACTGTGCTACCCCCACCTGCAATTGGTCTTGGGAACGATAATTGGATGGACCTCTTGATTGTCATTGTCAAAGGTTTCATATTCTTTTCCATTATACTAGCTGCCGTGTTGGGTAACGCTTTAGTAATTATATCCGTGCAACGCAATCGAAAATTACGGTAAGTGGAAACGTTAAATAAAATTCAATTTTTTCTTTTTCTACTTTCAATTATATAAAATACAAAATACATTACACAATAAAAGCATATTACATTACAATAACAATTAAAACGGGAAGCTTCGTTTCTCCAAGCTCGTAGTTAAAATAGCTTTCAGTAGATTACACGGGTCACTTTATTAATCTCAACGCACGTTACTAAACTGAACTCGACTAGCGAGCTGATGTTCTGTCTTGCAATTTCCTATCGTGTTAGTAGATATTCCGGTCTTCGGTAATTCGCGCTTCAAAAGAGGATTGGAATTGAAATAAAAGGAAAGAGCTTTCGGTTAAACACTGACAAACTCACTGACAAGAAGAAAGTGCCGGGCTTTATAAATCTACCATCTTTTCTTCTTCCGTAATTACAAAAGCTTATTAACAATGTTTCAATGTCAGATTTTTCTCAGGGAAGAGATCTCAGGTGTTTCATGGAGAGGAGAAGTTTACAACCATTACTTTTTGCAGAAATCGGCAAATGTTAACTTTAGGGACAATATTTTTTAATGGACTCAAGAACCTGAAGAGAAATTCGACAACTCTTTCCTCACTTGCTCCTTACTGACTTATTAGCAGCAAAGAGAGCTTCGAAAATTCGACATATACCGAATTAATTTGTACATGCAAGTGCCTGTTAACTCACTCTGAAAAGGAATTAGAAATTTCGGCTATTACGTGTTGACACTGAATATATGGGGAATGAGAGCTCGGTCATTTTCGATAGTAAATAGCCTTAACAGTTGAATTCTAGTTGATCTTCGCACGATTAATCGATGAAAATGAAAAATTAATGAATAATTCGCTTATTAAAGAGTTAACAAACTGTAAATCAGAATAATTTAGACAAACACACATAAACAGGTACAGTTTTTATATTGGGAATCAAGAGTATAAATATGATTCATGTACGCGTAGTCTTTGATGCACATACCGTAGGCTGTATAGCTTATGTTCTTTTTTTTATTCTTCATTTGTTTTTTCTATTCAGCGTTATAACAAATTACTTTGTTGTTTCACTGGCCATGGCGGATATGCTGGTCGCGTTATGCGCCATGACATTCAACGCATCCGTAGAGTTATCTGGCGGCAAATGGATGTTCGGACCATTCATGTGTAATGTGTACAATAGTCTTGATGTTTACTTTTCTACAGCGAGCATTTTGCATTTGTGTTGCATTTCAGTGGACAGGTAAGATGTCAGTACACATAAATATCCCAAAACGTTGCTAACGTAATGACCAGCATTACACAGTACAGATAAATACACACATTGTCCATTCACCGAATACACCGATTTACCGTAACTTATGTCAATATTATAACTATAAGCATGTACGAACATGCTGCTAAACTGATGCTTGTTACCAGCTTGTTTTCTTTCTATTATTCGTAGTATGGAAATATATATGTAGACAAATAAAATATATTTGTATACATAAATTTTGCATCACCGTTTATGGTACGATTTTGATTTGTTTTCTTTGCCAGAGTATATAAATTATATTTTTAACGTGAATATTAGTACTAAACTATTAAAATAATTATGGGATCAGATAAAACCAACATTGATTTGCTATTCTTCACGGTGGTGCAATTTAACTGCTTATGGATTTTGGATTTACTGTAAAAAGTTTTAATAAACTTTTCCTTTTGCATGCATGTGCGTTCGCAGGTATTACGCCATTGTCCGGCCGCTAGAATATCCATTGTATATGACTCATAAGACTGTATGCTTTATGTTGGCGAATGTTTGGTTCCTGCCCGCCTTAATCTCATTTACACCAATATTCTTGGGTTGGTATACGACTGTCGAACATTTAAAGGAAATCTCTTTGCATCCTGATCAATGTTCTTTTGTGGTCAATAAGGCTTACGCTCTGATATCGAGCTCTGTTAGTTTCTGGATACCGGGTATTGTAATGGTCGTGATGTATTGGCGCATTTACAAGTAAGCTACAGTAGTACTTACGAATTCTTTGAAAACATATAGAGAAATTCATTGCTCTCACAGAGAAGCAGTACGCCAGCGAAAGGCTCTCAGTCGCACCAGTTCAAATATTTTGTTAAATAGCGTTCAAATGGGTCCGACGCCACAACCAACAAATGTTAATTATCTACATCCTAATGATTGTGAATTGAATTTGACAATAGGGAGAGAGGAGACTCATAGCGCGATAAGCAATTACGAAGTAAGATTATTTTTCTGTTAGAAGAAATGCATTCAATATTTTTTCTACCAATAAATGCGAAACGCGAACATAGGATATTCTGCCTCAAACTGATGATGATGACAAGGATGAATATGATGAACTGCGCGTTCCTTCGCCGCCACCTCGTAGATTAAGTCGCAGCAGCATTGATTTACGCGATCTTGAACAAGAACGTTACGAAAAGGTTACTCATACTGACAGTGCACCATCCATGATGACTTTACATTACGCTGCACAACAATCGCAGCAGCAGCAGCAGCAACAACAGTTGTTACGAATTCCTGGTAAAGAATCATCTACCACCACAGTTAGTCCGCAAATTTGGTCAGATGCCTTGGATAACTTACCTCCATTAATCACAATGTCGGATGGTGTAAACTCAAAGGTCTTCAAGTTAACATCCTCACCGAGCAGTTCAGTCACAAACTCACCATCGAGACAGGGTATTATGCAAACATTAAACGGTTGTGATATAAAACAACACCACATATTTTGTGCTAGCAGTGATGATAGTGAAACCAACGATTACTTTTACGACAGTGTAAGCAAAGTGAACCAGGCACCGGCAACATTTCTGCCCATAGCCGAGGATAACAGGGAATTAAAACGACTCATCGAAGATAACTATTTATTTTACAAAAGGCAAACGTTAAGCAGCACGATGAGCGTACCTTCCAATCAGATGGCCAATGGTCGAATCGCCGCCCTAAGTGAAACAGACTTCGTAAGCTTGAAAAATGGCAAAAATGATTCAATAAAGAAAACAATCGCATTGAGCGATTCTGAATTTCTAAAAGCCTGCAATGAACTGAAAGTCAAGAAAAAGCAACTGCAGATTTTAAAGCAATGTTCAGTTAAGGCAGAAAAGAGCTTTAACCTGAAAACCTTGCTAGCGAGAACCAAACGTTCCAGTGCAGAATGTTTTTCTTTGGAGAAAAAACGCAACCAGGCGAACTCAGAGGAAATACGTAGCAGTCGTATGCAATTATTCACTCGTGTACGCAATCGCAAGTTGTCTCAAAGTTACAATGGACACTTGCGTGAACGCAAAGTTGAAATCAGTTGTCGAAAGCAAAGTGATAACGATTCCGAAATATACCTACCGCCTTCCTTCAGCGAGAGTCAAGCATCCAGCAGTCGTTACAATACGCCTGACATATTAATGGATATCAATATTGCAAACGAATTATCCGAAACAATACCCAGGGATGCTAAAATTCTATCTCTACCATCGCCATATCATAACGGTACAGTTCACTTAATAGATTTAGACGCTAATACTATAGAAGAGGTCGGCGCAGATGACATATTGTTTGTGAAAAATGACTCTCCCTTCGTTCCTGCCACACCTCCACCCTCCTTATCACCATGTTCTCTAATTGACACCTCAATTCCCGAAATTTTAAAAGCAGAACCATTAGCTCCCATTCAAAATTCAGAGGTTAAGGGTAAACTAAACGCTGTCGCTTCCAATTCAGAATTGGCTGAAATATTTCGTTCATTAAGTTTTCCTATAAGCGCAGAACAAATATCACAACGCAGCGAGAAGTCATCGAAGTACGACGTATCAGTGAACAACCATAAAGTGGCTACAAAACAGCGCATGAGCACTTTAAGTGATCAAATTCTGATAAATAAAAATAGTTCCAACTTCTTAATGTCTCCCCCTATAACACCAAATTTCAATTCGACCATTAATCTGCCCACCAACAAATCACCCGGAATTCCACAAATCCATGCGTCGCAAAGCAATACCGTGAATATATATTTTCTCTCACCGCCGGCTGGTGTTAGTATAGCAAAGACACCAATTTGTTCCAATACTTTGTTCAACAATCAATTCGTCAGTGATGCCTCGGCCACGCTAGATGTTGTAACCGCATTAACTATACCCCAGCAACAGCAAACATTAACAAAAAAAAACATTTCTCCTAAACCGGAAATCATATTAGACTCTACTTTATCACCCACATCATTGCAAAGCGCTTGTGCGGGTACCGGTAGTTTTATGGTGGGAGAAGATAAGGACTTTTCAGCACCGTCACCGTTCAAAAGATATGATAGTGTACCAGAAGCCATAGTAACTACCAATCTCTCTGCAAGCAGAAAACGTACATCTTTGCTCGCTGGTTACGAAGGTATACAAACAGTACAAAAACGTCATGCGTCTGTGGTTACTTACGATGTAAACGTTATCAATTTTTCTCAAGATAATAATGGCGACAGCCACAATTACATACCGATGGGACGTGTATCCACCAGTTCAGCAAGTAAGTAGAGACTACAGCGTCTTTATCTATACATTCGATATCTTAAAAGTCATTTAAAAGGTTGACAGTAACAATTACTAATGCTTTAAGTTAAGTTGTTGTTTGTGCGGATTACAAATGCATATATATTATGCCCATGTATGTACTCATCCATTAAGAAACATTATTAAAGTGGATAAGGATATGAAAAAGGCATTAAATGCTTATTGTATGGATTGTAAACTAAAGCTATTTTTCTGGCTATGGGAGTGTGTGTTTTTTTGTATGTATAGTGAATGCACGTGTATGCTAAATTAGCTCTTGTAAAATAGTTCTTGTTATGGTTTATGTATCGATTAACTTCCGAGAAAGCATAGGATAGCCTAACAAAGGGTGAAACTAAGCCCACTTATCTAAAGTTTCATATGTAATCATTACGGCACACAATTCAGAGTCCAATTTACAAAAGTCCAACCATATGTCTGAGTCTGGTATTCGGCATTAGATTTCATTCCACAATTTTGTGTTCAAGATTAGTTTCGAAAAGAGAAGAAAGAAGAAGTGCAATTACATCTTACAAACACTTTAATATCGCAAGTTTTTTTTTTGGTCAAGATCGGGTCATGCCTTTTATATTTATATATACTGTGGTGGTGCAGTTCAAACCAAATATTAATAACTGCAAGTAAAATGCGAATAAATTTCAACATAAACTTGAATATTTCATTGAATCGAATCATATAATGACTATTTATCCTAACGTTATATGAAATGCATGCCAAATCTCCTACCTGTGAAATGTTTTCAGATAATCGACCATTCATGTATATCGTATGCAATCGATTTTTTTTTTTTTTTTGTTTCGAAACCTTTGTGTAAATATTTTGTCCTAATTAATTTCTTTGTACATATATGCATATTTTTTCCAATCACCATGAATAATTTGAATCAAAATAAAAACCGAATATCCACGACATATAAATAATAAACGCTCGTCCTTGCAACTCCGCGCCATTAACTCGTAAATATCTAAAAAAAACAAAAAAAAAAAAAAATGCCTAAATTAAACCTACAAATGTCAAATGTTAGAATTCGATCCAGACTTTTCAAATAAATCATCGTTGAAAAGACGTGGAGGCATTTGTATATTTGTCGATGAGGAAGAAATTGAGCAAATGATTGAGCAGAATACGGCTGCTGGGCAAGGTAACAAAACAATAACATTCAGTGCCAACACATCGTTCAAAGGTAAAACGAAAGCGAACAAGTGCTGCTATTGTGGTTCTGATTTGCAAATGCAAATTCGTAATGAAGGCATCAACAACAACGAAAGCAGTAGCAAAGGAGGAGAACGTGACAAGCAAATGGATAGGGAACATCGCCAGCAATCAAAGTTAAAGATTTTTCATAGCAGTCGTTGGCTAAGCAAAAACCGGAAGCAAAGCTTCACTGGATGTAAATGTGGTGCTGCTACCGGTGAGTTTTCTTTGTTTGCTCGAAGAGATTTAGTTAGACGACATGTCACATGCTTGCCACATAGTTACATACATACTAGCATATGCAAATACTCTCACACAAATACCTATATCGAATATATTCACATCAATAACTTTTTAGAATGCAGTTGCAGAGCAATCATGAAAAATCAAAAACAAATAGTCGATAGTATAGCAAGAAGATGCAATTTAATAAGAGAAATATATTGATGGACTTGAAAATTTCCCAGCATTCTTGTCAAAAGCAAAAAGGTTTACCGTTGTTTACTAATGCACCAAGAAATAGGAATAAGTAATTTCTACAAAAAAATTGGAAAAATGTTTCGCAAAAATTTTACATTTTTTATTCTTTTCTTTTCTTTTATAAATAAAAACTACTTAAGTGTGAAATCCATTGCATTTTTCTAACAGACTAATATTTTACTTCTCGCTATCTTCACATTCCTAAGGAAAGTGTTTCTTTCTTTCGTAAAAACTTGTGCTTAGAAATGAATAAACAAGCATAACACCGAGCGAGAGAGACAGAAAGGAAAAAGCCTGCCTGCTCTTGAAAACCGAGATATAATGTTTTGTTAGCCACGTCCGTAGCGTAATATAAATAATTTTTTTGCCTCTTCTTCGACGTAAATCCTTAAATTTTGAGCGCAATACTGTTTACTAATTCTCTTCACCCAGTATACGTTTAAGCTTTTAATTTAATCGTTCCGTAATTTTGAAGACGTGCCTCACAAAAAAGTGCACATGTAAGAGCTACGGGCTACTCAAGTGAAGCACAATTATTTAAATATGTGCAGCATATAATCCCCATCTATACACAATTACTTATCCGATATATGTCCACATATTCAATTTTAATACAACTTTCTGTTTTTTTTTTCATGTCACTTCATTAAACGTATTGTACACGTCCTGGAAAACTTATATACTTTTATATGCCTTACAAAAGCACTTGTGCATGTATGCTTATGATAATGAACATTAGCTGCCGGGAAAGAAACGCTTGTACACACACAATATAGATGCATGTTACAAAAATACCGTTTTATAGATGATTTTCATTCTCTCTCTTATTTAATATTGTTTCATCAAATTAACAATTGCTTTTAAACTCACATTCAACTATTCCCCTCCTTTATTTTTGTTCATAAAACAAAATCAAGTTCCATGCATTTGTTTGCTATTATCAGTTCTTTCCTCTGCAGTTACGCTTTCCAGTACAAAGTCCCCTGAAACATTGAAAAAATGCTTTCAAATATTTAGTGCTGGTGTGTGAGTAGTTTTACTTTTCCAATTACTTTTCAATTACTCATCGCCCCAAACCACTTGCTTGCAAATACTTTTAAACCAATCTCAAATTTTACCGGTTGTACTGATTTCGTAACTTTCTCGATTTTGTTTACGCTAAACGCGGTGGCACATAACAATAATATATATACTTTTTGTATTTTTCTGAATATATTTCGTTCTCCAAAAGGGAGTAAGAATCGCTTTAGAACTTTATCATCTAAAGAGTTCTTCCTTTATCAGAAAAAAAAAAAAGCGTAGAGCTTCTGTTAAACTGTAAACTATAACAATTTCCCTTTAAATTCCCTGCTTTTATACCATATAAATAATTTGAAACGAATAAAATGTAAGTTGAAGTAGAAATTACCAAAATATCTCTTACCTGATATTAATTGCGATGCGAGGCGTAAATCCCTTTTACCCCTTCTGCCTTTTTCAAAGAAACTTAGTTCGACTTGTTTTATTTCTTTTGCACGACTTAAAAAGGGTCTGCCTGATGCTACAACTTTAAAAAAATCTTCATAGGGTTCTACAACTGACATACTGATTACTCATTTTTATACACCACAGTCAAAGCAGCTGAGGTTACGGCTTCCACTTATATTCACATTCTTGACATTCGTCTTAATTAAAACTCATATTTTTTAAAAACTTAAAAACACCACACATCGGTAAAAATGGCCACTAAATGCCTTACACTCACAATTCCTTATTTGTTTTTGTGAGAAAATGCCGACAATTACACTCGCGAAGTTTCGTTGGAAGCCATTATATTTTCATCCTAAAACCGTAAAAATCTTTTTGCTATATAAAAGCTTAGTTTTCATAAGAACGGCGTTATATGAGAGAGGGATTCGAAAAATACCGAAACAGTATAACTCAACGATTTTTTTCCGAAAATTTTTCTGAACAAGGTGTTATTAGGAGAACCGTAACAAATATGGTCCGCCCCAAACGGCAAATATCTCTTAGAAACCTATACGACAGTGCATGGACAGACAAACAAGCAAGGGGGTATACGGGAAATTGTTCTGAACCGATCGGTATAATAGAAGGTGGCTTTATTTCAAGTCCCACCATCCAGTGTGCTTCAGCACAACTAGCGCAGGAAGCGTCATATTGTTGCGTAAAAACAATATGACGTAGTCTCCTTTCAGAAACTTTCTCTTTGCATTCATCGGCCACCTTTCCTGGGCTTTAACTTACGTATCCTCAAGTTATATTTTTTAATTCGTTTTTACAGATATAGATGGCTTTGCTTTCCGAATGGGTCTTTCACTTTAACGCTGAAGTTGCTTTGCCGATTTTCATTAATTTACTTAACACTGTGTAGCACACATCGAGTCAACAGGCAACAATGCCTGTTTTTCGCAATTTCAATTTTATACGAATATTCTTTAGAAAGAATTTCACCAATTCGCGAAAGCTTTTTTTAAAACGTGATTTAGCAAATAACTATATTTCACAACTAAAACGTTCGCAAACAGTGCTGCTAAGTATCAAATTTTTACATTCGGAATGGCGATTCTTGTATTCTTCTTTTGCTCTGAAAGCGTATGACTTGTAGGAAAGAAATGCTTTTTATATTTTACATCATTCGTAAAACCGTTTCCAAATCGATTAAACTTCATGCGTGCGTCTGTCTCTCTGGTGTCTGTGAATGTATTCTTGTCTTCAAAGAGTAACTCGAAAATTTTGAGATATATTGATGAAATTGGAGGCATTGAAGAAGAACATTGTTGGAAATGTTGGATTGCTATCACTGCCGTTGCACATGTAACGACATATTGCAAAAATATTTTTTTAAATGAAGAAAATTGCCATCTTTCTTGCAATATTTCTCAGCAAAAATCGATAGAAAATTACACTTTGACATACTAAATTAACATGAATAGAGTGGATCCGCTTTTTAAAACTTTTGGGATGTCATCCAATATAAAATGGGAAAAATAAGCCTTCATATGGCAACCAAATTTAACTTTCTCTGCTTTATGGTGAAAACATGTCCAAAATAGTGACTTGACACATGCTGCACAAGCTGCGATACATTATGGAATATGTATAAATTAAATTTTCTGAATTTTTGAATGTACCTCCTTATCCTTGCAAATCCATCCACATTTAAAACCATATTCATATTCTTATTCAAATAACTTATCACAATGTGAATGTATTTCATTTTACAATTTTTATGTAATTAATTTTTAATGGAAATGCCTTGCTTTTTCACTCCTGCATAAATTCGTGAATCTGTTCCTATCCGCAAGCACACGTCTATGTGTTTGGCATAAAAATATCAAATAATTATTCAAAGCATTTTTAAGAACTCGCAATCAATTTAGCACCGTTTCATATTTGTATTTGTAAATACAAAGCAAAAGAAGAAGAACATAAAATAACCGTTGTTAGCGGAACGATATGTCTATGAGCGAATATTGTATAGTATCTCAAAACACATTTGATTTCGAAATTTTTTTAGGTGGCTCAATACGACCCAACAAGGGCTGGAAAGCTGAACATAAAGCCGCTCGTACTTTGGGCATTATAATGGGCGTATTTCTTCTATGTTGGCTGCCGTTTTTTCTTTGGTAAGTGTAGAGACGTTTATAAATGTAATCTATTTTATTCAGCTTAGGGTAGCTTGCATCATCTATCATTATCTACCAACGTTACTAGTAGCAGTAAGTCGAAAAGCCTTTTAAGAGACAAGTTCACGTTTACAGACTTCATCAACGAAAAAGATCTATGTATATATATGTATATCCTCCTTTCATACGTCATCAGAGTCGGGTTAGAAAAAAGTCTTCTTTTATATGATAAAAAAGATTCGAAAAAATGTCGCATAATATGGTATGGATAAGGCACAGTACGAATTAACCGTGTTAAGCGGGGGGATGTCTGCACATGATATTTGTCATAAGACCGTATGCCCATCTAATGAAACTGTGTGTATAAAAATTTTCCCCTTTCACAGGTACGTGATTACGTCATTGTGCGGACCGGCTTGTCCTTGCCCGGATGTTGTTGTCGCGGTACTCTTTTGGATTGGTTACTTTAATTCCACTTTAAATCCGCTCATTTATGCTCATTTCAATCGGGATTTTCGTGACGCTTTCCGCAATACCTTGGAATGTGTATTACCCTGGTTGGAAAAACGCAACCCCTACAATGCGTACTATGTTTAGCATAAGTATTCAAGTAAAAACATTAAATTTCTAGTGAATATTAATTAAAGAATAACGAGAAAACGACGGCAACTAAACCTGTGTATGATATGAACGGACGACGCGTTTATTTATGTGAAAATCTGTATTATTTAAGCTATTTATGTGATAAGTATAAAAAGTGGTAAGAGAAAAATTTGTATAAAATCATTTAAGAAATAAGAAAAACGATCTAAAAGTAAATTAAGTGTACGGTGGAATGGGCGACCTAAATTATTAAATGGAAAAAAGGAAACTAGTTTTTTAAAGCAGTTAAACTTTTCGGTTTTTGGTATAGGTTTAAACACTTTATTGACCTTGACATTTTTTTGTTTGATTTCAAATAACACTAATCCTGTAGTAAAGGCTTATATTGTAAGACTTGCAATAATAATAAGTAATAATATAATTATATAGCAATAATTAATTATAATAATAAAGAAAATAGTATTCGAGCATTAGTAGTTTACATCATCGCGTAGCCAATATTTTCGTCTTTGCCAAAACAGCGGGCGTGGGCTTCATTAGCGTCGACTCATCCCTTCGCTAACATATATTTTGTAATTATGCGGCAAAGCAAAATAGGAAAAAATGCAAACAAATATCAAAAATAAAATCCTGCCTTCTATTCGCAAAGACACGAAAGCTTATTGCATATGCAATGCAGTGTGTGTGTGTGTGTGTGTGTGTGTGAGGGTGTGTGTGTATAGCTGGAAGACACAAAAGTGCAGCGCTTATATTTTACAAAATTGTGCATCTTAAAGTTCCTTTAACATCTATCCGGACAACGTACTCTCAACTCTATATCAAGGGTACACCATCACCAGGAATAGCTACACATGCCACTTCCCAGAATACAACACATTTGAAATCAGAGAGATACACAGCAAAGTCAGGAGCAATTCGGTAAAATATTCGATAATTATCTTAAAGTGATCTTAAAATTGAATCAAACCCGTTTTTACAAAAACTTAGCTCGTCGAATAATACCGTCACTGCAAGCTATATATACTGTATTATCGTTGCCACAACACAAACAATTTACACAACTCCCAAGATCAATTTCACCAAGCGCTTTTGGTTTCTCTTCATCCAAGTCCGTCCATCCCTTAACTTTATTATCATAACCTCCGGAATATAAAAATTTTTCATCGCCACATAAGGCATTAACGATCATTTCGTGGCAGTCCTTGAAAATGCAAAGATGGCGCCATTTATATCGAGTTAAGATTTATGGAGGTATTTGTACTTACCGGCAGTTGCCAGGCAATAGAAAATCTTTCGGCCAAGAGATTTTTAACTAATGTCAAACCCTTTCCCGTTCGATCTGGATAGGCAAGATACTTGTGTCGATCGGTTAACACAGGACCGAGCAAACACAACGGTGATTTTCCATCCAACACTGCTCGTGTTACATATTTACCAGATTTACCAGGAAGCAATTCTGAAACGACAACATCCCAATCTCTAACGGTATAAATCCAACCCTTTTCAGCGGCCAAAGATTTCACTTCTTCCACTAAATTATACTTCAGAAGCATTTTATCGTCTTGCCAATTAGTTACAAGACCTTTTTCATCCCCAATGTAAAGAGTATCACCTTCGCAGCACATGGCTTCTATTGCGTCGTCGCAGAGCAAGAGCTCTTCAACCTTATCATAAGGAGGTTGCATAAATTTTACCGAACCATCACAGCTGCTCGAGTAAAGTTTGCCGGAACTATTAACTGTCAAAGCATAAAGGTAAGCTTCGTGGGCATCAACCGATCGAATTAGATTTAGATCATTATCCCAAATCTTAGAAAATATATATATATATATGTAATATACATAAAAAATTAACAAATAAAAAATTGAATGCAGGTTTAAAGCTACATATTTCACAGAGGGTTGATTTGAATACTTTAAATGCAATTGAAAGTTAACAGACAACAATAGCAGACAATAGGAATAAATCGCAACTCCACACTGACAACACTAACAACCTCTTTCCATTGCAGCAAGATTGTCCAAATTTAATATTATTGCGCCTTTGCTGAAAATAACTTTTTTCTGTGACTTCCCGATAAGTTTAACAACAAAGGGGTGGGTAATATTTTTCTCTTAGTGCATATGCAAAGAGAAAAAATTTTAAAAAGAAAGAAAGAAAGTTTCGAACGGAAAACAGTTAAGTAAAGAAGTGCAAGGTATGTTCGAACCCCCTTTGTAGAACCTCAGATACTTATTGCGCCCACCGTTCGTTTGTTTTGGATAAACGATTTTAATGACGCTTTTTAAAGCGATTACAGCAGTCGTGGAACCGATAAATAGAATCTTACGTTAAATCAATACAAATAGATGTGGGAGTGTTGGTGCATGTTCTTCTATAGTACCGTAGAGTATTCTCTTTGCCAAGATGTAGACAGACTACAATTTTCTCTTAACCAAAAAGATTAATTAAATAATAATTGCAATTTATCAAATTTGTTGCCTTCCCTTTTCCGTTATGGAAATGACAAGTTACGTAAGTTCAAAGGGGGATCACGGTTCAACAAACAAAAGATCAAACAAAAAACTTGTATGACATGCTCGTATAGCAAACGTGTCCTAATGCACAAGTTTTAATTTTAGCACTAACTTTAATTTTTCCATCTATTCCACCAGAAAACACATGACCTTTGTGGTATGTTAAAACTGTAGCATCTCCGACGTGCTTTTCCGCTGACACTTTTTCAATGGAAGGCATATTCAGCTCTTTCCACTTATTTCTCTACTTTTTTTTATAATTTTTGGATTTTATTAACATAAATTTTCTAGATAAAGATTCCGTCAATGCGCTCTTCTCCCAAGATATGAACAAAATAAACTATTCAATATTTACTCAAAGCGTGCAGTATTGAAATTTCGCTCATCATTGTTGATGTATTCTATATATAGATGAGTTTTCTGCTTGCTCTTCTTTACCGATAACCGTTCAAATTCTCTTGACAAAAATGCATTTATTTAGACTTTAAATCGAATTGTCGGTTTTAGGATATTAATCTATTAGAATACGAATTTAGATTCCCCTTAAGTTCAGGTAGAATCTTTACTTATCGGCAATATCCAATCCGAATCATTGCCCTTCCATGTTATGACAGTCGTAACGTTTGCTAACAACGTAACTTATGCTAAGTGTTAACGGATCTGATATAGATATTTTTGAAATTTTAAGGAGCATATACTGCAAAACGAATTTTTAACTGTTAAGTTCAAAATTTAACAAAATTTCTGGGTTTGCATTATTCCTTCAAATAATAAACAGTGCTGGAAGGAACATTAAACCGTTAAAAATTGGCATTTGGCGCTGTACAACACTCTTAAAGGCTTGCAAACAATGTAAAGGAAATCAGGAAGGTTGGCAACCCTGTGTACTAGCTCTCGCCATTAGTATTAATTAATTTTCGCGAACATGTTATCGTTTTATTGGTTTTTGTGAAAGATACCATCCCTGTCGACCAATAAAATTGTTTTAAAGTACACACAAATACAAAGATTGTTGGCGCATGAAAATTGATAATTTTAACAATTTGTTATGTTTTATGCTCATATAATTTTGGCCAAAAAGGGCCCTCTCGCCAGGATATGGCTTGCGGCTCATTGGGATAAAAAAATTACGAAAGCACACGTATTCGAGACAAATATTGAAAAATCTGTGGAAGGAATCATGCAGCCTAAAGTAAAACTGGCTTTACGAACATCTGGACATTTGTTACTCGGAGTCGTGCGTATATATTCACGCAAAGCGAAATATCTATTAGCAGATTGCAATGAAGCATTTGTTAAAATTAAGGTAGGACAATGTAGCTTTAAGTACAGTTTTTGGATTTTTTTTTTTAAATACGTCGATATTGACGCACACAATACTTCATTAGCTAACATCGGGAATATCGAACCAAAAACATAGCGTTCGCTACCCCAAACGTTAGGGCGTGTAAGGGCGAATCGATCGGGTGAAATTCGCATGACATTCTTAATCTTAGAAGATTTAATAATACTAGCGCATTTTCTTATTAGCTTTACGATTTTATTCGGAGTATAAAAATTGCAACTAATGCAGAACGTAGATATTGTTAACTAGCGAAATCTTAAGTTCTGGTAGGCATAAAAGAACCACCTGGACTGGCCACCAATGCTATTCAAATATTAAAATTTTCTTTTAAATAAATTTCCACTTTCGTGGCCAGTGTCCGTGTAAAATGCTTATATACGTCAGTCTGGTTTTTAGTTAATCGATGCAATAAGATGGTATAAGCAAAACTTTATGAAGACACCTTTTATTATTTTGGGTGTAGTACACCCGAAATGGATGGTATTGGAAATGCATAAAAGTAGATAAATTAGTATAAAATTGTAGGGGCGGATGGATGAAGGAAATTAATGTTCATTTATGGATGCTTTATTTGGCGAAAAGTGGTAAATAAAAAGTTTTACTATCTTGTAAGTATATACGATCCAAGCTGTCCAAATATTATACAATTGAGGGGATTGATCCCAACCTTTTCAAATGAACACGTTCCCTAGTTGTCGTTTTCTTAATTGTACGACTGTGTTGTTTGAAAATGATATATGTAATGTGCGGAGCAAATTTTATTCGCATACGATTTTAATTTTGTTTTACCTATCTAAGATGGCATTTAGACCTGGAATGGTCGATCTACCAGAAGGTCATAGGGAGGCTAATGTCAATGCAATTACGCTACCTGAAGTATTCCATGACTTCGACACGGCTCTTCCTGAATTAAATGACATCGACATAGAAGCACAATTTTCTGTAAATCAATCTAGAGCAGATGAAATTACTCTGCGAGAAGACTACGGCAGCCTTTCTCTATCCTTGCATGATGACGGTTTTGGAGATGTCGGATTTGACACAGGTGATACGCCTGATATCGTTCGCGATGGCTTAGAAGCAAACTTAAATGTGGGTTTGGTTTTGTTGTTAAAACATTTTTTCACAATAAAAAACTTTTAGGAACAACTTTTTGAAGATGAAATCGTCTCCGATGTAATTGAGAATCACGGATCCAACATCAGACTCACAGATTCAGACATGGTGAATACCCGATTAGATGGAGATGGTTTCGGTGATGAATTCGGACGTAAGTCGAAGGTTTATGCATTTATTTATGTATATTTACGTATTCTTACAAAAAAATAACGTTCGCCGTACACTAAAAAATGAATTAAAATTACTTCGATCCATTTTTAAAAATATTATTGATTCCAAACCATTATCCAAATTAGTGCTTCTATTATGCCAGTTGTCTAATCGATCTATTAGTCCTAAGAGATTACTTCTCTGGAACAAGTTCATAGTTGGATAGAACTTCACTGAAATCTGAATATAGTTATTTTGTACAAAATTAAGATAAATTGATGAAGGATTTCTTTGAATTTGTGCATTCATTATTGTGTTATGCTATACGTAGAACCAGAATTATTTGGCGATGAACTTTTTGGAGAACCCCCTAGAGTCGAAAATGAGAAGAACGATGAAGTCGGAGTGTTATCTGCTAATGAGGAATCAGATGACGGATCAGGACATTTTGGAGAACGGGCACCGTCGCGAGAGTCCAGTTGTCATGGATCAAATCCAGTGCACAATACCGACAACCGTAAGTTAAAAATCTGTAAAAACAAAATTTCCGCAAAACCTTTCATAGCTTTTATTTCTATCTATCCAGCCGAACATTTACAACCAGATGCATGCAGTTCAAATCAGCACGACAAAGCTGAAGAGCGACTGGATTTACCGACTTCGATAAACAATGAAAGTGAAAGTTTTGCTTTGACCCCAATTGATGCTTCTACATACAATAAGGGTATTACGAAATCAAAAAGGAAGCGAAAATTAATCGTAGATGAAATTAAAAATATATCGGGAGAGGAAATGAAAGCGCAATTAGCAAATACATCTGATATTGTTACAACATTGGATCTCGCTCCTCCGACGAAGAGGTGGTGAATCATTCAAACTCCATAAAATAAGTAAACAATATTAACATGAGTCTTCTTCTTTATTTAAAGGTTAATGTACTGGAAGGAGACCGGGGGTGTTGAAAAATTATTTTCACTTCCGTCAAGAACTATACCCGCACGTGCTTTATTTATAAATTATCATCGTTCACTTATATCGCATTTCACACCGCTGGAGGACTTTACATGTCTAGGCTCCTCTGACTTACTTGCACTTGAACATATCAATAACGAAAATGACTCTTCAGTTATTATTCATAACAAAAGAGGTCGCAAGCGAAAAGTTGACCTTGTACCGGCGGCAAATAATCAATCAAATCCCGAAATTAGTAGCGAGCTTACTATTGGTAACATTACCGCGCCCGAGCAAGTCCGTGACCATGAAAATGTACCATGGAATTCTACACAAATTAATGTTAATGATATGCCTAAAGTGATGACGGACGCATCAGTTGTTGAGAATGCTCAAAGTCCAAAGACGTTATTTGGTTTGAATGACGCTATTAGTAATTTGGATTCGGTTGCGGACATTCCACTCACACCAGCCAATCATCATGCTCTTGAAGCCAATGACGATTTTAATAACGGTGATATGACACCTGTTAACTTAAATCATGGTCATTTAACACCGCAGCATCCTGAGATAGAATCAATTGAATCGATATTAAACCTTCCCCCCGACCAAGTTTCATCTATACTGAACGAAGCAGAAGATATACATAGAAATAATATCGTAAATGATTTAAGAAATGCAGAGAAATCATGTGAATTAGCTTCTGACTGGAATGACTACGCATTTCCGCCTTCTATAGAACTGCAGGTATGTTCCCTCAAATTTTATATATATGTAATATCTGCACGGTTAAATTAAATTCAATCCTAAATCATTTGCTTAACAAAAGTCAATAATCTATGTTAACATTGTAAAATTAATAAACGCAAAAGGTGAGGTAATCGATTGCTCTGACGAAAAAACTTGAAAAATTCAATAAACGTAACAATGTCTCGGAATGGTCTGTCTATTGGTTAAGGTCGACACTTTCTTGTTTCCTTGTTCCTTGCACTTGCCAAACAAGTTATGGTTTGAGCTAGCTTAAGTTGTGGCTCCATAGATGACATTTAAAACCAACCTACCTCCGGTACGTGCCTCCTGTTCCTGTTTTTGATGAATCTGTATATATTTCAAATTTCACTCAGCAAGACTGGGCAGATACCTATTGAAAGAACAAAAAAACTACAAAATCGGCTAAGAAAAGAACAATATTTCAGATAAGCCCCTAAAGTCTCCGACTATAAAGAGTAAAGAGAAAGTATTAATTATTGTGAAAATTTGATATATTACAAATAGCTTAGATCAGCGGCTAATTAATTATAATAACTCTAAAAAGTAAAGAGAATCACAAAACAAAGATTTCCAATATCGTGCTTACATTGTCGTTGGAATACAATCTACGCTACTCTTTAGGAAAAAGACTAGTTTAACTTCCTAATATTCAACTAACACAATTATTCTTTTATTCTTACAGAACAATTCGGATGAACAAATGGAAAACGAAACAAGTGAACAATTCGAAGAACGTGTGTTAAACAAAAGGGCTGCGCAGTTATTCTATTCAGTAAAAAGTCGAATGCTGAAGCAGGAATGCTTATACTTGTCAGAGCTGACGATAAAGAGCACGAGGAAACAGGTATGCCTTAATTTCAAGCTCAAAGTTTTAAAGCACAACCTGAAAACATATCTGAAGGAGCAATAACCTATTTTTAATAAGCTTTTTGGGAAACAATAATAGAATATCAATATTCGAAGACGTTATTACGCATGTAAAAAAGTATAAGAAAGAAAACTATAAGCGAAGCGCGAAGCGATTCGATTTTCGGTTTCTAATAAGAAACTCGTTTTATAAAGGCAAATACGTTTGATGAAAGCACTACAAAAACCAAACTTGCATAAAATATTTCAATATTATTCATGTTCATTTTCAATGGTTAAATACAATTTTATTTCAATCGAAACTGATATTATTTCACTTTTGGTATCTTTTTAGGCGGCCCAAAAATTTTATTCATTGTTGGTTTTAAAAAAATTTCGTGCCCTTAATATAAAGCAGTCTTCACCGTATTCAGATATAGTGGTATCACGAGGTCTTTTATTTGAGAACCCTAAATTGTAAGCATGGTTAATTTCAGTTATTTAAGTTGACTTATACATATTTATTTTTATATAGTATTCTAAGTAATAAATAAAACGAATTTCTATATTGCTTCGTAAGAATAAATGCGTAATCATTAAGAGTTAGTTAAGTAAGGTAAGTAAATGAATAATTTTTACTTTGGAAATTGAAATTAAGAGTATCAAGCTTTTTAATTTTTTTTTATTAATTAATAATAGTATTAACATAATACTTACCCACCAAAAACATCTCTCTCAATTAGGTTAATTAAGCAATTTTTCGAGTAAGGAACAAGTAATAATTGTAGCTTTGCAACGATAGAAATGATTCTGAAAAAGAAAGAAGAAATTTTCGAACTTTCAGGATTATTCCAAGAATAGGGCTTGTATTAGTTTTGTTTGTTTTTTTCTAAGCGCACTTCCTCCTAAAGGATTGTAATATATTTGGAAAATATGACTGTACTAACTGGAAGAAAAGAGAGCATAGAGGGACAGACTGGTATGTTCGTTTTTTAAACAGCAAATATTCCATGTTGACTAATTGTTTTCAGACGTGGAAATTAATCGTTTGGTCCAAACAATCCATAGTTTTTTCACTTGTTTTATAACAAAATTGATATTGGAGGATTTTATGATGTCTACGGCGGCGCAATTCTAAACTTCATACAAAGTTAAGAAAACTACGACAAGAAATCATATCGTTTTTTCTTATGAGTAGTAACCGGTCACGACGCCGCAATACGGCTGTAGGTTGTAGGTTATTAAGGAGAGGAGGGCTCGACATAGACCTGTTTTTTAAAATTTTTTTTCAATTTGTAGACATTTTTTCTATTGTAAAATGGTTTTTAAGAAACGATGTGATTCGAAATCGATCCCAAATACGATATCTTCGTCTTTAGAGAATTTGTTATAATCGGTTTAATAATTTAGCAAATTAATAAAATGATTTTATATGCAAAGAAGTTTTTCTGTACAGTTTTATATATATGTAATAAGGCCCTTTGACAAACCAAAATTTGGTCACGAAAACTTAGAGGCATGAAGACAAAGTGAGAAGACTTCTATGAAAAAAGACAAACGGCTACATTAAATAAAACAGTACACGAAGGTTAATTTACTTGCAATAAGTTTTGCTTTAACTGACCTGTAGTTTATGTAGAACGATATGCATATATATGCGGGACACCATAAGCATACCAACACTTTTTTGAGGTTACTTAAACTTTTCCCTCTCTTTATAGTTAATGACTAGGTTTTTTGAAAGACGCAATGCTTATGTATAAAAAAATAAGTTTTTCCACAAAGGGCTCGAAAACCTCTGCCTTGGAATAAGCAATTTTTTGCACAAAAAGTTCTAGAAAACTCCAATTTCAAGTCCCCCGTCAGGACTGAAAGTTGTACCACTAAGCGCGTTTTGCAAATGGCGACATGCACGACTGTAAAATTAAATGAAACATCATCCGACTCTAACAATTTTGTATGAGCTACGAAAATCAATATTTATTTCTATCAAGAATAAACTGCGTTAACAAACATTAATTAATAAAATAAAATGGTGTGAATAATTTTTCACTTTGATGTACATTTATTAAATATTGCCACCAAATACAGACTTGCTCTTTCAATTTAACAGAATTGTCGCCAAATGCAGACTGCTCTTTCAATTTAACAGAATTGCCTATTTGTGTAGGATTTTTGCTACAATATGGCTCCGTTGCAGTCAACTCTGAGTAATAAACAAGTTTTTATAACACTTCCTAAATGCTGTCTGATTGTATTTCCGCCACACATTGTTCTTTTCTTTCTTAACATCTTGCATTGAGTGTTGTGGAGAAATTTATTAGTAAGTTACTCGATGGAAACATTAAATTATTTATTAACAAATGGCTTTTTTTTTAGTTTTTCCTGACAAAAAATGGGGCGTCGTCCGGCAAGATGGTAAGTTTACTGCAAAATTCCATACAGATATTATTTTCTTTTTTTTTTAATGTTCACGTGAACATACAATCAACTTTTGATTTGTGCGAAAGTGCTGACGATGATATCACAACGCGAGATTTTTAAAGATATTATTCCTTTGTATTTCTAGCTATCGGTATTGTAAAAATAAACCTTATCCTAAATCTCGTTTCTGCCGCGGTGTTCCTGATCCCAAAATACGTATTTTTGATTTGGGTAGAAAAAAAGCTACTGTAGAAGATTTTCCGCTTTGCGTTCATTTGGTCTCGGACGAGTACGAACAGTTAAGCAGTGAAGCTTTAGAAGCCGGACGAATATGTTGTAACAAATATTTAGTAAAATATTGCGGAAAGGATCAATTCCATATTCGGATGCGCTTACATCCTTTCCATGTCATTCGCATCAATAAAATGTTGTCGTGTGCTGGAGCTGACAGGTATTTTTATTTTCCCTTCCTTTTCGTTCTCTCCATCTTAGTAAATTTGATGCAAAAGTTCTACGCCGCCTTCATGTTAAAGAAGCCCTAATTGTTTTATTCGGGAAAAATAGCTAAAATAGATGGAAACACTCCTGAATTTTCATCTCCAAACTGGAACTAGGCTAGATTAACACAAACCAAAATATTGATGATTCAAGAATTAAGAAAGGTCCGTTTGTATATCTATTTTTTTTATATATGTGTTTAGATCTAAGGTGGAGAATATTTAAACTTCGGCTTTGTTCGAATGGCTATTGGGTATTAAATAAATAAATGATGATTTTATACAGCGCACTGGGTTATGATCCCAACTGATTAGAATTTTTATGCTGCGCTGATACGTAATTTTCACAAAATTGAAGTACCTTAATTTTGATTCGAATAATTACATAATTGGAAATAACTATACTTTCAGACTCCAAACTGGCATGCGCGGTGCATTTGGTAAGCCACAGGGTACTGTAGCCCGTGTACGCATAGGACAGCCAATTATGTCCGTACGTTCTAGTGATCGGTTCAAAGCACAAGTTGTTGAAGCCCTCCGCCGCGCTAAGTTCAAGTTTCCAGGTCGTCAGAAGGTATGCACCCTCAATTTTTGATACCACGCAGAAAAAATGTTCAATCTGTTGCTCATAAAATTATTCATGTACAATTCTTGTTTATAAAACTATTAGAAATACAAGAAGAACTCTACATTTTTCTATTTTTTCTGATATTTATAAAAAAAACGTCTTTATTTTCTCTTCTGCTTTCCTAGATATATATTTCCAAGAAATGGGGATTCACTAAATACGATCGTGACCGTTATGAAGAACTTCGCGATGAAAATCGCTTGGAACCTGATGGTTGCAACGTCAAATATAGGCCCGAACATGGACCAATGAGCGTATGGGAAAAAGTGCAACGTGATGTTGTCTATAATTAAATACTAAGAATTACGTTTATTTTTACAACTTAATTGTCTTTTCTTCAATAAACCAGAAAATAAAAAGACATGAGTAAGATAAACACTCGCGAGTGGAAAGATTTAATCCTTTGCAAGTTTTTTCTTAGTAAAAGGAACTACACTTACTTGAAATGGTAAGAAAGACTTTAGCCTAATTTAGTTTTAAAATTTTTTGGCGAGGTCGCTGGCTTGGCTATCTCCCTAACGGCCGTATACAGTTTTTAACACTAAAATTGTTCAAGCAAAACATCATTTTTAAGGCTTAGCTATTTACATTTTCGTTTTTGCAACTGTGAACAAATCTCCATCAGACTTTTTATCCATTAGAACAAATGCCGTGTCAAAATTTTCTTATCAGTAAATTCAGAAGCGAATAAAATCGATTCATGTGTCCAGTCGTAATTAGCAAAAGAAATGTTGATTCCTAACTATGCAGCGGAAAATAGTAAAGAATTCTCAGTAAGCTGAACTTGCTTTTTTTGTGAATTTTGATAACTCTGACAATTTCCCACTACTTGCACCTAATAATGCTATTTTGAAAATTGCTAAGGTTTGTCGTGCAAAAGGAAAACAACGCAAACATTATTTGCTTCGCAATATCACAGATTTTTCAGTGTCATAATCTTTTTTTTCTGTAAATCTATATACCTTCCCTAATAGGTGGAAATAAGTTATCCTCGAAAAGTTTATATTTATGTAATCTATAATTCATTAGCAAGGAAGTAAAACACGGCCAAGGTCCTACACTACTCCGCTTTCACTCACTTGTGTGATAGGAGACCCAAATGTAAAGGCATAGTCTTCTTATTTGAGAAGAATGGCAGAATATGAAGAGAGGGGTTCCAAGTATTAAAAAAATAAATAAATAAACGCAGGACGCACTTTTTAATAGTTGTATAATAAATACGTCATTTTTCCCAAATGGGTTGCTATTTTTTAGTTCCTTCTCATATATAAACAAGCCTACATCGACGATTATTTGCAATATATATATATTTCTTTAAATTTAATCCAGGTTTTTAACATCATTGTAAGTCGGTATTTGAAGATATGTGCTTAACGACAACTACGCTGCTACTTAAAGTGGTTTCACTTGAATTTCGCTTATTTTCTTTACAATCGGCATCACCTGGAACAAATAAAGTTAGTTAGTTAGTATTAACGTCAGACAGAGAGAGAAAAAGCGATGGCCTATTTATGTTGAAATTGCGGTCTAGCACTCTGTGGACTTAAGCTTGGAAGCGATAGTCTTTAGAATTGTGAAATATATAATACCTTTCAAAAAGTTCTTTATGGAAACCCAATATGATATTAGAAAAAGCCTTAAACGGCCGTTCAGGTTTTAGAGGGAATGTGTAAATATATTAATAGATTAGATTCAATTATGTTTTCTCCCCGTGATTACACGCTATGTGTATAATGAAGAGTTGAGGAAATCTTCCGAAACGGCTTTTGATAAACTTATTGATTTTATTGAAGCGAGGTAATGATCTGAGAATTCTGTTGAAGAACTTAATTCCTCAATTCCTAATTTTGACTTCTGTGGAATATACGCCTTTGTGCAAATCTTTGATGCCCACTATCTATTTTTTTTCAAATTTTTGTCATAGAATTGGGAGTGAAAACGGGTTATATTGCTTGCATTTCCAGAAAACTGGACCAGCGTTTAAGTTTCATTTTTCTTGATCACTTACTCCGAAGAAATAGATTATGGTGTGGTTGATAATGACCTAAGGAGGTGTGTATTGGATTAGTACCTTTGATAAAACTAACTGCAGAAACCACTGAATTTGAACAATGCTCATCGTCATCCACATTCTCCTCATCCATGAAATTTCTAGACACATTATGAGAAAATCGATCACTATATTCGTCGTCTTCGAATTCATTAATGCGGAAACTCTCCTCTATAAGGGATAAATCTTTTTTGAGCACTTCATTTTTTTGATTTAGAAGTTCTGTCAAATTATTCTGGCTTTCAGATAATAGTTTCTCGGTTTTTTTTGACATAACTTTTGGCCGATAATGTATGGGAGGAAAAGATTTCGTTTTAATGTAAGATCTTAAATACTTTGTGGACGTTTTCCATGTTTCGAAATCTTTTAAGCGGCTCATTTTTAACTCTAGTTTCTTTATGTCCATCTGTTTGCGCTTGCGGTCAAGAAATAATAATGCTCTTTCCTTCTTAAGAGATTCTCGTTCCAAAATCTGTTGCTCTTCAAGTTTTTTCTCAATTTTTGCCTTTTTTTCCTCTTTCTGTTTTAGGCGGGATTCCTCCTGGCAGAACTTATGCAAAGTGCCCAACAACGAGCCGAAAATACGCCGATTTCGCGCCCTCGATTCCGAGTCAGTACCCTGTGCGGCAACAATTTCCTGACGAGATGGTAGTTCCCGAATTACGCGCGAAGTAAGTTTAGGTTTTAAGTCCTCCTCGTTACATCGTAATGTTGGCGATGATAGCCTATTGAAAACGGACTTTGATTCGTAATTTCTTTTCTTTATTGTTGCTTCTGGATAGGATTTTTGGCACTGTCTATCATCACTTCTTTTTGCTTCATATAAAGATTTATTTTCATGCCTGCAAAGGTAATTTTTGAAAAATGTTTAATTATGAGAACGAAAAACTACATTCGGTTTCTTTTCAACAAGTAATCCCTCTGAATAGTCTGCATTTATTTTCGAAGTGCGCAAAACAGTTAGGTGTCGATTTAGTGGGCATCGAACTCTTGCACTGGGCGAAATATTATTTTTGAGCAGATAATTGTTTGGAGCTCATTTTCAATATACCTCGTGTTTGTTGAAACGCTGACGGGCATATTGAATAAGTTAGACCACTACTCAGAAAAAGAAAAAGTTGGTTTCGTTGTGAAATGTACGCTTATTTTTCCAAACCGTCAATAATTCAATTTAATGACAACTTTGTTAGTGTAGAATAAAAAGAATTTACAAAACTTGATTTTTACAAATTTGGTTATTTGAGCTCATCTTTGACTTAGTTGGAAACATTTTTCTTTTACAGATATTACAATTTCATTGGATTATTAAATGAACTATGCAAAGGTAGATAAAAAATTTGGCTTTGGATTACCTCGACCGAGTGAATACTTTCGTGACACTTGTTTCTTGGACGATATAAAAGTGTACCTACTATCTTTGCATTGAATATCTATACAACGAGGCTCGCTGTTGCGGGTTATACCTCGTATTTAAATAAAAATGACGTTTTCTTGTGCATTTGGGAAGCCCAAAAAGCACTGATTCAATGTACCTGGATAATTTTGGAGAACGACCAGCAAAACGTCTTATGCTGTCATTTAAAGCTATTAACGTTATCCTTGCACTTTCCAGCTCTTGCTCTAGATCGTTATAACTTTTAATGTAATCCACACTCATGTTTAAAGCAAAATAATGAAATGTTTTTCAATCTATAGGAATATGTTTTTAATACTAGCAAGACGAGAGACCGATAACATAATTGATGGCAAAAGTGGCAGTTTTATACAACGTTGCAAAACTCTGCTGCCGACAAATATTTTTTGATACAGAGTTGCAAATTTCCGTCAGTGCTTTATCTTTTCTCATGCACGGCTACAAAATTCATAATATAGTTAATTTTTAAAAGTATGCTACAAATTCCTGGCGTTTTTACAGAATTACCATTCATAGTTTATGTTAACAATTAGGATGTGACAAAAAATAAATGATGGAAATTGTAGTGCGCGCACCGAAATAAATGTTCAACTTAACAGAAAACAAAGGGCCAGATCTGCTAAAGCCGTCGCCAAAACGAAGGTTCAACTCTGTTTAATGCCGATATTAACAGACTGAACAAAGGGGCAGCTCTGTTAAATGGCCAACTGAACAGAAAACAAAAGCCCAGATCTGTTAAATGTTCAACTTAACAGAAAACAAAGGGCCAGATCTGTTAAAACGTAAGTATGTGAAAATTACGGCTTTCATTTTTTTTTGCAAAGCACAGCAAAAATGAAGGTTAAGGAGGAAACAGAGAATATATGGATTATTATTTTAAATTTATAAAATATTTAATGATTAATTATTAATTAATGATTCAGTGCAGAGACGAGAAAGAAACTAACATACTAATTTGAGAAAAAGGTGAAATCATTTAAAGCAAGGTGGCACGAAGGATCAGTGTGACTTCCATGAAGGTTGGCATATACAAAGCATATAAATCCTTATGAGATCTCAAATAAAAATTGGTATTTTCCAAAAAATCAAATCTATCCCAGTTTAATTTACTGCTACATGCTCCGCCTCAGAAACCATATGATCATGTGAGATCAAGATGAGCGATAATTTGGCATACCCACACAGTGTCGAAATAATTCTTATCTGCCTGTTCATTCAAGATTCACTACACGAATGCGTTTATTTCTTATTCCTTATTATACACAGGATCGAATTATGAAAGTATCTGCGATTTGTGATTTTGATTAAAATACCAAGAAATGCCTCAGTGACCAAAATTATCTGATCTGTTATCTGATCTATTTATAAAAATTTTGAATTCGGATTCGAATTGGCATCATTGTCTTTATATGGTGATCCAATCAGCATTTTTCAAGATCTTAATTATTTTTTAAATCACGTGTTATCGGCCTGAGTGGCCGATTATTTATCATAATCAATAAGCAAGCTTGTTTACTGGTACGCTAATTTCCTTATTATTATGTTTAATAAATCTGTTGTTTCCATTTACGTTGATTTCACTATTTTTGGTTCTAACCCCATATGTTTTTTTTTATGTTATGGTAGTGCGACTGTCCATTGGGCATTTGAGTGTTCTTAACGGGTTAACGACTTTCATAAAATTTTAAAGCTGTTTTTAAAATCTGCGATGAGCCAATATTTAAATTAATCCAAAATTTTTTAGCTCTAGTACCATCCAGTCAGTGCAAAAATCAGTGTATAAATTAGTGGTGGGAAGAAAAAGCTTTTCTAAACCGATTATTAAGCAACTTTCGTCTTGATATGTTTGCTTTTTTGATAAAATGTAGGAAAAGCTGCACTTATATAAAAAACACTGGATAAATAATAGGAAAAGCTAAAAAAGACCATCATTAGGATATCTGTTGTGCAGTAAAAAAAATCAGTTTGCGTTATTACAACACATCGTATTATCGAAAGCAATATATAAATATTTTAAAATTACGAGTTTTTTTTGGATTACAAATATATTTTATTGCATTGTTGTTCATTATATTAAAAGTGGAGAACGTTCTTAATTGATTATTATACAAAAAGGATCTCTGAAAGTTGTGCTGAACACCAACTGAAACGCGTAAGTCGCCCAAAGAGGCGTTTAAATTATCTTAAAATATATATACGACTTTAAAAATTGCAGCCAAAGTAATAGGCCAATGCGTAAAGGATCGTTACAGACGTTTAAACCAAAATTAAAATAGTTTCTATTATTATTATTTTTTCTTTTTTGATATAAAGATTATTGATTATTTATCTTAGAAATACGTGTAAAGCGCAGAATCCCAAAAAGGTTTAAGTTTCGTCTTAGAGATGCAAAGAGAATGAATGTTAGCGGAATCGTGACTCTCGAACACTAAGCTAAAAGAGAAACGTAGATAGCAGACTTGTAATAGTTAAATTGTGTGAGAGCACTTGTTACTCTTTTTTTGTTTTTCTGTCATATGTAAAACTCTTTCGAAGCAAAACACAGGAACAAAAATAAATGCTTTCAAAATTGATTGTTTAGATTAAATTTCACCCTACAATGAATTATTTCTCACAATTCGCATAAGAAAAACATGCGCCAGAAAAAAGGTATTTGAGTATACATATGCATACATAATGTAATGACAAATTGTAATAATATAATAATTGGTAACAATCTTCAATCTCTTTTGTTCCCGATGATCAATGATCATGGCCGATATTCTAACTTTTTTCATGATATATATTTTGCGGGTTGCAACATGCATTTCGAGATAATGCAATAATTAATGCCTAATACGAGTTGTTTGCTTATTATTCTTTATCTATTTTAGAATGCCGTCTATAGAAAACCCGGACGAAGCGGCTGCTCCGCAAGTTCCAAAGACAGAGTTGGAGGAGCTGCAAATTAAAGCGAACAGTGTTGCAGATGATGTAAGTAGTTTCACTTTGATTACTTTTGTTGATAGCATGGGTTTTCGGAAATTAACGAGCGAGGGAAGTCGCAATTAATTAAGAATAAATTTGTTGAGGCGCGTCTTCTGATATTTTGGTAAAATTTACATATTCTCTAAACCGTAATTAATCCAAAATTATGCTCCCGTTTACCGCAAAGAGGCCTAACATTGATCGGTATTACTAATTTGAATTTCATACGGGGGTTTTTGTATGTCATAAGCTTCCCTGAGGCGTCATTGCATTTTTATTTTAAATAGCTTACTTAAAAACGTTTATTATAAAGGATATGTTATTTCTCTTTTCAGTCTCTGGAAAGCACCCGCCGTATGCTAGCACTATGTGAAGAGGTGAGTAGTTACAAAAGTTTTCATGAACATGGCTTCAAAAAAAAAAAAACTGTAGCTATACATGTCAGTAATTAAAATTCAATTTGTTTTTCACATTACTTACAAAACATTTCATACAAAAGAACTTTTGAACACTAAACAATTTCGGAAAACGGAAGACACAACTGTTACCAAGAGATTACATATATTTATTGTAGCAAATTTATGGTAGATTGAATTGTGATTACGAGTTAAGTCCGTATTTTAATTGGATTCAGATATCTTTCGCATTCTCTCCTCTGCTCCCTATTTCTATCTACTAATACCTAATAAACAATAGCAAATGCGCCGCAAAGGGCAAAAATTAAGAGAGCGTATAAAAATTGATATGCCAGTCGTAACATTCATTCGTTGAAAGAGAAACAAGGAATGCTGACTTACATGAGTAACATAATAATTACTATCTCTATTAAAATGAACGATAAACCAACTCTCTTTTTCGTATACGTTATGCTAAGGAACTTGAAAATTTTTAAACTCTCTTATTACGCACATATAAATAGGTTTTAGAATAAAAAAATCTCTCAATTCACTGCTGACTCCTCAACAAAGTGGATATAAATATGTATATTAGAAGGATGTGGAAACAAACACACACGTCTTGTGTTTATTTTTTTCTTATCAGTATGTGAAGTTTCTCCGCTAAATCAGATGCGCGCCTGATGTTTGAAGCAGTACGTGAGCAGCAGTAAGCATGTGTGTTTGCTCTATCACTCACTACCCATTAACTAGCTGACATTGAGAATTCAAGAAAAGGTTAAAAATACAATAACACTTCTAGCATTTGAAGGAAAAGTGTTTTTATGCAAATTTGTTTATGATTGTACATACTTACTTACGTATTATTAGGTTAATCCTGTTCAGTTACTGAGCGAATTCCCAAACCAGTTTGGTAGATGAATGTTAGACAACCGTCTCTTATTAAAAGGGTTAATGTTATGCTTGTAAGACATTAAATCCATTACTGATTGCAATAAATTTTGATGGGCTTGACCGCCGTATAGCAATCGAACAACAAATGACAATCACGGACATTTGGTTTTTATTTTGTTTAAAAGATGATGTCGGGTTAGCTTTTCGTTAAACAGGCAAACAGGATGATTGAAAGAAGGTTACATTGATGCGTATTCTACGTATGAAAATGCAAGGCGGCAGAGACAATATATATGTTATTGGAAATACTTGCTGGCCATAGGTAAGAATATCCGTTATCAGTAATAATTACGGGCGAATTGCTAAATAATATTGATTGCTGTTATAAATTTTTTTTATGGTAAATATTTTCATGACATGCATCGTAAAAGTAGAAATTCATTTTCTTTTTTATATATTTCTTTGACTGTAATCCCAACAATGCAATTATTCCACTCTGAACAAGATGGTTCCTAAACTTGAGCAATTGAATTCTTAATTCTTACGTATTATGTAAATTTAAAAAAAAATCTTGAGTTACCTGAGAAATTTAAATTACTTTTCACATTCGAAACGAAATACTTGTCTACCGAATGAATATATCAGAGAAATATTGCAACTGATGTGAAACTAATTCAGCAATGACGCCGATCAGAACATTATTAAATAGATAAATTGATGGCAATTTTGAAATTTAAAACAGTTATTTTTCTAGAAGTAAAAGTATAAGGAAATTGAAAACAAGTTCTCTCTCAGCCAGTCTTGATAAACACAAGTTCAGGGTTAAATTCGTGCTTTCTAAAATTATTGCAAACACACACTCGTTCTCCTTCTCTTTCTCTCTTGCTTCGCTTCTTTCTGACCGTCACCATGTCACACTTGTAGGAAACATGTCCTGAGTGATTGGTCACGTAAAAGAAGAAAACGCTTTTCAGTCGCCATTAAAAGTTCCTCCCGAAGTTTATAAAATCAGATGAGCCTGTTGAACTAATTTTTAAATTTATGTCGTCAAATAACTAGTCGCTATTAGTTTTTTAAAAGTCTATTGTCATCCCTGAACTAAAAAGCGGTCTGTTGGAAGTCTACGTATTGAACGGGTCAAGGAAACGAGCACCTGTGTTCTCTCCTTGCAAATACATTTTTTAGTGTTTAGAATAATAGAATTAATAATTGGGCAAAAATTTCAATTAGTGTCGTGCCAATTTGTGCAAAAGTGACGTATATGCGCGAGACCGTGGATCCTTTAAGACCGCCTATTGACTTTCTACGTTGCGATATTGTATTTCACCCTAATGAAAGAAAGAAGGTCGATGCATTTGAGATTCATATTCTAAGCGATTCTTTAATTTATTTGCCAAACATATATACCTGTACATAGTATAAGTGTTATGTGATTTTTTTTTCTCGTTTTATTGATCGCATGTTAGTTTATTAAGACTCACACTTTGGATTGTGCATTAAGCGAGAAGATTCCTCTTCTCTCTTAATATACCATGCACGTGAATTAATTACAATTCCGTGCTGCGTTTTTCTTCACTCTATTCACTCGGTTAACTTAAACTTAATTTAAATTTTGAATGATTCTTTGCAAATCTCTGACTTCATTTGAACGAACGGGGATAACGTAATTACACTTTTACTAATAGTCATTCGAGCTAAAGACATCTCAGATATAATATGTTAATTTCGAGGATTAGGTTCGGGGTTGCTTCCCGACCTCCTTATATGTTATGCACATCTATTGTGTGTAACAGATGACCGAAAATACAAGGTAAACAAAATTTACCCTGTTGGTACCTGACACATCGAATTTGACAGCTGCCTAGCGACGTATTGGCATAAATATACATACATTAATTAATTATTTTTATTTATAACATACATCATTTTAACAAGAAATATATTTTTATGTAAATATAACAACACTAACTTACACAACTTTACAAATATTTTACATTTTGCTGCACACCAGAGCAAAGAAGCAGGGATTCGGACCCTGGTAGCTCTTGACGATCAAGGCGGTGAGTTTACTCTTTTAACACTAATTAAAAAAAAACATTTTTAATACCACGATCATGTAAGTCGTATGCAATTTCGAATGTTAATCTTTTACCATATTACGTTTTAAACAAAGTTCTGTAGGCATTAGATCCTTAATCAATAGATCTTAACAACAGTAATGGAATCGGCGGACAATTGGCATGAAAAAAACAAGCAAATCATCATTATCCCCGAAATTAAAAAAAGAGTTTTTTTCAAAACAACAACTCCTTGTCTGCACATTCACAAAGCACATCTTATTTCAAAATCATCCACTTTTTAAATGAGTGAAAAATATGTCTAACAGTTTGAAAGATATTGCAATGTATGCTGTGTTTCTAATTAAAGAATTATCGTCAACATAACGTGTATTAATTTTGCGGCTATGACCTTGAAAAATGAAATTGATATCGGAACTAAAGATGCCGTCGGCCAAAAGTTTATCATTTTTAAGCGAATGAATATGAACGAAAACCTCCCAAACATGCTTTTGCTCAACGAAATCTCTAATTGTGCAACTCTGTACAATGATTCTCTAAACTTAGCGTTTTTGGCACAATTTTGAAAAGTTCGATCATTCAATTGGAAAGACTGGCGCCAGATGATTATGAAATGAGAAATAGAAAAAAATATGGGGGAAGGAAAAATGACTGCAATGAACAGCAATCATAGGTTGCGAGATCTAAGAACTCCAGAAGGCACATCAAAGCATAACTTGCATCGTTTTGAATAGGTTTTGATCTTTACTGACGTAGCCGTTGAAAGACCAAGCAACTACTGAAATTATCGCGGGTTTCACTATTAATATCGAAATGAACTTCAGGAATAAAAGTGACGTTGAATACTGGCTGAGGTACACTTACTGCTTGTTTTGTCGTTATCATTTTTTTATTTGAAAACAATGACCTTGGATATAAAGCTATCAAGCTATACTTTGTTAAAACTTTGTTGATTTATTTGAAAAGGCTTTTGCGTATTATTTTTTTTAAACAAATTTCAAAAACTTGTCGCATTTTTCGATGGGTTTAAAGACTAGATTTATGGGTTGATCTAAACTAAGGCCTTCACTAAGAAGCTTATAGGACGACTCTTGGCTCGTTTTCTTGGCTTTAGATGAAAGTGGTTTGCGTTACCTTTCTTTACGATGATATGCAATAAATTGCTATTTCGGAAAGCATCGTCTAGAAAACCCACGTACATACGGAAATTTTTCTATTTAAAACTTTTTATGGAAATAAATAGTTGTAGTTCTATTTTTCTTGGGTAAAAAAGATTGGCGTTCTTCTTAATTAAGCCTTAACTTTGTTACTTTGCTATCCGTATAGCCCACCGAATTGATTATGTAAATTTCAAAGAAAATAAATTTTATACTTCGTCTAGACTTTTTTCTTCCAGCTTGGCAGAGTAAGAAAGCATGCAGAGAGACTTATGTGATTTGAAACTATTTGTTTCCTTAAGCCTTTGGTGAATGTATTGTGTATAATAAATTTTCGAATGTGTCATGTATTCAAGAGCAGATGAAGTTGGTAAACAGGCTTCACTGGCCTTCTACTGATAAAGAGAAACACGATTGTTAGGATTACTTAATACAAATAATAACAACAACAAAACAAGATTGTTTTTTACACGAAACAAGATTCACATGAATTATATATATATATATATACTGAACAAAACCCCATCTGGCTGCGAAAACATTTATGGAATATATACATATATATATGTACTCACATGGATTACCCAGATTCTAAAATATAAGCTTGTATATTTTTATCTAGAGCGCTGAAGTTGGAATGAGGAGCATAGTTATGCTGGATGAACAAGGAGGTAAGAATCAAAGTAATAAAAAAATAAAAGAATCAATCAAGATTTTGTTGTTTTGTTGTTGTTCGTTGATGGCTTCCGCCATTGAATTTTAACGGTAATTCTTATAAAAGAAAATAACTGCTTTTCCTTATGTGAGACGTTCTCATCGCAACCTCAAACGTGCAAACCAATTAAGTAGCTTCAAATCGTTGCGTGCTAAATAGTAAAAATTGTAAATTATATTGTCCACGCGGTAACGATGAATTGTCTTCGCAGTGTCGGCTGGTCATTTTAGCTAATTCTACCAATATCGGGTATTCCAAAAGATTTCAAACAAATGTAATCTAAATGATTTTTAAGCTATAGATTGCTATTTATTTCGTTAGAATATGTGATGACTAACTGCTGATAGTCTTAAATAAATAGTAGTTCGACTTTATCCACTTTTCTCTACATTACCTCAAAAAGTACAGTTCTTATGCATTTTTTCTCAAGCTAAAACTCTTCGGCTACACTCTTTAATAACATTAGCAAAAATCCACTTAAATTGGCTCTAGACCAAGTATGAGCGACTACCGGGCTGCGGACCGCACACCCCAATTTCCTTGTATATAGCAATGATGCTAATATATAGTGTCTGTTTCCATCACAGGCTCAGCTGTACGGCCATCAAACGGGAAATGTGACGTGAAAATTGATATAGAATATCGCATTTTCGAAAACAGCTGCACCGTATTCTGGCGCCCGTCCTGAAATTAAAATTGAAATTGGCCCGTTGATGGAAAAAGTTGCTCAACCCTGCCGCTCCACAGTCTGAAGGCTTCTGCATCGACAGTCGCTGAGAATTTAGCAAATTCTTAGCTTATATTACTACTAAAGCACATCAAGTGAGTATGTCGTAAAGAGGCTATGACGCGAAATTCCGGTTTTCTCTTCGCAACAACGGCGTTTGGCCGGCAGTTTAGCTTTTTTATGTGGCCACTTACGTACGACTTCTTTGCTCAACAATGCATATTTTTTGTTGGTTCCAGGAACGATTCTGGGATTAAAAATGTTAGGTCTCACGTACCTAACTCCAATTGCTGTTTTTCGCTGTTGATGCTTTTGCAAAATACATTTATTTGTTTTCATCCCAAGAGGCACATTCAGCTCCCATTTAGGTCCATTCATTGTTTCGTTTGCGCTGTTATTATGTTTTCAAATTTTCATTCAAAAGTTAATTATTTCTAAACAAACGCATCAGAATTTGTGGCAAGGGTTTAACGTGGGTTCCTGCCTGAAAGGCTTAACCCCACGGTGGCCCAAGCCACTTTTAGGCGTACTACGCCCCCTGGCGAGTTAGACAATCCCCACAGAGTAGGGGCCTAAACAGCACCAGAGTCCAGAACAGTTTATTGTGTATGGAACAATAAACCCCACTCTGGTCAATGGCGAGGCCTAGCTGCACTCAAACGCATCAGTTATCAGCTAAAAATTTAAATTACTTAAAGAGTGAAACATTTTATAGAAGCTTTCCAAAGTTCGCTAAAGAATTTTAAATCACAGCCGATCCTCATCGGCACCCGCCAATTAAGAAGCAAAGTAGAGGAACAGGACTGGCTGACTATACTGTATAAGCAAAACTGTTCTTCTGTCCAAAAAGGCTTGGATAAGCATAGTAGTATAGAAAGCAAAAATTCTCTCATTTTTTTGTTGCCGATAGGAAAGATGTTTGCCTCTCTAAAATCTATCAAAGATTTGGATATAGGCGCCGACTATTTAAGATGTACTTATTAATAATCTATTATTCAATATCCATTACCTATTATGAAAAATGTGGACATGAAGTGGAAGTGATCATAAACAAATACCGATCATTAAATCTCTTATTAACTTCTCAGTAACTCTTAAGGGTATTTGTGTACATTTGTGCGCTTTTTAAAATATCTCTCAAATGAGCTATGAATTGTTGTATTGACTTACAGAACAACTGGATAGAATTGAAGAAGGCATGGACCAAATAAATGCTGATATGAGAGAAGCGGAGAAAAATCTTAGCGGAATGGAAAAGTGTTGCGGGATCTGCGTCCTACCGTGCAATAAGTAAGTGATTACATTATAATATATATAACAAAAGTGTATGTTTTGCTATATATGCATACTTTTTATTATAATAAAAATTCATTGATGAATTTTTCTGCCATTTCTGTTATTTTTGGATTTTTTGTACTTTTTTTTTATTTTTATTGATTTATTTCGGTATTTTTTTGTGTTGCAGATCGAATTGCTTTGGCGCTTATTCTGCCATTCGTTCCTGTTCTTGCCATTTTTGTTGCAGACTTTAGTGTCCCCATTTGGCCGATCTTATCAGTGCCTTTATTGTTACTTGCGTTTTGCCAATTTTTGTATACATAGGTCAAGGTCAAGGTTCATTACCTGTCTACCATGCCTGGAACCACATAATATTGATTTGCGTTCTTGTGGCCGTGGTGGACCTCCAAGCGCAAATGTTTCACATTTTCGAAGCTATCAGATATCGTAGACGCCCAGCCATGCTAACATTTTGAGGTGACATGTCATCTACTGTGGCTTGATCGATAGTTACGGGCAATTTTTTTAAAGGTGTAGCACTTTTTTCAAACGTGTAGCACTTACATCTTGTCGAATTAAAATTGCGTTTACTTTTTCGCAAACGTTTTCGAAGTATGCCACATGTAACGTTGATCACGTTGTTAACCTCTACGATTTTTATTTCGCACATATTTGTGTCACTGGCACAGCTTCTCACAATATTAGTATAGACGTACCGGTTAGAGGTCGTTAACTCGTGGTCACGAATTCCTTTGATGAAAACATCGATTTTCAATCGTTCCTTCTTGCGCGATTTCGGAAGCATACTCCGAATTGTATCATTTGGTTTCTGACTACCAAATAGTTCACTTCTGCTTCTCTATCGCTTTTCTGCTTTTTTTCATATTTGCTTGTGTCTAGTATGCCTATACATATATATACATATGTATATATATGAAGGTTTTTTGTGCATTTTGATTTAGCATTAATTGCTTCAAGGTCAACGTCCATTTCATAGCAATTTTGCACATGTATAGAATTGAAGATATAATGTACGCGTCGAAATCGCTTCTTTGTAGGAGTCAATCATTTAAGGAAGATGATGGTACTTGGAAAGGAAATGATGATGGAAAAGTTGTGAATAATCAGCCTCAGAGAGTTATGGATGACCGGAATGGCATGATGGCTCAAGCTGGATATATAGGAAGGTAAGCTCATGCACTTCAACTATGGTGGTTATAGTGGTTAACGTTCCTTTCCAGGATAACTAATGATGCACGTGAAGATGAAATGGAAGAAAATATGGGTCAAGTTAATACAATGATTGGAAATCTGCGAAATATGGCTCTGGATATGGGCTCTGAACTCGAAAACCAGAATAGACAAATTGATAGAATCAATAGAAAAGTGAGAGATTTAAGATAAATTAAAAACAAATATTTCGGAAAAATTTTTATATTTTTTCTGGATTTCCAGGCCGAATCTAACGAGGCGAGAATAGCAGTTGCAAATCAAAGGGCGCATCAATTGTTGAAGTAAGAGGCGGGTTGCGTTTATCTTCTTCAAATTCTTATTATTGTTATTGTGTAAAACAAGTGGTAATAATCATGGAGTCAAAATTCTTAATAGAGCTTTTTTTTTCTTTCTTAAAAATATTTCGTCGAAAAGTTTAAAAACTTGTGTACATTCTATAAATATGTATGCTTAGAACAGTTGAAGTGTGTATAGATATGTAAATAGATATGGGTAATCTTATTAATATAATAAATATTCTCCATGTGGATCTCATAGTGAAGGTATTCTTTGACCGATTATGCTAATAATAATACCTTTTTGCGTTCAATAGTAATAATTTATCGATTTTGTCTTAAGGTTCCGAGTAAGTCTATAATCGACATTTTCGTTCATTCGAGTTTCTCCTTTTGCTGTTAGCAAGGAGTTGTCTTTTATTGCCATTACTATTTGTTGCTTTATTACCTTTCGATTCTTACCGACACGCAAGTACAGTCCCGGAAGAACGTCAAATTGTTGAAAAGACGGAATATTTGTTTAACGCTCGAGCCAAATCTACTGACACATACTACTTTCTATTCGGCTATTTTGAGGAAATGCTTATACTTGCGTTTTCAAAAGTTGTTTGTATACATGTTTCAATTTGAGTATCTGCAAAAATAACACATAACCGCATTTCTGTGCACAGAGAGCGCGACTGCATGTCGATCCCACCGACCCGATTTGGTGCGAGTTATTGTAAGTTAACGCTAATTTTATGGGACCTTATTTATGCCACTTTTATTATTTTTTTTGATGATTTGCGAGATGGACTTATCTTATCTAGCGTTAAGTTACACTTTTCAGTTTTTTTAAAATTTGGATACCGTAAGCGTTTAAATATTTACAGACGGACATGTTTCAATTGATTTGGAATGTTATATAGGTCAACCGCCTAAATCTATCGTGTTTTACTCTCCCCGCCTTTCGTTACTTTATCTTCCTCTTTAGTTAAATTCTCGAACTAGAGACAAAGAATTAATTTTTCTAAAAAACAGAAATCTTCAGTTAAAGGATTGAAAAACTCATAATATTGTTGTTCTCTTGGATTTCTATTCGTATCTAACTTGATGGACAGAATGCCCGAATTTTATGGTAAAACACTATTAGAACTATATTGGATTCACTTACGGTAACCGTGCGATTATTTGATTTTCATTGAGAAATAATTTTAATTCATATTATGAGTATTTGGGCATAGTCTGACGGCGCGAACACAATTTAAATTTTAATAGTTGAAAGAGAACACATCATAGCTTATACTTTTATATATTTTGCAATAAAAATCTTAATTCATTCAATCGGTTATGATAATAAGCTTTAAAATAAATGGTGTTGTTATTAGCAAGTCGCTCAAAGAAACCTGTTACGACGAATATATATATATATATCAGACGGACATATTTGAGTAAACTTATTGTTAGATATTAATGTTTATTTTTTACATAGTTTGGATATTAGCAATTATTAATTAAATGCTTAAGTTGCACTATAGAATGTAATAAACATTATAAGAAGATTAAGTAAACAGTAAAAGGATGACGTGAAACGAGGATGGCGATATTTGCAACTAAATAATCTAACGTAAAATAACCACTTTTATAAATAGCCGGCAGCAATATTTCATACTTAATATGAACATACAAAATTTTAAACAAATTTGATTGCACAAATTCTTGCAGTTAAGAATTTTCTCAGTTCAAAGTCATTAGCCTTTGCAGAAAGTTGCAAGTGCTCATATAACGTAAGAAGTGGATATTCTTTTCAAGGTGTACTAATAACAAGTAATAGATATTTAATTTAATTAATTTTAAAATAAATTTTAATCGGAATTTTGCGAAAAACGAAACGTAACATAAAATTAAAATGCAAAGTAGTAATAACCGTTTAACGAACAAAAGGAACACATTAGGAATATTGTTAATTTCGAAAAAATGCATCTCAAAGATTATTGATGACGACACAAGAGTAGAATCTTCGAAAGTAATCACAATACTGATCACGTGCTAATTTTTTTTTTTTAGCCTCATAAATGTAAAGCCTCATAAATTTGATGAAAAACACCTTTTTATACTTTTAATGTGGAATGATTTAAGAGAATTATGACGATATAAACTTTTTAACCCATTTACATTTTTTGCTCACTTTGAAATGTAAATGAGAATAAAAAACTACGCAATGTATATATAAAATTGTATGAATGAAAGGATAAGTAAAGGTTCTCTTTTTACGACACTCGTTCAACTTTTACAATTTTATTAAAGCAATACTTATTCATATGATTTTGTTATGTTGTTACGAAAGAGACAATCGTTACGCATTGTCTGCAAGAAAATTTTGTTAAAAGCCTAGATGTATGAACGCGATCAAAGTCTTCAGCATTACTACAATTTTTGAGTGCACAAATGACTCTTGAAAAAATTGATGAAAATATAGTTTTAGTTTATACTAAATCTTTGTCTTCAAATTCAGTTATAAAACAAATTCGTATTAATCATAAAAATACTTTTAAAAATGTTAAAAAAATTAAGCTAAGATAAATATGTAAATAATATATATATTATTTACTGAACAAATATATATTATAAAGACTATTAATAAAAAATATAACATTATAAAGACGTATAAGACATCAATTTCCTTGCATAGGTCAAATGAATAAATCGCTTCTTACCCTTCGTTACCCTTATCATCATTAATTGTATGTCATATTATTGTAACTCTTTGTAACATGTTCACGGCTTTTGTCTACCACACTAATTATGTTCTGCTCTTATTGGAATTCCCAGTCGCAAAATAAAACTAAGATAGAATTCCAAAATTTCGTTCTGCAAATAATGAAAAACTTAAATATCTTCGGAAAAAAGCGACAATTTCTCAACAGAAATTCATTAATATCGTACGTCAATAACTGTAACAGTTTAGCAGCAACAATTGTTGGATAAATGTCAGAATTTGGTATTTATTTAATAAGACATATGCGCACAAATTTACACGATTTTGTGGGTTTTAAACTAAAGTTCAGCTCAAAGTCATTAAGATAATAATAATCATAAGTGAACTTACCTTCAAAATGCTGAGAAGACATGTAAAGGGTGCGTATTTAATCTATTGTCATTCACTAGTCTCTCATGAGACAAAATAAACAATTGAAATGGAAAAATATCGCACAACTGCAAAATATCTTAAGAGCGTAAAGTATAAAAACACAACAATAACGTCATTCATATTGTAAAAAAAAAAAAGGAATTGAACACAACACGCATAAAATTATCAACCGATCATCTTTTTTTGTTCCTCCCCTTTAAGCGAGAAAAACATTCTTCATTACGCAGGAAAACATAAAGCACTAGGAACGTATTATAAAATCTCTACTTAATTGATGCATTCATGCATTTTTCCCTTCTTTGGTTCTTTCAATTTAGCTATATATTAATTGCTATGGTAGAGCTATTCGTTGACTTCAAAAATGCTGAATATGTTGTAAAAAAAATTAAAGCCACGTTATTTTAATGCAGTATATAGTAGTATTTACTTGTTATGTTAATAACATACATTTCACTTTGTCAAAAAAACGATTGCATTAACTTGCATGCAATAATTTTTTTGTTTACACACATTACAATGAGAGAATCAGCTGATCCTTCTTTTAAGCGCGAAGAGAAAAATACACTACTTTAAAAACCGCGCGAACACAAATAAATATAATTGAAAAACCGGAAAAAACTGATCCTACATGCAATTAAAAAATTAGTTATAAGATTTCTTTTAATAATTCAATTTACCTCTACCGACACAACCGCTTCCGATTACCAAAATTGAACAGAATCATAAACAGTAAAATCGCCTGAAATACTTGTTTACTTGCAACGAGAATTATGAGAATTATGTTCTGAGCTACTCACGCACACACCGCAATAAGAGCATCACCTGATTCTGCTTTTGAGCAGAGAAAAAAAATTTGTTTAAAAAAAGACGCGAATACAAGTAAATATAATTGAAAATCAGGAAAACACTGATTCTATATACAATTAAAAATTTATTATGCATACAGGGGTTTCTTTAATAATTTAATTAATGTTTATCGAGCCCGCGCCTTTTGTCCACGATTAGCGAAACGAAACGAACTGAACGGATTGTAAACATGAACTGTAAATTCAGTTAGTCATTTACATGCAATGAGAGCTAAAAAAAGTCAAAAAAAAGGAGAAGTAAATGGCCGAACTTCGAATTTGGTCAAAAAAAAGGAGAAGTAAATGAGCGAACTTCGAATTTGGTCAAAAAAAGAGTTTTTTTGTGTATTACTTTCGCACATCTTACAACAAGAACATTAGCTGTTTCTTCTTTTAAATAAAGATAGAAGATATGTTTTTAAAAACTCGCGAGGACAAACAAATATAATTAAAAAACAGAAAAATACTGTGTGCAATGGAAATGCTCTTAAAAAATACATTTCATTCCTAGCGCTCCAAATCGCTATCATTCCCATCATCTTTAGTTGTAAGCGCTATTATTTTTGTCGTAGGAATGCTATATGATTTTTCTTTTAAGTGAGAAAAATAAACATTTCTCTAAACGAGGGGTTATGAATAAAAAAGTCAAAATTAGAAAAGAGATGTTTTATATACAACAAAAATTTTTTAGTGTACAAGGTTTCCTTTAATAATTTTACTCCCGTTGATCTATCCGCTCACTTCCGGTTATAAAAGCGAACTGTGAATGGCACGAACGTGATAGAGCGAACACATACATACATTTAATGCAATTGTTATACGAACAACAGCTTGATCGCTTGCTCTGTTACTCTTACATCGCATATCAGCAATTACGGTTAGTTTAAAATGAGTTATTTCTTTTGGTGGCCTATCCTTTAGAAAAGTGAAATGCCGAATAATGATAATAAAGAAAATGCTGTCGTTGCGTTTATACGCTGCAGGAGAAACAGTTTTATGTGAAATTATGTTAAGCGGAAACGAGATATTTCAGCAATTTCCGTCATACTTAAAACTGAACTTAAATAAGAACAGGACAAAGAAAAATTATTTGTACGTAAACTGCATGCAAAAGTAAAGGGAGGACTAAGTAGTTTTGTTCGTAAAACAGCTTTGCGGTCAAACTGTCTTGACTTACGGCATTGAAAATCACAAGTTGACCTGATAGTTGATAAAGGAGTGAACGTTGTTGACAACTGCTGTTGATATTGTAAACGGCGGCTGTCTGTTCAAAGAATTTCGAAGCATTACAGAGAAGTGCATCTGACGGCCAGAATGTTTTTTCTCGCATTTTCTGTTTAATCCACATCTAAGTAAGCTTATTATAAATCTATTTTTCTTCTTCCTTTAGTTTGTAGAGCTTTGAAACTTTTCACAAAAAGTTCATTGATGAAAAAAAGAGGGAGAAGTTGATGAGAAGGAAATGTCAAATGTTGCGAAAAACACTTTATACATTTGTTCTCCATGGACATCATGAGAGATTTTCGTTTAAGGGGCCTTGTCCCGTCTCCTATTATAAGCCAACAACTTTGTCAAAGTTAATGTTTTCAACCGCAGAATTCTGTTCGTGCTGATAAAGGTTTCTTCTCGTCTATTCTTCTATGGAATCACTTTAGAATATTTTGTAAATTTCTATTCATAAATAATTTTTTGAAGTACTACTATCGTCTTTTCAATAACATTCAGGCGAATAAATATTACGTTCACTTAATATTTGCAAATATATATGTATTGCTACGTCGATCTCGCGTTTAGAACAAACAAAAGAAGATGATTATGTTATTCGAAATACGCATTTATTTATATATCCACCACCACCTATAAAAATCACGATGTTGAAAAGATTGAAAAGACGATGTGAACAAAAGAGCAAATATGTAACAGAACATTTAAGGAATGATAAAGGAAAGCGAAATCAAATAAGATATTTACGTCTTCTGTTCGCTATGGATTGGGATAGTTTTTATGCTATAAAATCTTTATATAATCTGTTTATATATAAATATATATGCGGATTGTGTTGTAAATGTGTTTTAAATCGAGGAATGTTTGCTCTATGTTTAATAAGAACTATTCGTAGTTATGAACATCTCTTCCGGGTTTTAAAGTTTTATCTCAATTTTACATTAGAGAGAATTGTAACAACAATTAGATGAATGCTTATTTCTAAACTTAATTTTGATATTACAAATCCAAGTACATAATTTGCGTTGCACAAAAAGCACCACAGAAGCTAAGAAAACTTGCTGTAGCCACAACAGCTGTCGTAGTTCCTGACACCGAAACAATTGTCCCCATACATAATGATAGAATGAATTGAGCGAGAAATACCATACTGCTTACTATAGCTACATCGGTTCCTAAACCACGAACTTCGGAGCCTAGCTTGGCGTTACCATCGATGTCCAGTTCAAACTAGAAATAAAAAGTCATCCAGATATTTTCCGCTTTTAACTTCAATACGTACTGTTCCCATAGAGTGGTAATGGGCCACAAGAAGATACGGCATGGTGAAGAGCGTGGAATACATGACTCCTGCAGCCCAACTAAAAACTATCACACTAGTCTTAGCTCTGGTCAATGCCATAAGCGACATTCCTGTACAATAAAATAGAAGACCACCAACATAGACATTTTTTGCTCTGAAAGGAAAGTGTTAAAAGAATTTAGTAGTTTTGATATTTTTGAAAATTTCGTTTATCGAGTAAAAATATTTATTATTTTTATGGAAACTTATAGGAACGCCGCTACCTATAATACGTTTCCGAGAAAATGGTTGTGGAGGCCGCAATTTTTTTTTTAAAGACATATTCTGTGGTTTGTATATTACATAAAAATATTCAGCAGATCCTTGGTTGGTTTTGAAAGCTCTATCAAAAAAAAATTAAAAAGGATACCTGTTTTTAAAAGCTCTAAAGTTTCAGTTAGCACCAAAAACGACCAAGAATCATTTCATATTAAAGGGAAAATCGTCGCAAGTTGACGTAGAAAGGGGAAATTAAATAAACATGAGTTTGTGCCAAATAAAAATTCATTTGTACATATTATTAAAGCGTTTTCTGTTGCGTACTTACCTAAAACGCTGTATTAATTTTTCGATTACAAAGGAGTAGGTAGCACACGACAGGGAATACATTGCCATTCCCCAACACCCAAATCGAACGCCTTCCTCGTATAAAATCTCCTCCTGCGACCCCTCGATTGCTTTTGGGTCCCCTTTGAATACAGCTTCACCAACGAAATCCGTAAAGTAAAGAGAATAGCAAACGTGCGCCATCCAGCAGAAGAGATTTGTAAGACAAACCATCCGCAAAGAATGCGGCATATATATAATAGATAGCAAATAGTGTGAAAGAGTTTCGACAGTTTGGCCAGAGTCTTTATCTCCCGCAACCGGGGGGATGTTCTGATCCGGCTTCAGCTGCTCGGGGTCCATTTCGTAGGGAGTAAAACTTGTCTCCGCAACATTTTCTTCTGCAGCGCTCTCAGCCAAATAACTTGATTGTTGCTAAAAGACATTTATCGTTAGTTTATCAAATCAGATTTTTACCCTTCACTTGCATTTATTAATAACAACGTCTAACGGAAAAAATATTAAGCGCAAAGTAAAGAAATTTCGTTTTTACGTAGCAACGGCAATATCTGATAACTGCCTAAATAAAAATATATTTAGTTGTCTTAATATCGTTTTCAATGAAAAGGCACTTCCGGGCATCAAGACGTTGAAAAGGAACGGCATTAAATTTACCAACCAAATTTTCCAACAAAGCAGCACTTGTCGTTACTCTTCAATTGAATAAATTTCTTCTTAAAGAAGTTAAATATTGCCCTCAAAACGAAAATGGAATCTAACGAGACTTTGTTGACAATTAAGTCAGCAGAAGTTTTTAAACGAATTGTTAATGTGTAGGACACGACTATCAAGCTCATGTATTATTCATGCAATTACCCGTTCTGGAGGATCTTCAGTATCATTAAAGACGGCGTTGTCTAATGCTCCATAGCTTGCCTGCTCGTCATCTAGTAAATTAGTTCCGGCTGCTGGACGTTTAGCCTTTGACGTTGCTATAGCCCAAAGAGGAATTTCTTTAAAACTCGTAACTGTAAGCGAAACGCAAGCAACAAAAATAAAGGTAATAATAGTAAAGACCGCCTTGACATGTCCACCCAAACGTCGTCCAACTGATGTTTCGTCCCAGTTTATTCCTCCCTTCAAATTTTATTATTGATTATTATTCGATTAATTCAAACCGTTGAGCCACATACCATTGAATAGCCAAAAAACCCACCAAGGCCAGCCATGATCGTGAAAGTGGAAAGACCTTTGGCATGATCCTCTGGAACAGTTTCTACTTATTTTTTTTTTATTCCAATAAAATCTAGCTTAGAGGTTACCTGGCACACATACGTCCAATAAGTAAGATCTAGAAGGACTCTGGCAGGCGTCAGCATCGAAATCCAATAAAACTGTTCCCAGTACTGTGAAAAATATTCCCCATGGATGTGAAGTTTTTTGCACAAGTTGAACGTCCGTTTGTGACGCTGTGATACGATGCGGCGAGACATCAAAATTGCTATGCGTGCCGTTTAACGTTATATTCAAATTTGCTATTTGCAGATGGGGATCCACGTCACCAAACCAGTAACCTAAGTCTTCTCCATTAGGCACCAAAAGTAAGCCTTAAACGGCATTACGAAATATATGAAATCTCTTTCGGGGCAATTTAAAGACAATTCGATAATTACCAATAAATACACCAATTGATAACAATATAATAAACGGTCTTCGACGTCCTATATTAAGCTTGCAGCGGTCGCTCATAGAACCCAATATAGGGCATAAAAAGAATCCCACCAATGGTGATAGAGCCCACACTAATGTCATATGTTTGTGCTCGACGCCAATTTTGAGAAGGGTGGGAGACACAAAAGCCGTCTCGGCAGCATAAGAAAATTCAATTCCCATCACAGCAGCAGACACACGAACTAATTCCATACGGGATTTGCGTCTAAATATAAAGCATTTTATAAAACATATATATTACATTTAAGTATTTATCTGCATATAGATGAATGTGTATGGGTAATGTAACTAGATGTATACATAAGAACAATATTAATAAAAGGAAAGCAAATGCTTCCTTCATGTTAATCCTGTCCTTTTATGTGACATTGGCCTCTAATTTATTAAAGAAGGGCTTATATTCAGACTTTCGCCTTTCTTTTGGGATTATTTCTGTTTCTGTTCTATGTGCGCAGAGCACGCGTACGTTCAAACACTATCTGAAACTTATGGAAAAATATGTGTTCGAAGTATCAATTTTCGATCTCAAATTTATTAACAAGCGACGTCGACGGATGGACAGATGAGTGAGTGATTCTCATCCAGAAAATATTTAATTTGTGAAATCTGCAGGTATTTCAAATAAAACAGAAAAAAAGTAATACGCCTAAGTGCTCTAGTCTGTTACAGAAATTTACAAAAATTTAACCATTTCATGGATTGCATTGGACCCACAAGATGTTCATATGCTCAATGATACAATATGCATATTGTTAGGCGCAATTCCTTTTTGCTTCCTTTAATTAGGTTTGTAGAACCACTAGGTCAGAAATTGCGTCGAGCTTTGTTTGCAAGACTAGAAGAACTATCTGCAATGTTTACAAGTAACTTATTTAGTTAAGTTCGTAGAAACTCTCGCGATGATTATAAAAACGATCTAGCATATAAATTTATTGTGTCAGGTCTCATGTCCAACGGAACCAGCATCGTCACTTGAAACAAAACGCTGAGGTTAGGGTACAGCAATATTTTCTCATTTAGCGGAAATTTTTGTTTATTGACTTAAGCCTTTTTTTATTATCACCGTGCATCAATGTGCAGGCAGTCAGCCTTGACTATGGCTTTCGTATGTACATATGTATGTTCTTCTTACTAGTTAACACAATATTACTGCCTTGACAGACGGCAAAACAACATCATTGTACGAAGCACAGAAACGTAAGTATTTATTAACTTTTTCATTTCTTTTGTAACCCACCGCAAGACGATTTAAAGACACCATATATATATGTGCTTAGTTTTATATTTCTGTTTTTACAACTCTCGAAGACATAAATCGCCAAACTTATCTGGCCAACTGGTGGACAAGTTAGCAAAGTTTGAAAAACAAATGGAAATTTTCAAATATAGCGGATATTTGCGGAATTTGCGTTTGCTTCGAAATTCTTAGTAGTAGTATCTAAAAAGTTGCTGATGGACGCAATAAAAAAGTGTATCACTATTTCCTACGTTTGCTTGAGCTTGAAGGTATCTGAGGTTCGTCCTTTACATGCTTAAAAGCGAAGACGTAACTATCAAGTAAAGTATTGCAACAGTTTTCCTGTAACGATTATGTCAACTTGAATTCGATTTATTCTCTTTCTACTGACTAATGAAGATCTAAGAGCATATAAAGGCTTATGAATGCACTAACTAAGGAGGATGAAGTAATTTTACGTTATTTGTAACGCAACGCGGGGATCAAAATAAACTTCAAACACTGCCTGACATAACAATAAAATATATTTAATCTTATCTTTCGTTGATAGTTGTAAAAATACAAAATGCCAGGGAGGCAACTAACATAAGGTTAAGAAAAATTTCTTTAAAGTTTGATTTTCGAATCGCAGAGCGAATGTCTTCAGAACACACAAAGAAGATGGGATTTGTTTTGCATTGAAATAGTAAAGTAGCAAGGAGAAAGCATAAAGCAACTATCTTAATTCTGCCGCATTTGTTTGTGTGTGTTTGAATTTCTCCAAGAAGCAAAACTTAACGAAGCAAGCCTTATCTCGTAGAAGGCAAGCAAGTAAGATTACACTACAAAAAAAAAAACCCAGAAAGTGGATAATAATAAATAAATCGCTTATAGATTCATTGCCGCTAAAGAAAATAATATTTGAAATATGAGAAGATGTTCGACATTTGCATAGAAACCTTTTCTATTAATTCACACAGCTGCCAGCTAACTAGGATTCGCTTCAAGATAAACTTGAATAGCGATGAACCAATATTTTAACTTGGCTTAAGTTTACCTACTCTTCCTTTGATTCATGGGGGTTTTTGCGGTTGCTTATTGATCCAAACTTGTAATTTTTTTCTTGAAAATTGATGGTTCTTTTATACCCGTATATGTACATGCATTACATTTTATAAACACCCTCGGACTAACATCCGTAGTGTCATATTTGGTATTTGTTAAAGGATAAGAGTTCTTGAAGAATAGAAGGCTTAGCCAGACGATTGCTGCCGTTGACTTAAGAGATCGAATTGAATGAACGAATATCGGAATAGTTCACGTACAACAATACGGCACTATTGAGCAAATATTACCTGTAAATATGGGAGTAATCTTGATCGGCTGCAGCATTGCCTTTTAGTTGATCGTTTGCTAATCCAATAATATTTGGCGGACCGGTCTCGCGTAGTTTATCAACTCGTTCTTTAACATTATCGCGCCATTGATGCAATTGGCCGGTGAATCCTTGATATTCATTTAATTTCTCCATAGTCGTCTATCACAAACAAACAGTCCACATTAGAGACAGTTATGTATGCATGTACTCACGCTATTTCGTTTCATCAAATATGTTCATTAAACGCACATTTGAACACACTTATATGAGTATGTTCGTTAGCACCCGCATCCACATAAGCTTACGTTCAAATATATGTACGTAAATGTGTACGCTTTTATATGCATTCGTGAATGTTAAAAAACATTGCAACGATATCAATGGCATGAGAACGAAAGAAGTTTTAATTTAATTAGTCACTAAAAATATATATGTGGTTAACATATATCTATATATGTGCAATCATTTTTTTTCTTTATTTCCTCTTAAGCAAAATTATATATCAAATTCAAAATTAGTAAATAAATAAGCCAAAAAGCAATCTCCCAAAGTTTTCTTCACACTAACGAAAATAATTCTTTAATTCTAAATTTATTTTCTCGAAATAATTTTCTAACCGTACCGTTTTAGTTGGATGTGGTTTAACCGTGAAATGAACTTAATTTTCGAGCGTTTTTGATTGCATGGAGGTTACAATTCCAAACGTTATGTAGGAGCATGCGCTGATGAATATTTTCCCAGGCGCGTGGAATATAATCTAAGCAAAAGAACTTTTCTCGTTACATTCATAAACAAGAAAAAATAAATCTTTTTAGTTGCGACCGAATCTTATCGCAACTACCACTTGTTAACTGCTTGTGGCTTTTAAGAAATGCATTTCAAAAGTACTGTGTATGTTAAACGCAAATATTCTACGGTATCACCTTTTCAGTCTTTACGCACGCTTATGATCTATATCGCTGATTAAACATAACATATAGACGAAATAACGCAATGGAAAAATCCCTAAGATTTCCAAACGAAGTTGTTTACGTTCATAATTTGTAAACTGTTTGCCGAATGTTATGCATACAATCGAGGGATACAAATATCACTTCGGATTCCATATTGGTTTGCGTAACCGAAGCTTCAACTGAACAAATTAGCGACAGACGTAGGTATTGAACGAAAACTTTTGAAAAATTTAGTATGCTTTCGTTCGCTTCTACAATAAATACCTATTGGAATTTCGTTTTATTTCTTAGCGGCATTTAAGAAAGACTTTTCAATTAGTTCGCAACTCATTTGGAAAGCTTGGAGAATGCAATAAATGAACGGTTTCGAAAAAAAACTTGACACTGAATTTCTAATCGTATGCGAATCTGCGAATGTTGCCTTATCAATACAGTATTGTATTCAATTGTAGCTTTACTCACTTGTTTGATTTTATGACGTAAGTTAATGTCCATATGTTACATTGAATTTATAATTTATTGCAAACATTTATTTATGGGTGAAGACAAACGCAAGCGAAAAGATCGCTGAAGCTTGTCAAGTAAGTGATTTTATCAAACAAAAATTGCGAGGGGTATCCTGTACATACAGATTACTTAACTTATATAACATTATATTGTTGGTTTAGTAGTGCGCTCAGTATTAAGTTTTAAGTCCTCCCCTAACAGTGCCATGTTCTTGTCGTTTTTTTGTAGCGGGAAAATTACATATTTTAAGGACGTTACGGGCAAGGGGTTTTTCTCTTGAGTTGCCTAAGAGGAGCATCTTTTCTTTTATGAAATGAGTCCTATGATGTGTCCTTTACCATGGAAGCCCTCAAACTGCTGCCACTTCTTATGGTAACGCGACGTAAAAGTGGGGTGAGACACAGGAGAAGCCATCCCTTGTTGGTCTAATTTTTCTGAGTCATAACTGCTTGTACAAGCGTAGTGATGCTCATGGCTTTGCGGTAACGGAAATGGCAAGTTCGAAGACAAGAGTGACTACGGCATATAGCAAGAGGTCAGTCAATGCTAAAGTTGTTATCTCGCTCTTTGAGTTGGTGTTATGCACTTCTCATCAGAATGCTGAGAGTACTTCTTGGCTGATTAGAGAGCCCAGTAGGGACTAGTAGGGGGATAGAAGGGGGTTAAATATTAGAGAGATATTAGAAAGACTGACTAGAGTTGAGCGGAAAGTGACCCATACCCGCTTTCTCTCATTCGGCGACGTCAAGAGAAAGATAGTCCTCTTCCATTTGTGATGTGAATTATTCCACAGTACATTTAAAGAGATCGTATTCAGTGCTCGTATTTTGTTGATGATTTTTTGTGAACGAATGTGGATTAGATATATAGATAACGCTATCTTCAAATGCGGATAATGGTAAACGATAATTTTTTTTTTTTATAAAGGAGGAGTCGACGATTGCACAAGGAAGTGCATTGAAATTCGTACGTATAACGGACGTACTAGTTGCACTTACTATTTCAAATTTCTTTTAAGAAGTTTTTTTCTAAAGTTCACTACTGCTATTTATACGTATTACTACGAATTTGAAAACGTTCAAAGCGAAAGATTTCAAAGTAAGTAACCTACAAAAGGAATTAAATCGAAATATTTTTCTAGATGATCTAACGCGCTATAAGATTGACACATCCTTAGTTGACCAAATAAGTTTCGATTACTGCGAGTTTAGAATATAAGGCGACCATAAGCTCGCGACGTCGCTACTTTTCCGGCAAAAATCCTTGTTCCGTTCATAGCAGCCAAGCATACTTACCAAAATTTATTTTCTTAATAATACATATGATAAAATAAATATGTTTAAAATACGATATAGTTTCTTTATGGTAAGATTGCTTCTTTATTTTCACTCTAAAGCTTCTGATCCAGTATTGGGTAACAGCCAACATAAGAAACCACTAACTAAAAAATGTTTCATAAACTTGTAATGCAATTGTTCCTCTTCTTGTTTTTTACAATCACTTACCGAATAACATAGCAGAGAAAATAATAATAGGAATGATGCAGTTAAAGTCTATGAGAAAACCGAAAATTAGGTTACCCAAGAGTGCGCCGCTTCGTCCAAACGTCATAGACATTGCCGCTGCCATAACCCTGCAATTGCAAATTAAAATATCTTTAACGATCAAGACGCGCTGGGTATACACAGCTATTGTAATCAATTAATTTCATCGCCCCCCGATCGAGATTGGTTACATTAAAAAAAATATATATTTTGAGTTTTCTACAACCTCTTTGAAAGTAGATTACGCACGGATTGTGCATAGTAATCTTGTGGATGCGTAATGATGTTTCAACGAAAGTTGTATTGCGAAACTGACGTTGTTGATGCAATCTCCGTTGGAAATATGCAAATACAGGTAATTTATCACATCGTCCAAGTTTCTTCTGGGAAGGATTGTAAGTCATATATAGAACGTTTTCTCTTTTTAAATATTTTTAAATTTTATATGAGGGAGGCGCTAAGGGAGCTAAATCCGAGGCAAAAAGCGATTTTTCGGAGTGCTTTTGTTGAGTTTTTTAAACAGTTTGTTTATATGTCGAACTTGTAGTTTGTTTTTTCAGTCTTTCGATTAACTTCTTTAAAAGTATCGCAAACTTCAAGTTAATAAGTAAAATTCAATTGTTTACCTTAGGTTTGTTGGAAATAAATCCACCATTACACAATAGACGGTGCTTATGCTTAAAGATGTTAAAGCCTCAAAGATGCAGGAGAGTATCAAATTTTCCAAAGAGTTCCTTACAAAATACAAACCAATGGTAACGAAGCCTGCTGCTGTTAAACTAAAAACTGAAAAAAAATGTTTAATTTTATTAATTAACTTTTAAGACAGCATAAGAAGCTATAAAGGCGGTTACACTAGTGCAGATCTTTTAAATATAAGAAAATGAAACCTTTAGTTCTTCGTATATAATTGCATCTGTTTTGTAAGACGGACTGATTCGACTAAATGGTATGTTATTGGCAGAGTTAATGAACGAATTCTCGATAATCATGATGCGGAGTTTAAGTGTTTATTTTATCACGTTTTTTTATATTTATTTTTTATTACTAAGATAGATCTTACCCAAGAAGAATTTAATTCCAAGACGGTGCACACAAAGGGGTAACCAGAAACTAGTAGGAATGCATGCCAAACCAATTATAATGGTATGAAAGAAAACTTTCTCGTCAATGTTTTGATCGCAAGGAATTACTGTTCTGAAAAAAAGCATTAATTATATAACCTTTTATGATATTATTATTATTATTATCATTATTATATTCAAAGATATAGTGGAAATGGCAGCACTCAAGTAACGTTGTACATATTCCTGTTTGTAACTTACGAATTTGACACAACAATCGACGACACGCCACATACAGATGCGGACACGTCGGGATATTGTTTTTCAAACTCGTCGAATCGTTGGAAAAGCTCCGGAAACCATACCATCAAAGTGTAATAGCTACAAATAATGAAATGGAATGAATGAATATAATTATTAAGGCAAGTCTCGAAACATTTCGAATCAATCGACACACGACACACTTACCTAGTTGTCAAACAAAATTGTATGCCACATGTTATCGAATTGTTCCGTAAGTAAGGCTTCTTGTAGAGAGTCTTTGTTTGTGACCAAATTTCGGCAAGCAATTCCTTAAGTTCGTTAGGATTATGAAGTCGCAAGCTGCGTACACTTTTGCCTGATCTTATCGGTCCTCGCAGACTTTTGCACTAAAATCAAATCTTAATATAATTAATGAGCAAAGTTATAAACATTTTTATTTACTGCATATTCTTCTGGCTTTTGACCGGTATTCTTAACGAAAATATGAATCAATATTTCTAGAGCCTTATCCGATTCCCCATGTTCGAGTAGAAATTTGGGACTCTCCGGAAATGCTAACAGCCACAATCCGAGTACCAGGCTGTAAAAATGTCATTATATTCGTTGATAAGTGCGACTGAAACTGTTGCTTTGTAAGAATCATAAAAAAAAAAATAAAATTGGGTCAAATCTTTCCTACCCACCCATCTTCGTCTTAAAAAAAGAAAAAAAATCGCAAAAACACTACATCACACTACAACATTAGGTGAGCGCGACCAATTTCTTTTATTTTTGCACGATCATCTATAGAATATAGAATATATGAGTTATAATATGAGTAACAATTAAAACCACAATTCGTTTGCCTTTGGAAACAAACGTTTCCTCAGTTTGCGTTGTACTAAAGGCATGTGACTTTTATTTTATCCCATCTGACCCATTTCCGAGCCTAACCTGCGTGCCTTAGCATTTAAGGTTATTGCCGAATATGAAAGCGATTACTTAATTTTCGCTTGCGGAAGTATAAATTCGATGTTGATCGAGAGTATGTATACTTTGTAGACTCTCAGAAGCTTTCCTTTGATACCGCTCACGTTCTGGTAAAATGAGTGTAGGGACCACGAAATTTGAATGTGGAACCCGATAGTGTTTAAAACGTTAACAACGTTGAACTGATTCTCTGCAGCTTGGAAATTTTGTTAAAGTTAATATCTTGTTTAACAATACTACTGAGTCTATATAACTTTTGATTTACGATATGAAATCTTAGAACTACGTTAATAAGAAAATATGTGTCGAGATGCATATGTACATACCTTGGAACGGCACACATCGCTACGAAAAGATTCCAACTGTGATAGAAAAATATTCCTGATTTCCAATTAATGGACCTAGGGATTATCCCCCACGCGATGCCTTGAAGGAGGAGAATAAAATAACAGACTTTAGACCAAAATTCTTACACACAGAAACATACTGCACCTTCATTATGTTTTATTTAATTTCAATTGCTTTAGTGAACGCACCTGGTAACATTATAATACCGAACGTCCAGAATAGCTCCATCCAGCACAGTATTTTTTCCCGATATTTAGTGGGTTGAAATTCTCCAAGGTAAGGGAAAACAATACCCATTGTGCCAGCTACACTATAATCAAAAAATATGAAAAGAATCGGACTGAGTACTTAAGAAGTTTTCACTCGTGCAAATATATATATCGTATGACGTTAATAATGAAAACGCATTAACATTGTTCGCATTCACGTTTAGCGCCGTCTTAACGAGAAAATCGCTTGCTATGAGTTATTACATTTTCAGTTGAAAGGCTAAGGAAAGCTACCGAAGCTGGAAGATTTAGTTAGTTGTTAGCTTGATTCAAAAGAATTTTGTGTGCGAGTTTTTTCAGCTTTTGATTGCAAAAATATTTGTACAAGATTCTTTTGCAAAATTTCTTCGTTTGTACTTACTTGAAGCCATTGAAAAATCGAATTAATAGGAAGAGTAAATAGTAGGGTGCTATAGATGACAGTAAACCACAAACTCCGTCGGCGATTAATGTAGCTACGAGGACGATTCTTCGACCTTTCGTATCGGCGAGGCATCCCCAAAAATATGATCCAATCAACATACCAAGCATGGGTGTTGCTGAAAGCCATCCTTTATCTTCTGATGTCATTTGAAAGTCACATGTTGCTGACGGCAGAACAAAGGACAGTATTGTCACTCCAACCGCCGTGTTCATATAAATCAGGCCACATATAGTTAGCAGCATTAAATGAAATTTTCCGAAGCCGCTTAGGAGTAATGCGTTCTCATAGTTGCTAGATAGGTCTTCTAGAAAGTCAAGACCTTTTACAAAAGAGAAAATTTGAATTGGTTGTCAACTTGAAAGATATCGAGGTAATCTTAAGCCCAATCTCTGTACATCCACTAGCTTTATATTTTCGCAACACATAATTTAAGAAAAAACTCCCATTAGGAGTATGTTATTAATACATTATAAACTCTCTCCCGGAGTTATGAGAGTTATAATTTATCATCAAATAATGGGATAGATGTAATCAGGGAGATATAATCCGTACAATTTTATATTATCTTCAGTCATTTTTCAATGATGTTATGTTATATACATACATTATATGTTTTCTGTAGAACCCCCAGACCTCGTACTTACTTTATTTTAAGTTGCCATAAAATGATAGGGTACATGTAATCGGGGTGACCTAACCTGTATAGTTTTATATTATCTTTGTTTGCGACATTTCAGCCATTTTTCAAAGCGGACAATTTTTTTCACGGTCTTTTCTAAAATTTACTGATATACACAGGAGCAATGAGCTGTCTGATAATGAATAAAAAAATCTAATAATGTGTACATGTTTGCATGTGACATCAGCAAGCATCAATGAAAGGCCATAAGATACAATGAAATTTAATTAGGCTGTTTAGAGTGGAGTTTCTGTTAAAAAATTGGCATCAAGTGTGAAGTTTAGGATATACGGATAATTTACGCCTCTCTCGCACGAACTTACTGCATAAGATAACTTGAATGAACTGTTAGTAGTAGTTTGGTATAAGATCACTTTATTACATGAACTATTTATTGTTATTGTGTTTTCTAATACAATGCAAACAGTATCATGCGTTTCGAAAGCAATGCACTTGTAAATGAACTTTTGCTTATCTTATTCGGAGAGGCTGTAGGTTAATCGTGCGGCAGTATAGCATTACAATGGATTAAAAGTTAAACATATATGTATAGAAAAATAAAGTACTCATCCTGTTGTAAGAGATGAAGCTCTAGACGTCTGCTGAATATTTTGCTCCACGTCGTTCTTAAGAGACCAATTAATGTCGATTGGCATGTAATTTTCAGAAGTTTTAGCTTTCGCCCCAAGCAATGTTACAATCTTTTTCACTCTTCGCTGGTCTTATCTCTTATCATCTATCAAGTGCTGATGAACTATAAAAGTTAAATCATGAGAAATCATGAAAAATTTCTATATTTCACACAATTTTCAAACACTTTTAACATCATCATGTGTCGCATCATGTTTTGTACGGTTAAACGTGAAATACATAGAAATGTTATGATTAAAACTCTTTTATCCATTCCTGCCTCATGTGCCCTCATATAGCAATAACATCTACTATGGCTGCTGTCAGGCTATGTGGCTAGAATTTTTTTCCCATTTTTTATGCCCATTAAGGTAGTAATTGTTTCCATGGAATATGGTGTAGAATATATATATAATATTGATTTTCCAAAAGAAGGTTTGGAATATGTTCCGACAAAAAGCTAACTTTAATGCAAATGAAAAGCAATTACAACTGACATTATGCCAACTGAGGACTCAAAAGTAATTTGAATTTATATTTTCGTAAGACGCAATGGAATTTCAATATAGTTTTTGAAGACCTCAAATTGTTTTCTTACTCGATAATTGTTGGGAGATTTCAGTCTCTTTCTCTGTCTCTCTCTCTCTCTCTCTCTCTGTGCAAACAGATTAAGTTGTTTTATGCAAAAAAGATGCGACAATAAATGGATTGTGCCTAACAGGGGTACCTTTGCCAAAAAAAAAAATAAAAAAATAAATAATTTATTTATATATGTAATTAAACAAAAGCATGAATATGTGAGGAGATGTGTGTGAATAACTAAGGAAAACAAGAGCAAAATCCTCAATAACAAAATTGTCTCTATTTATTTACATTTCTTCAAACTAGACGTTTGCACGAATGTCTGCAGAAGTGGACACGTTCAAGTTTAATGTCATTTGACGTCGTCAATACAGAAAAAAAAGACTGCCTAATGGCTAAGAATTATTAGAATGATTCGTCCATCCATCCCTCTACCAAGGGCAATTTTTGGGCGGCATGTTTCGCGTGGCATTGCAGGCAATGTACGCATACAGCCGCACAAGCTAAATGTATTCAAATAATTACATAAGTACATGATGAACCTATTGTAAAAGATGCTTCTTTCTTTTAAATTTTTCTTATTATTTTAGTTTTTAATTTGCGCTAATAACAGCATTGCATTCCACTAATTTTTCGTCAAGAGAGCACAAACCCTTTGCACGCGCGTATACATATTAATAGATATGTGAAATTTAAAATAATTTTTTTTTTAAATGTCGTCACATCTAGATGATATAAGTGCTTGATCGGTCGACGTCACATTTTTTGCAAATATTTATTTACTTTTTCCGAAGCGAATTCCACTTTTCGTCCTTTATTTGCGATATGACGCGTATGCGTATGCGTATATAAATCACCTCTCCTCTCTTGAAGTTATTCACTAACTATTATTATTATTATTATTACGAAAATAAGCATTCCGTGTATGCGCATATATATATATGTATATATATATATGTATATATATCTATATATAACAATGGTAGGCAAGGTAGATGCTGCAATTATTTACAAATTTTATTTCTTTTATTCTTCACTCAAATGTTTATCGCATTTCTTTATAGACGAGCGAATGTTAATATTTATTCGGAACCGTCCGTAATCATACCAAGTTTATGAAAAACTAATGATTATTTTTGAATTTGTGAATGAGAAGCTGAAACGGGCGTTTATTTGTAAATCTTGTCAACGGATTTTTTCATTGCACTTCTGACTACTGTCTTTGCCAAATTGTTTCGTTTACAATAATTGACCAGCGTATCTCGTGAGAAATTAGGAGAATGCAATCACGCTCTTTAATTAATAAAATTTGTTTTTTTCGTTTTGAAATCTTTAACCCTTTTCTTTCCATTGTTATGGCATAACATTTACGTAGAATCTATTTCATGACACATTTTCACGATTTTTAAATGTTCCCTAATCGCCAAAAAGCCATAGCCAAGCTGCACTTTGTCCTATGAGATTATGTCTTTGAATCGAAATTGTACGGCTTCTAGGTAACCTGAGGGGACGACTCAAGTATAGCCGATAGCAGGACATATCACAAAAGTAGTGCTGCACAAAATAAAGTGTATTAAACTCATTACTTTGTTCATTTACATCTAACAATCTAACATCTAATAATGTTAAAATATTCTACTCAAAAATACGAAAATCAAAGTTTCTCCCCCTTAGCCAATGCTGCTCATACATAATTTTTTATTTATTTTGAACAATAATCTATACGTTTCCTCCACATAAGTTATTTATAAAAAAAATTTATTGCTGCCAACTACATCCATGCGCATGCATGCATAATATTGGAGCATTGTGAAGCAGAGATATCTGCACAATGTTGCAAGTGACACGATTTCGACTTTACACTTACGAGTTATAATATTTCGTGCAATTTCCTTTGCTTAATCCGATCGCCATCGCCACCAAACTTTTCAGTATTGGAGCATAATTATCAGATTGAGTATATCCATGTGCGTCGCTAAATTTTTTAGAAAGCCAGCTCGTTCCTAAGCTGCAAAAGGCAAACGAAATAAGGACAAGAAGTTCAGTGAATAAAAGCGGCCGCAATAATCGCTATAAGAAAATTATCGCCTTCGTTGGCTTCGTTAACTTAATGCTTTTCATAAATATTCATCAAAAACACACTAACGGACACATTTTTTCAGTTCGGAATAGCCATAGCAGCTCCATGTACAGACAATGCTCTTCATAAATCAAGTTGAATACAGTCGTCTAAGACATTTTAAGCGAATGAAATTGAAGTGTACCTCCAAATGGGAATCCAAAGTTTAAGCATATTAGATTGCTGTACCGACAGCTTGTTGTTCTCACAAAGTATAGAGAAATGATCGTTTCTTACGAAAATTGCGGCATCAATCGACGTTAAAACTCTTCGCGCTAAGTTATTGAGCTGAAATAAAAATTCCAATGTTTAAAAGCACGTTTGTTGCAGGAATACATGTTCATTTACTATTTGCATTTTTTGCTCCGATTCGAGTAGAGACGATCGGCGTTTGCGGCGAATTTCTTCAATTCCACCGTTCGCCAGATCGCCGTTATCCACTCCCTCCATAGCCATCATCGAGAGGTTGGTTTCATCTTTGGTCTTGGAAGTAGAAATCATTCATTATCAAATAGATGTTTGAAGTCTGAAAGGCTTCAAGGTTTTTACATTTGCCCAGACAAACTAATAGGTTAACAACAACAAGATTTTTGTAATATTCTATCTCCCTTTTTCTTGCACATACTACATATATATTCGGGGGGTTCCAATTATGTATGCAAAAAAGAAGGGACAAAGAATGTGCAGAAATTTCCATTTCCTTGCGTACTATTTCGAATATATGACTGTGGGAACGTACCATTGTGATGCACATTAAAACCTGTAGAATGAACATTCCAAAAGAGAGAAAAGCCAAAGTTGTAAGAGCAACATCCGCAACATCTTTTAGGCGGATTTCCGTATTCGATTTCCCCAAATTTGTTGGAGCTTCATATTGTTGAAAAGGTAAGGAGTTTGGCGAATTCCGTTCACGGTGCAAAACATGATCATTGTAACCGCGTTCGTGTCCTATGCATAGTGTACATAAGCATGCGAATACGAAACATTATTAATTTTTTCGTGCTTTCGTTTCCTCGCTTTTGTTGTGATCTGATTTCTATAAATATTCTTACCGGCTTTGCTAATACTCCGGCCGTATAAATCTGTGCGCGCACCGTTAGGTTCGTGTTGTTGATAATGTTGCGGATTGTGGGAAGAGTTGAAAGCCTTAAAACAATGTTAATATATATGTCAATATATGCTCCCCTTCTCTGCTTGCAAAGATATACCATATGAAAGCTTATGTGTCGGCGAATAAAATGCACATACCTCGCTGATGAAAGCGTAACCGGTTATGTCTCCATCCTCTGAGTCATCGTAATCCTCCTCATCTGCTTCACTCTCGTAATTATTCGTCAACAAGTTTCGTCTGTTTGATGGTACACTGACACTTTCTGCTTTACTCTTGTCCGTCCGTTTTTGTTGGAGTTGCTTCTGAATGTCTGTTAACATTTTAATTCTAAAAGCAAAGACAAGCCATTTTACAAAAAAAAAAAATTGCTCTGCCCGAAGATATGCGGACCTGTAGATCTATTGCTATGATATATTAACGAAACTTATTACATATTCGCCCAAATTGAAAATAGTGTGGTGCACACACACAACATGTCCGAAGAGCTGACTTTAAACATAACAAATAAAGCGTTAAGTGGTAGGTAAGGGTGTTTTTCACATCTTCACTGATTATGGACACAAGTTAAGACTGATTTTGATAGTACGGAATCGGACGTGGAAACCTTCCGATATACTTACATCAATTGTCACGTACACTGCAGTCGCCTTTTATTACAAAATTAATGTTCGAAGAACAATGTGTCGATATGAAGCACATAATTATCCAAAAAAACTTACTTGTGCAGCCAAGAAAGGTATTCTGAGGAGCCTTCGTCTTTAAGCCTTTTATGGTTCGAATAATTTGCATTATAATAATTGCTATCGTAGTAGTAAGTAGTTTGAGCATCCGAGAGGTTAGTAGCGGTCCCCAAACGCCTTTGAAGGAGGTCAACACGTCGAACGTTAGGCAATTGGTCATTTATTGCATCAGCTATTTGCTGAACCAAATAAGTGGACAATAGATGCTTATTCATCATGCGCCTTTGACGTGCAAGCGTAAATAGTATAAGTTATGATATCAAGGCACAAACTCAATTACATCTCACCTGTGATAACTCATAGTTTTTGTTGCACTGATTAAATCAGATGTGTTACACACTTGTGTATTTAGATATTGATCTGGATCTTTTAGATCAAGTATCGAATCGCTATTATTCAGTAGCAATAGCTCCTCGGTAAAAAATTTCACAGGTGTTAGTTTTTCGTTGAGAATATCTTTCACGTCAAAATTGAAAACATGGTCTAATGAATAAACGCGATATCCAGTAAAAATTGCTGATAACAATATAAAGGTTTGTAAGTTGAAAGCTTTTACAAAATTGCCAGACATCTCAGACAACATTTAAGCTGCTCTACCGATCATAGTCGACTGGAACTTATGATTCTTCAATAGTTGTCACATGGTGTGTGACTGTTCTTCTTGAAGAGATTTCAAGTTATGCTCTAATTATTGTATACGTTTCAATTTAAAAACTTTCTGTGTAACAATAAATGAAAGAATGAATACAAATGAAGCATTTTTTTTTTTAAATTACAAACATTTTCAACAATTATTAACTTGTGTAAAACGAAACATAAATCATAAAGCAACGATAGCGCATTAACCGAGTTTTCCTCTAATTAACTTATTGTAAGTGAAAAAATGTAGAAATTCTTTTATAATTAGCAGTCATTCCTGAAAAATATTTTAATATCTCCATATCTCCATATACAGAAGCCTCCAAATTGCAATACATAAAGGGCAGGCAATTTGACTCACCTCTACATCAGATTTACGTAAAACAGCACAAATGATGGCATGAGTATTTGCTACGACCTCGTGCTGCTGAGTTTAAGGAAATTCAAAAAATAATTCTGATGAAATGGATAAAGCGTGGCTTTAAGGACAGTACTTATTAGAAAAGTGTAACTGCCTTCCCTATTTGCTGAAGACGGGAAGGAAATGTTATGTAGGGTTCATCCCAATTTAAGTTTTCTCTCGCAACAGTGGTTTCAATTGGTGGCCATATGACATAACACCAGAAGATGTAAACAAGAGGATGTGTTTTTAATTTTGAAGTGAAATTTAACTTAAGGAATTCAGTTGAGAATGCACAGAGCAAATTTGAATCTACGGTCAATATCTCGGTACGACACAGTACTATATAACGCACATTACAAAATATGAACAATTCTATTGAGATTTCTTCTCCGAATGTTACAACTCCGTGTCATTTTTGAAACTGTATGGATACATACCTGTCCGAATTCCAAAGCTTTGCTAAGGGGTGATGCTTTGCGCATGCTATCTGTAGCCAAACAACAAACGAACAGGTGAAATTAAAAAAAAAATTTATGAACATTTTAGTCAAAAGCGGTACGGAAAAATTTTAACACGACCGATGTCTATATGGGGAGTGTTATTTTAAAATTTGAAAATCTCTACTCCATATGCATGCCATACATAAATGTATTTATATATAAATTTCATAAATTTGTTAACTTATGGAATTGTGAATTCGATTAAATAAAGTTGATTTATTGTGAAGATAAGCCAAATAATATGTAACTTGAATGTGTTCGTCTTAATAAATTTTTGTATCTACATAACTAAACTAAATAAAATTCGTCTCCCAATCAAATTCGTATTGCAAATGTATGTTTGTGCATGTACGGGTAAATTTATAAATAAGCATATGCATAGTGAAAATGGATAAAGCCAATTATATGCAATGTAACTAAATTTATGGCGAGAGAATGCCTATTGCAAATATTTTAACAAAGACAGCACGCAATTGTTAGTTTGTAACGTTAAAATTTACTTTTAGATGAAAAAGTAACTTTGGTTGGTTGCTTGTCGCTGGAAATATGTATATGCAAATAGCAAGAGTCCTAGTTTCATCAATCGGCATGCAAAATACGAATGCCTGTGGTGCTATGTTCCAAAAAATTTCCGTTTTCAAATAAATGTATTCTCGATTAAAAGCAGAGCACGTTTTTAATAAATTAAAAAAGATTAATCTTACTTACTAAAGCAATACCTTGTCACATATTTATCTTCATACATGCCCTTATAGGACGGCAAAGAAATTTTTAATTGTATTCGTTTCGCAATTAAAAAAGATTATTAATTGAAATTATTTCAAATTTTGCTTTTAAAATATTAAAAATAAGTTAATAATAGAATAATCGTCAACGATTCAATCATAACGTTTGCCATTCGTGCAACATTTCATATCTCAATTTATCCATCCCTTAAGATATTACAAACTACTTAACATATTGCCGACTTCTAACTGGTTGCATTAAATTGCATCTACAACGTGAACTTACTTACTTTTCATCTGTAAGCATTTATTATGATTTTATTAAAACTTTTCGCACCCACTTGTTGAAACGATGAACCGAAAGAATGTCAGCAAGTCAGGTTTAAATTATTCATGACTAAAGCACTGAATTTGTTAGTGAAATTCTTATGAATACCATCATCTTATGATTTGGAGGCGAATCAAAGCAAGAGGGAGAGAGATTGTTGTGATTTTATATAAGGAAAGTACAACAGTGCGTAAGCTTGCACGCTTCAAAGCACCGCGCACAAGTAACGTCCGTAATGCCCGATTAAAATCGCTTATATAATTGCGAAAGGAAATAGAGCCGTATATTTGAAGAAATATTTGGATTGGTAATTTCAACAAATGAATTAAGCAATCAAGTCAAGCCAAACGTATTCAATGAGAAAAAGTAAAACTAAAAATTCAAAAAAATAAAGTAAAAGTAATTACAAAGACAAAGACAAAGAAGTTGAGACAACTAGCAAGCAATCTCAAAAGCGAGGAAGCGAGGGTAGCATAACTCGAGACATTTGTCGTTAATCATTGATTCAACTATACGTTGGGCTTTCAACAAGCGAAAACCTTTTTACAATAAAAGGTAACCTTCTACTTGCCAGCGATCGGTGTTTATAGTGCTTCGGGGATTCTTCAGCGGGTATACCCGCACTTTGAAACAGTATGCCCGTTGTGCAACTCAAAGACGATAGCAGTGGTCGTAAACTGTGTATGTCTACGTTTGTATTAATGCAAATTCGTCCCAAGAGGCGAAATGTAAAACCATTTTCACAACTCTGTCGAGAATTGCAAATAGATATGGAACGAGCAGTGACTTTGGCTTCTGTAGAACGGCTATGGAATTTTAAACGTTTTATAATTCAATAATTCATTAACATTGATATATAACATCGCTTTCGTGTGTACGAAAGAATTGATTACAGGTAGAGTGTAGAGAAGAAAAATCTAATTAAATGACTTGTAGTTTAGTTAATAAAAACAAGCTTGCTTTGTCCACTTGATAGGAGCATGCATTAACTGCGTAGCTTTGAAATTGAACAGATGGGGATATTAGCCATTTTAGAAAAAATCTCATCCATTTTCACAGTGCCCATTGAAATATAAGTTCGATTATTTTAAAATTCTTTTATTCTCTTATGTATTTATTTATTTGTAAAAAAAAGTGTCGAAATTCTTTTTCCCTTCAAAGAAAAAGTCATTTATTATATTGAAATTATCGGAAAAATGCGATCCATTAAAATATGTGCATGTGTCACATATTGAATATTAACTTCTATATTTAGTAGAATAACTTTGAACATAACTTGATTACTATGCAATTATACGATAAACATACGAAAGTGCATTTGCAATATATGCACAATGTGTTATATGTTAGTGTAAATAAAAATAAATAAAAAATATAATGGAAATAATACTATTCACGTTATCTCTAACTGCGATTGTATTGGACTTCACTGGTGCCCTTAAAAACGGTCAGTATGTGATGCTTATTTTTAAATGTAAATATGAGTTTGTGTGAATATGAGTAGAACGTTATATTACTCAAGGCAGATGTCTTCTTCGGTAGGGAAAGTGAAAGGCTTCACGAAATATTCGAGTCGCGCTTCAGATCGATCGATGAAATTTGTTATTCTGAAAAACCATCTCATAGTGCTTCAGTATCTTCAAAGGATCTTATGCTTCGCAACGCAAGCTCCACCTTCAAGTACAAGCATCATTAGGTTTAATGTTTGAAGTGCATCCCGAAAGGCTTTGCTCTTACTTACGGCCTTTTTGCTTGATTAAATTAGACAATCAATCCATCCTCCATCCCAAGTCCCCGCTATAAGACATTATCTCTATCATTTTCAATAGCAAGCAAGCAAGTATAGCATTGTGCCTTGCAGCATTGGTTTCTAAAAACTGTTTCGCTTGGAGCTTGATTACATCGTAACCTTTTGTCTTAAGTATCAATCTTGAGAAATGCTGACAGACTTGTTAGGCTATCAAACAGACAGGAAAAATGAGTGCATCTCTTCATGTGGGCTTTACATGTGCATGGGCTGGAAAGCATTTCCATCAAATTATTCGTGAATTTGAATAAATTTGTAAACGATACCTTTGCTTTTTGAGCTCCGAGTTAAAGAAGAGATGAGCTTTATGTGCTTTTTATGCAAGCAAAATGGAATTTTTGTGTTGTATACGACTGTGATTATATGCTCTGAATATCTTAAACTTTCAACTTTGTTTTATTCATTTCGAAACGTCAGGATGCTTGTCCATCTTTGCGTATGTCTGCGATTCCCCTTATCGCGACAACTACGATATTTAACAAAAACCTTATGCATATTTTTCGAAGGGATGGAAAATGGTCCAAATCAGTCAAAGGACACGCCTACAGTACAGCATAAATTGAGATAAATAATAAATTCTGCTTTCAAAGGCATTAAGTGCATCCACTACAACAATGCACTGAGTATTCTACGATAAATGAATGTGGATTGATAACCTATGCAGCAGCAGTGATCTGCAAAGTCTTGATTCCTTATACCTCTTATGTCTGCTTTATAAGATATTTCTTATTTAAGGGGGTTTGAATTGAAAAAGAGCTCGATTCGGTTTGGTTTAGTTAATACGTACGCGAACTAATGCGAAATCATCGCTTCATTGTTAATTAATAGCTGGCGCATTAATTAATCAGACTCTCATGTATTTCGCTTCTGTACTCAAATATCCAATTAAAATGTTTTAAAGTTTATAAAAACCGCGAAATCACAATTAACGCTAGTCATAGGATTTTAATTCAATTTTTCTCGTGGTCATGCACAGAATCGTGCCGATAAAAACTTTATAGCTATGTTTGAATATTAAATATTAGTCGAAGTAATATGAGCGCAGCCCTAAGACTTTCCCTTATTCCCAAAAACAATTGACACACTCTTTTATGTGCTCCTGCCCCATACGCAAGAATTTATGTAAGTTTGAAGAGCGCAAATTAAAAAATTCTTTTTTATTAATAGATTCACGACAAACTGTAAGTTCTGTGCACGAAATAGAAGCCTTAAGTGGAGAAACAATATATCTTCCGTGTAACGTAAGCACCTACGACGATGACGAAGTTGTCTTAATTTTATGGTATAGAGATGGTAAAAGCACCCCTATATACAGGTATGTATGAGTAAGTACGAGTACACCAAAACAAGCTATCTTTACAAACTTTGCAGTTTTACACGAGTACTCAAAGACATAGTAGTCTACTGCTTCAGTTTGTTATTTTTGCACAATCAAAGAACTGCACAGAAATATAAAAATACGCATCAATATGCCTGCACAACGTATGCCTAGCATATATTAGGTCAGCATAGGACTCCAAGTGTGCTGACTTTTAATTTTTACTTATTAAAGTTTTTTTTTTTTTATAAATTTTCGATGCCTGTAGACGTTAAGCATTAATCAGACCTTGAAATAGATGTTTTGAAATAACATGGTTTTACCAATATTGTTAGGCAGATCTTCGTACAGTTTTTACGTCATTTCTTTAAAAAACTTAAAGATAATACATTTTAACTGCGTGTAGGGGAACACATAACGAATTTCAAAGCGATGGGCCGTGTTATTCAGATAGCTAAGTAAAGCAAAAGTAGGGAAATGGGAATGAACGTAAGCGAAAATAATTAAAGGTTTTTCTCGATTATTGTCTCATCGTAAGTGTTGTCTCATCGTAAGTGTGCAGTCTACTAAGTTTCGAAAAAGAGTTCAACGTTAACATTGAAGTTAGTCATAAAATTTTGCAGCAGTCAATTTATTCAAAAGTCTTACTTGATTATAAAAGCCTTTCTCTATTGCTGGCAAATTTTACTAAATTTTAGTGTCGACATTCGAGGAGGATACCGGAAAGCTGCAAAAAGATGGTCAGACGACACAATGTTTGGAGGAAGAGCGTATTTCATACTTGACAAGGGACCAGGGGCGTTGTCTATTCAAGATTCCAAATATTCTGATTCAGGTATCTACAGATGCCGCGTCGACTTTCTTAAAGCCCAAACTCGCAACACTAAAATTTCCCTTTTTATCATCGGTAAGTCATATCGATTTTAATAACGAATAATTTGAATTATGAAGTGAGTCAGGAGTAAGCTGCAAAAGGTTGGAAACTATTATATAAACTAATATATCATCCAAATGCGAATACTTATTATAAAAGCTTTTATTTTGCGCAATTTTGCATTGGCCATACGAAATATGCTAAGTTTTCCCTTCATTTTATTTTCGATGCAAAATCCCAAAGCATTTTAATAAAAGCGTCAATTCTAAATAGTCTATGTTCCAAGAATTCATCCATCAAGGACAACTGAATTCTCCTCAGCGAACTGCGAAACCGCAACACGAAAATAGTTGCAACATTCTTGCAGTACAGTTAATATCAGACGCTAACTTCCATTACTTAAAGAATACAGCGCCACCAGATGTCTTGAAAGACTGCCGCGTTTTGAACCGATAATTACGAAATTATCCCCGCTTATTAAGGCATTGTTTTCCCAATTGCCTTCACTTTGCTTCAGTTTGCATAGCTGATATCATTTGGCTTCTTATGCGTTAGCAGCTAACAGTGTAAGATCTGCAAAGCGTTTCAAATGGTATAAACACATCCTATATTTGCGTGTTTTTTTATATGGATAGCTTAATAAGGCATGTGAACGTTCGATAATAAGGAGTGTGGGAGATCATTTCGAAATAACACTCAATAACTAATTTGGATTGTGGATTTGTAGTTATTTGTTTCTTTTGTTAAATAAAATCTTGTTGCAGGCCCAGCAGATAGAATTTTAATTCGAGATGATTCCAACATTGAACGATCCACTGTAGTGGGCCCATACACCGAAGGTGACGTAATTTCATTAAAATGTGAAGTTCTAGGAGGTGAGTATTAGTATGGTCTTCATATAATTCATGTTTTATTTTGTTAGCATCAGATATGTCCCAACAAAATGGCGTTCGCGGTGTTGAGTAAGAAATGGCTTAGTCCATTTAGATTTTTTTTGGTTGTAGAATTGCACTCAAGTGGCGGTGAATGGGGACTTTTCACGTACAGACTTACAGAAGACTGCAAAAAGTTGTTTCATATGAGCACTTGTGTTATTTCATAAATACTACACTTTTTGCAGGCAAACCCCTACCACAAATACATTGGTATCGGGATGGCAATGAAATTAACGCAAAAACTAATGCTTCTCCAGATGAAAAAGACGTGTGGAGTGTCGTAATCCTTGGCCCGTTAGGCAGGGACGATCTTAATTCACGAATTGTATGCAAAGCTCTAAGTCACCCAAGGGTTCCATCCATTGAATCCGTTGTTCAAATTGACATGAATTGTAAGTTAACTTAATTGTGGGCGATCGTATAAAATGAATAAATAATTGTTAAAAATTTTCAGTTACACCTTTGAATATACGATTATTAGGAGCTCATCAACCTTTATCGGCGGGACGACGATATGATCTGCTATGTCAGAGCGCGGGCTCACGTCCCCCAGCTGTGATAACGTGGTGGATAGATGGTATTCGATTAGAAAAAACAACGGAAACGGTAATGGAAAATAGAATGTAGAATAGATCGTGGGATATACCCTCATTTGATTTACTTTAGACTTCAAGCGATGGAAATCAAACAACCAGTACCCTTTCCATATCATTTAGTAAAACTGATGACGGGAAATTGCTGACGTGCAAGGCTTACAATCACGCAATTCCCTCAGAACCTCTAGAAGATGGATGGAAGCTAGATATTCAATGTAAATCTGTTTCCTACTTTATCTTACGTTTTTTCTCTTAATCCCGCCAATCTGGAAACTTTTAATTTATTAAACCATAACTAACTTAGTCTATTTAATTTAATTACATGAATTTTTAGACATTCCAGAGGCTTACGTCCGTTTAGGGACTTCGTTAATATCAAGCGCTATTCGGGAAGGTACAGATGTTTATTTCGACTGCTTGGTCACTGCACACCCGCCAGTTTATAAAGTCGAATGGCAACATAATGTAAGTGTACATTGGATAAACAGTCAGATAAATCGTAAGGAACTTGCCTCAGAACTCATGGGTAGGCTCCTCTTCTTCTGTTACAGTGAAGTTAAAGTTTTGAAGAGTTTCTTCTTTAAAATTCATGTCACTCTTACATTGTCTTTTCTTTTTAATTTCGCACTTGCGTACGGGGGGAGGCTGCATGTATTAATACCCAAGACAGGCTAGATGTTATAAATCTTGTAATGAACTTGTTCTCTTTTTGCTTTTACTATTGCTGCTGAATTGTCAAACGCATATAGATGTACTTTACAGCCCGTTGCATTTTTTTTGCGTATTATTTTCTTATGTTTTCTTTGTTGAAGGAATCCTGTCTTTATTACTTACCGAAAATCACCGAAGTAGCTCTTTTCCGAAAAGTTAGACTCGAATTTTGGCAACATACATCCTGAGAAGAAAAATAAAAGCCGATTTCAAATAAAAATGTGGGAACCACGATATAATAGAAGAAATAGCTTAAAAGCTGTAAAAGCTACAAAATAACGATTGAGAGCTAAAGTAAAGGCAAATAAAATAAAAAATATTCAGTATATACAGAGTGCACTTCTCTGTACAGACGTCATTATCAAGTTACTAACTATATATGTTCAAAAGGAATGAAAGCACAAATCCACAAACGTGCACTCTATCCTCAACAAATGAAAAAACATCGCCTTTTATTCTACGATAATATCACCAATAAACTCAAATATGAAGATACTTTCAGAACAATCAGTCGCCTTAAAAAGTCTGTGATAGTCTGCGATTCTTTAGAAACATTGGATGCAGGGGGGCGAGACAAAGACTGTAGATAAAAGAATTAATGGGTGCAAGTTCATCATTATGAAAATGGTTTTAAGGGAATCTCTACAGCTAAAATACCACATGCTCGTGCAATTAAAGTCACACAAGATCCGAAGGGATTAAGTAGAAATGATGGCCAAAAATATTAAAACTTCCTTCATTCTTGAAATAAAAACGTTGTGTATCTGTAAGGCACACTACTTGATGAACGAGGATGAGGAGGCTCTGCCTAAAATAGAGAACCGGACTGGAAACTTTCACTCTTTTCTTTTATCCCATGAAAGAGATCTTGACGGATAAACGAAATCCTGCCATGGCAACTGCATGTACGTGCAAATACGTACATACATGTAAAGGATGTTTTGTGAATAGCTTTAAATTAAGACGACGTCATCTTTGAGGAGAGGAGTAAAGTCTACATTTTTTCTTGTATAAAATAAGCATATGATGTTTAATTTTAGGACAAATCATTGCCGCGTAATGTGTCACAGGGCGTCATTGTCAGCAACTACTCCTTAGTTCTGCAAGGCGTTTCAAAGTCTACCGCCGGCAATTATACATGCGTTGGTTTTAACAGCGAAGGCGAAGGGACAAGTGCACCATTCTCATTAAACATCTTATGTAAGTTAGTTTATGTGCATGAATTTGCATTTATTTCAGAATCTTCACATTAGCTGCATGACTCCGACTTAACAATAATACCAGTTAGCGTACCTACATACCGACATTGCATTAGTGCACATGTGCGAAATGTGCATCATGTTGACAAAACGCTGCTTTATAGGACGCTATATGTTCGAAAGTATATAATGAACAACCAAGTTTTAGCGCCATATAAAGCGACACGCTTTGTCTGACATTCCGAGTCTAAAGTCTCCCAACAAAATTTTTTTTATATTTATATATAAAGACTTTGAGGATTGCTTACGAGTAAATTCAAATATATCTTAAATGTCATTTGAACAGATGCTCCCACATGCCTTCCAAATCAGCCAAGAATATACGGAGTAGCAAAACAGGAGGACGCAAAAATCAGGTGTTCTGTAGACTCCAATCCTCCCGACGTTGAATTCAGCTGGACTTTTAATAATTCTGCCGAAAGTATAGACGTCGCAGCCAACCACATTTCGAGAGCAGGTGAGTACGACAATCTACAGCAAGAAGCACAATAGAGGCTTATTTATAAAGTTGTGTATATGTATATACATTTTATATTTTTTGACTTTCTTTTCCTAGGCACAACATCTGTTGTGACTTACACCCCCATGACGGAGCTTGACTATGGAACACTTCTTTGCATAGCAACGAACAAAATCGGAACCCAACGAACGCCCTGCGTTTTTCACATAATTGCTGCAGGTAAGAGATTTAAAGTATATCTAAGTAAATAATAAGTGCAACCCGCTTTCTGTACACATTCTATCAAAATTCCTATGTTGTATGTTGTTCTATGAGCTTTAAACGAAAGACTATTTTTATTATTATGTATTTACGATCTTCTTGGTGTTTTTAGAATAATGCAGTTTTTATTCAAAATCGCAGTCGGCCAAAGATTTTGTTTGCGTTACAAATTGAACAACGGATATTAAATGAATTCCGCGTTATTTATACTTTAGATTTAGTTACAGTCATGTTGTTGCCTTGTGCATTGTGGAATGCGTTATACATTCCCTCCAATCTAATTTAAAATTAGTTCAGACAAATAACGATTTATATCATATGCAATCTTAGTTAAATTATTCTGATCTGTGATTCAATCAACTATGAATAATTTCTTTCAAGGACGCCCGGATCAGGTGCACAATTGTAGTTTAACTAATATTTCGATGACTTCACTCACTGTAACATGCATTGACGGATTTAACGGAGGTCTTCCGCAGCTTTTTATTTTGGAGCTGATTGATTCCCAAACGAGCGTAAGTAAAGAAAATCACTTCAAGTAATCTTTCATGTGATTATTAAAATAAATTTTATGGTCGAAAAAACAAATTCGTCACAATAATGATCATAGTTCAAAGAAGGCCAATATACGCGGTGTGTGTGTTATTACGGTAAATTAAAAAAGTTTTGCAGATTTTTGACTATTATTCATAGTAATGTAAAGAAACCACAATTTCGAACAGGAGGTAACTTTTACTCTCCGAAAATTGATGAAAGTGATTTTGTTGTAAATACATACATTTATTTATTTTATTTTAATTAATGTGTTCACAACAATTTATATATTGAATGAACTACTTTCAGGAAATTAGAGCAAATATAACATCAACTACGCCTAGATTTACCGTGTCCACATTATTACCGGGGGGCACGTATACTTTACTAATGTACGCCTTTAACTCGAAAGGAAGATCCGATCCTACTGTTTTGACTGCAGCTATGTTAAAAATGCCCGAAAAGCAATTAACATCAGAACCAGGTACTATACGCATGAAGCTGGTTCTTAACCTTATATGAAGAGTAGACATGGGTCTTTTCATTTTTCCAGCTAAAAATATGCAAACCGATTACTTGGTTTCGCCAATGATTTCGTTGACGGTAGGATTAACATTAGCTGTAATGGTCGCTGGATTAGCTGTCGTTTTAGCTTTACGAATTCCGTGCAACAACTCGAGACACTGGCAAAAAGAATTCAGAAACGAACGGGCAAATCGTAATATTTCCCCGGGACAAAGTGATAAAAGCCTTGAAAGTAAAGAAGCAGACGACAACGAAATTGATGAAAAAAATCCAGACGTTGTGCCTGAATTAGATGATCCCAGTGACAAGGTATTGAAATGAATTATGTTATACCATTGAATAGGTTAATTTAATTACTTTTCATTGCGCATGTGCAAAAGCCTTTTTTTTGTGTTTGCAATAATTAGAATTTTCTATTTAGCCTCCACCATTTTTTATTTTTAAGCCGTTTTTAAATGACATCTAAATATATTACGGACGACGTGAGAATAATAAATCCAATCCCCAAAGACATTGTTCAAATTTAGATTGATTCAAATAATTGAATTGAATTGATTATGGAATCAAAATCAATTGCCGTTATTTTTAGTTTTAGTACTTAAAAGTTAAAAGTGGTCGAAATTAAAAACGCAACACTACAATTGCTGTGACAATCATTTTTGTAATTTTCATTCAATCATTTATTTAAAAGAATTTTATAATTCTCTTTGCAGAACGTTTCTTCGTACATGTATTCGCATTCAATAGCCCATTGTACACTACCAAGGCTGCCCAACCAGCAATTATTGTCCAATTTTGGCGGATCAGTTCCGGGTGCCTTCCCTTCCTTACATCAACTAGCGCTTCAAGCACCTGTGGATATACAACCGAGAATGGATGCTTTCACTACATCCAATAACTCACCGTTACATAATTCTAACGTATGCGACGTCAATGAACCTCCGGATATTCAATACATTAGCCAACAACCACCACAACGAAATAGGAAACTCTTAGAAATAGAAAGTAATACTGTGCATATTTTGAAACCAACCGGTTTATTACATAAGGAAATTGCATTTCAAACTCCTTTCATGATTAAACGGGAGAGCAATGTATGACTATAGGAGTACCACAGGGTTCTTGACACTACCCTGTGAGTTTTGAATTGACTACAAATTCTTGGTAAGTACTCTCGCACGCATAACTTCAACATCGCCTAATAAGCATTTTCGTTTACTTGCAGATTTAGGCGTATATGCACTTTTGCAGAGGTTTTGTTTTATTTCGTCCGGTCAACGTCAGTGTTGAACCAGGGAAAAATCAAAAACAACTACTATACACGAATTCGAATTGTGTAATTAGTTCCATTTTATATGAGTTCGTTACTGGTCAATTTTAATATTTCTCTCTAATTTCTATAGCAATCTTTAAGAAATAAATTTTTTTTATGAAATATGTATATACATCGATTCACATTTCTTTCCCTCACCACATACGTAGCAAAAATCAATATGCACTTTGGGTCTGCATTAATGGAAGCATAAATTGCCTAATAGTTTTACAACTAACACCGAAAATGTGATTTCCGAGAGTGTAGCTGGTTTATTATAATAGCAAAGGAATTTTCAATTTGTTTTTTGAAATCTGCTTAATACCTTGGAATTTGGGAATGGGTGTAGTCGATCAATCGAAACATTGAAATCTGCCCCGATTTTTTTTTCACCGAAATTTATTTTGGAACTGACGCTTAGGTCCCCTGGAAGACGGCATTAGTCCTCAGTTAAAACAATTCCGTATACTAGAAAATGTATTTTATCAAATCAAATTACATTTCTTACGCAACAAAACTTCTCTAGGGCGAAAAAAGTTGTAAAAAATGTACTTTTTTTAAGAGGTCATTTTCAAAATATAAGATTAATCCAATATGAGGTTTTGAACGGTCAAAAAATATCCTCATAACGCTTTTGCTCTGTAGTGCTACAACTTTTCAATAATACGTTCGGACGATGTATAAGCTTTTATTCTGTGTTGAATTGCTCGCGATGAAACCTGTAATGCTCTTGCTATTTACGTATCTATTAACTTAAAGAACCTAACTGCATTCCAATAGTCAGCGTCTTCAAATGTCGAACACGAATAGATGTGTATATATTTGTATGTATGTGAGAACCGTCTTAGAACTTTCCTTTTAATAAAAACAGTTATGCACTTTCATTAATCTTTGAAATTCTACGCTTTTTGTAACTTAAATAAGCACAATTCGGCAGATGCAAGTTTATAGGTTTAGTTAGAAGAAGAGCAACCAAATCTTAGCTTACCTATGTTCGGTTTCACAGATTTTCTTTTGGTCGGAAAATTCACATAGTTTCTTAAGTTATTACAAGTTTTCCACGAACTGAAGAGAAAGTAAACCGAACCAATGCTGCCAATATTGCACTATGGCATGTTTAAAGAAAATAACGATTTATTCGTTTACGCATTGCATAATGATATTCTTTCGCTGTTTAGTGCACACTTATGTAAATAATTGATACAAATAAAGGATTCGATTAAAACAAGTCCGCTCGGCGAAAACATTTGCGCCGATTTTCGTAAGATGTTTTAAATAGAACATTCACACATAGTAGTACTAATAATCTTTGAAATTTGTCTTCCATTTTCCGTATGAAACACTTGGGTAAAGCTCGTTCTATGATATAATTTTTAATTTTGCCTCGAATGCCTTAAATAGTTCGGAACCATCCTCTCAATCTTTTTTTTTTGCCTGTATGCAAGTGCAAATGATGCATATTACGTAAGGTAAACGCACAATGTCAGTGCAAGATAATTCGAGAAGGATTATGATCGCAAATTGTTGCGGCATTTATCAAGTATATCTTTTCGAATTATGGTATAATCGGGATGTAGTTTTAAGACTTGCTGGCATATTTCAATTGCATTGGCGAAACATCTTGTCTTCATATGATTATAGGCCAATTTATATCCAATATGAGGTTTTGAACGACCACAATAATTCCACGCATTCTCATAACGTTTAGCTGCATCTCTGTATTGTTGCGACTTTTCAGCAATATATCCAGACAGTTCATAAGCTTTCGCGCTGGATTTATTATATTCCAAGATTCTGGCAATCAGACCCTCAGACATATCCCATTTGTTGCTGTTAATATATATATCCGCTAATAGAAGCCAACTACGTTCCAAATATTCTGCCTCTTCAAATTTCCACGCTACCTTTGCCAAGCGCTTTAAATTGTTTTTAGCACGATGGGCTTGCTTCAACATTACCAGTGCCGTTGACATTCCCAATATAGGGCCAACAGCATCTTGATTCTCTTCACGTGCAGATAGCTCAATAAAATCCTGTAAAGCTTGCTCTACTTGATATTTTTCTTTCGAAGCTAATCTGAGAAAATTACGCATTAGCTGATGATTTAAAGCTTCGTTATCCAAACCAATCGAACGTGGGTGCAATTCCTTTAGCAACCGGTCCGCAGTTTTCAATGCTATTACGCGTGAGTTATTAGAGTCCATGTTATCGTTTCCTTCTAACAAATCATTGCTTTTTGGAATATCCCCATCTGGATTAATGCAAATTTCAATCATATTAAATATAGCTTGTTGTCCCCATTCAGAATCCTTGCGTGCAGCGTTAAAATGACGTAATGCTCCATTTGGATTTCCAGTATACCATTCATAAAGTCCGTTACAATACTGAAGTCCCGGCATTTGGTCGGGTGCAACAGTGGCTTCTTTGGAACGCTTCAGAAAGGGAACAACGTCAAGTAAGGTCCCGGAACGTCGCATTACCTCAACAAGACGAGCCAATGCGGTCCAATAGCAAGGCTGCAACAATAGCAATTGCGAAAAATGATAGGTGGCATTTTCCAAATCCATCTGCAAAAAATAAGCAGAAAAATTAAAGAATTACTACACATTCTAATCATATTTACCTTTCTAAATGATAAATCTGCCATAATGACCGATGCCGCTTCGTTGCTGTTATCAATTTGCAATATTCGTAAGCAAATTTCTCGGCATGAGTCCATAAAATCCATTTGTATGTAAAGCCGAGCCAAAGAAGTTAAAATCTCAATGTCGTTTGGTGTGTACTTCAAGCATTCTTCAAGGCAAGCTAAGGCCTCTGCATTATTTTTAAGATGACTCCAGTATTGTGCCATTAGTAAGCATATTCTTTTTAAAAATCATTAAATAAGAATGTTATTATGCTGATTGCACCTAAGCAATGATTTTAAAATTTAATTAAGGATGGACGAATCGATTGGCTTTACAAAATTTTTTGTTTAGAGTTGCAGCCTTCGAACTCTAAGATGGTAACAGTTCATTCCGTAGTGGAATTTTGAAGTTTTCTTGAAGGTACATAGGGTATCTTATCAATTCAAGGGAACTACCGGAACAGAGAACGGTGCAAATGTAAAAAACTTTGATTTACGATGCTTCTTCTTTGCGAATTATATAAAGGGAATATATTAGTGTACTGCACAAAGTAACTTATTTTATTATCATTATTATTTAAACGCTGTAATAAAATTCTCAATTTAAATTGCAATAAAATATGATGTTTTTAAATAAGCCAAGATCTACTGTGACATTTGGAAAGATTAATCCCGAGCGGGCCACATAAAATTAAGGTCATTACGAACTTTATGATTCCTTTGATTCATCTGGAGCCCATGTGCTCTCCGCCTCACGTCGAATTTGTGTTATCACTTCAGCTAGTGCTTGCGGATGCACTCCTGCTTCTATTAACTTAATGGATATGTCCAAACTTTCGTCGCTCAGACCTGTGTTTAGCAGCTGTGATATACCCTGAAGGCTGCTGCGTATTACTTGCGACTGCTGTAATTTTAAATAATTGCTGCCACCGCTTCCTTTCTCTGATTTTGTTTCCAAAATATCTTCACTCTTGTAGGACATATCAATATAAAACAATATACGCAACGCCAATCTTAGAGACTATAGTTTACAAACAGTTGTAATGCAGCAACGCTAATCGATTTTACAGGGTTACCAACTTTATAATGCTTATTTTACGACAAAAGAAATTACTCCGCCGATAATAAGCAAAATTGGACATTTTGTTTCGAAAAACAATTAGATAAAGTCTGTGAAATTGTTTATTGGTTCGATAATTTATAATATTAACAAAAATTTTATCTATGACATTTCGAATTACTTTATTTAGGACAAATCTTTTAGACAAATCCCTATTTTCGTTCCCCCGTAACATGGCAATCGTTGTATTATTGAATTGTATGTCGATGCATTATTTTCTGGGCCAAATGGTATTATTTGACAGTGAATTTTTTTTTTGTAAGTTTGTTTTTTTATTTAAGGCTACTTAATGGCGGACGATTTACAAAATTATAAGTTGCAATTGCAGCAGGTATGCATTATGAAGCACATACTTAATTTCCAATAATTATAAGCAATTGGTCTATCAGGTAGAAGCTGCTTTGCTAACGGACTCTGAAAACGAGGAACTCTTAAAGCTGAAAAGGGATTTAGAAGAAGTTATTGAACTCACACGCGATTTAATAAAAACACAACTAGAGGAGCAAAGAAAATCAGCGTATGTTGAACCGTCTGCTTCTAAAGCTACATATGACGAGATTGAAGCAGCTCTTTTGGAGGCTGAAAAGTTAATCACTCCAGGGAAAACTTGGAATATAGGTGACAAATGCCAAGCTAAGTGGACAGAAGATGGTCAATTTTACGATGCCACAATAGAAGGAATAACTGAAGATGGCGAAGTAAGTGTAATTTTTGATGCTTATCAAAATCGATCTACCACAAACCTAAAGGAATTACGTGAAAGGACAGCGCGAAATGAAGTATTCCCCTCACATAAACGACATAGGCCTAATCAGAAGGAGTACCTGAAAAAAAGAAAACAAAAAAAATTGCAGCGGTTCAAGGAATTAGAAGAAGAACGCGAAATGGACAAAAACAAATGGCTTAACTTTACAACTAAGAACGCAAAACGGCCTGGAATGCAGTCAAAGAGCATCTTTGCATCTCCAGATAATGTATCCGGTCGCGTTGGAATTGGAACCTGTGGTGTCTCTGGCAAAGGAATGACAGATTATACTATGGGGGAAAAATACCGGAAGGGGCTGTAGTTGTAACGTTTATAATTTGAAATTTGCACTGCCAGGGCGAATTTTTGGAATGCATCAACATGGTATCTTCAAGTCTTGTTCAATTTCTTGTTAAACTAAGTATGTAATATATAAATAAGTGATTTGAATACATATTGTTTTTTTCAATATTTGAAGGAAATAGGCGGACAATTCACAAAATTATGGAAAATTTATATTATAGCAATCAATCCGTTGAAACATCATAAGCTTTTCTGTCCATTGCAGTCCAGACTGGATTTGAGAATAATGCATATATCTTAATATAGAGAGAGAGGTTATTGTCGTTTGATAGCTTTTTATAACAATTGGTGCGAAGTAATTTAAAAATTGATCTAAAATTTCAGGTATTCTACATTCAGAACCATAATCCAAAATATGAAATTGCCTGACATTAAGTGGATTAATTCGGCAATGAAACATTAGTTCTTTAGAAGAGTAAAGAAAATAATATGTTATCAAGTTCAATATATTATTGTAATAGCTCTGTAAATTACTCTTTGATAAGTGCAAACCAGTTAAATGATTGTATTGATACAAAGTCAAGAAGCATGTTAATCAGGAGGAGGGAAATTGCTATAAGACTTCATATGTATAAAAGTACTTTCCATATATACCAAATTGTATATATATTCCCTATCCCTAAATTTGTAGGCAGTTATTATAAATATTTTAGTAAATAACCGCAAATTTATGCAACATTTAAAATTAAATAATTATTATATTTTCATTTTCCTAAATTAACGTGGTTTTTCTATTTTCGCTCTAGTTGGAACATGACTTTTAAAATAGTGAAGTCTATTTAAAATTTGAAATTGAAATGATAACTACATAAAACCGAAAAAATGACATAGGCATCGCAATATAGATTCGAACTGTAGTTGGCGTAAAAACCACGCCATGTAAAATTTTCTTGATTAAGCTAACGACAAATTCTCTAGTTAACGATATTCTTCGAGCAAGTTGTTGCGTTGGCGGAAAAAAAATGTTGTTCTTGATGATTTTCCTTCACGCAAGACATATATTGCCTAAGCTTAATACAATTCTACTTGAGTTTAACTTACTTGGACAGCGTCTTGTACTGATCGTATAAATTGCCTGATTGGCCAACGGAAATGCGCTTTTGAACTATATCTTGGTTGTCACGAGCTGCCTTTAAAGTTTGGAGGGATAATGATGTATTGCCCGACTTCTCATGAACGCGAGCTAATAATAGCAGTTGTTTAGTCCTAAGCTGCAGTCCATCAATATCCAGGAAGTCACTTTGTAAAATTAATTTGGGAAAATTAAATTTCGTTAGTAATACATTAAAAAAAAAAGAAGAAATTTGCCGTTTTAAAAAACTTCAATGTACTCTTGTAAAGATAATAACCACGCCCCCTCTATGATCTCATTTTAGAAAGATTTCTGTTTCTCTTCTGGGATGTGTTATCAATTATCAAACTATTCATTAGGAAACAATTAAAAATTACGTACGCATGAGAAGCATCTTCGTTTTCCTCTAACGTCATCTGTGCATTTTTAAATTGTTTTAATTTTAAATAGAGTTCAGCTAAATTGAGCTTCAGCCCTGTATGGTTTTCAGTGCAAAGCGCTTGTTGATAGAAAGCGATTGCTTTATTATATTGATGACTTTTTACATAAGCCCGTCCAAGCTTGCCAGCTAGATGAGTATCATGTGGACGGAGATTAAAGGCTTTTTGATAAGCCTCGATTGCCAAATCTGGCTCTGAAAGAATATAAATTTGATTTGCTATTTATTAACTAAGAATTCATTTTCATTGTTCAAAATTTACCTTGGATAGACATATACGCTTCGCCGAGCATAACGTAACTTTCAGATTCAGGAGACGTCTCAACTATTTCTGTAAAACATGTCGCAAATGCAACCCGATCTTTTCGATGTAGTAAATATATGCTAGCTAAGTGGGTCTTCGCCTTTAAAAAATTTTAAAAATTATTAAAAATGAAGAGAAACTGTTTGGTTTGTAAACGCCAATTCTTATAGCCATCTGCCCTTCACTTCCAGCATATGGATTTTCAAATACAATCATAGAAAATTCAAAAAATTGTACAAAATGCACAAAACAGACGACATTCATGCCAATGAAAAGTTTGAGGCAACTGACACAGCCTTGCTCTTACAAGACCTTTCATGTCTCGATAAGGTCTCGATATGGTTTACATTTGTTAAACGTACCAGATGCAAGTGCAAAATAAAATACGATGGATTTGGTACTGACATCCTTCAACTAAAATTATTACCACAATTTATGTATAAACGAAAATTTTTGAATGTAGCGCGTTTTCCATGACTCAGACCTCTGCACTAACTTGAAAAGAAATTTGCATGGGACTTAGCTGAAACCAAAAGAGTTTTACCTGCACATAATACGATTCTCCAGGTTTAATGGCAGCCAAGAGCTCGATCGCCTTGTTGACATTGGAATTCTGGAGCACAAGTTCTGCTTGAGCTATTTTTAAGCGACCTTCTTCGGAAGTGTCTTTAAACTTCTCTAAGGCGCACTCTAACAATCGTTCGCTTTCAAACATTTCCTGTATACCGCCCATGTCTCTGAGGGTTCCTATCAGCTCTAAATAAAGTGTCACCTCGTCGGATGTAGAGAAACCATTTAGTACTTCAGTACGCTTAATAGAAGAATTTTTAGAATCTTGGACTGGGTCCTCATGCAATAAATGCAAAGCCGCATTAAAACTTTTCTGCGCATCTTTGTATTGTTGTTGTTGACGATAGGCAATTCCTAAAAGTAAATTATAGAGAGGATTTTCTCGCATTAAGAAGTTATATGAGAGCGATAGCTCCAAGGACTGCATAGCTTTAGAATACTGTTGTTGTTGCATTTGAACTTGGGCCAGTAAAAGATAAGCGCTCGTATACGTTGCGTCGATATTGTTTAAAATATGTTGTAGTCTCGATGACGCCATTTGCAATTCACCGCAGAGAAAATGCACTTTTGATCTCTTGAAAAGAGCTTGAACATGGGAAGGACACCAGTGAAGAATCTTGTCCAAAATAGCTATGCAATGTTTAAGGGATACGTGCGAAGATTCTTGTACCACATGTAAACCCTGTTTAAGGCGCACTTGCACTGGAGAGTTTCTCAAAAATTCGGTAACTATCTGAAGAAGAAACTCAGGATCCAATTTATGAAGATACTCTAGGCCAAATAAGTGACCTTCCAATCCAACTAATTTCAATTTTGTCGCTTCAGCGAGCAATGTAACGGCAATGTCATTATTGGGCGCTAATTTTGCTTGTAGTAATAACAGCAGAGGTTTATCTTTACTCGGACGCAAGTCACTTAAAAATTCAACTTGCTGTCGTGTTTGCTCCGTCACACCTTGTTCAAAAAGTTGACACAATGTCAAGCCACAGAGTGCATGAAAGCTAGTATTGTCAATTGCCGTCGCTGTTCGGAAATATCCAACTGCCATTTTAATATTTCCTAATAATATTTGCTGATACCCTAACTCGGTTATCAGTTCGACAGAGCTTGTGTTCAGTTGCGTCTGCTTTTCGATAAAACGTGCCGTCAAGGTAAGTAGATCAACGTTTCGGGAGCAAATTCGGGAAAATAATTGACAAATTCGAAGCAAAAGAGTCCAGTTGCCTTGCTCGATGCGCTCAGTGGCCACAAGTAGTTGTTGCAGTGTTGAAATCCCGCCTTTGATGTTTCCCTCGCGAACTACTAATAAAACTGCTGTTACGCGTAAAGCTGATATATTTGTGGGCTCTAAATTAATGACGCGTAACGATGTCTCGTAAGTTTGATCCCAATAAGATGCAGACAATTGTATCTCTGCTTTTACTACTAAAGGTATATTTATGTCGGGATACCACACGGATAGCTTGTTTAATGAATTAATCGCATTCTCGAACTGACCGGACAACTGGTAATGTCTCGCCAGAGCAAGGGCCGCATCTATATTTTTATTCTCAGCCAGCACATCTTCAAGCATATTGCCCACATTCCCATTTAAAGCCTTTTGGCTTGTGCTTAAGTCAATCCAAATTTTTAATATGACGCTAGATATGTGGTGCGCGTCAAGCTTTAGCGATTTTTCAACATATTCTCGAGATTTTTCAAATTTCTTGATGAAGAATAAAAAAACAGCCGCATTGTAGGAAGCGTTAGCACTTTCAAATATGTGCTCTTCTTTTAGACGTTGTTCAAAAGATGTTACAGACTCTCGATCGATTACGTGACATCTTTTATGCGCGTACAGTAAAGCTATTATCGAACAAATTCCAAGTTCGGGATCATTTTTAAGTGGATTCAATTCTCGAATGCCTTCCTGCAAGTGATTGCTCAGCACTAATGCAATGCCGTTGAAAAGTCTGAACGCGGAATGGTGAGGGAATTTTGATAATCCATCTAACGCCGCCTTTTGCATGGTATAAAAAAACTCGGATCGTCCATAATACAAAATGACGCTTTCAATGTCTTGAATATCCATAACGCATACTATGTTAACCAAGCGATATTATTCACTGTCGCATTAAAAATAGAAACAAAATTACACAATTTAGATGGAGAAGAACTATATAAAATTTTCAGAATAATAGAAAGTAGGAAACTAAAGAAAAAGAATACAAATTATATCGTATTCTCTTGATATCGAAATCTGAACAGAAGAGCCGTCTAAATGCTCTGAGAGACATAAACTATTGCAATAAATTGAGTAAAGGAAAGACACATGGCCCATACTGACTGAACTTTAACGACCTCAACTTTACACCAATCTGTAGCGTCAAAATGTTAAATCATAGCGGAGGGATATTTGCAACAATTCCAAGTTGATATGTGTTTTATTCTAGAATCTTACATGCTTGGAAAATTGAATTTATATCATGAACACATTTGGATTCTAGACATATCGCGCATATGGCAAATTCCAACAACAGACAACAAAGAACTAAACTCATAGGCAGATATAGTCGCAGCGCAGCTAAGCTAACCCACATGTTTTGTTTATCACAAGTTGTCCGGTATATAAGGATGGCAAAGCAAACATATCTTTGCATTAGTAAAAAGAAACAAAAACACAGTCATCCGACAAACAAGCAATAACTTGTAAAAAAAACTATTAATCCCCTAATTTAAAATTTATTGACTCGGTTTTTGCAAGTTAACACACCGAAAACTTTCGTTACCAATTGTGTCTGCCTTGCTTGGTGTCTCAATATGTCTCATGTGCCATTTCATTTAGTAGATTCCACAAGATGCAGTAGATCCAAAGCTTGGAAAATCATTAATCCTTTCACTATTGCGCAAGTCAACCATCCAAGCTTGCAATAACTGTGCACAAGAACAACGTGATATCTCTTTATCTTTCCAAATATTCACATAAATATATAAACTCCCAAGCAATTCTTAAAATAATCAGCTGATCCAAGACGGAGTTTAATGTGTACTTTATATACCAGATGCCTGACAAACAACCGAAACGAGAAAGTACTTGGAGAATTACTAGCTGCGAAGCAAAGAATGCTTACTCAAACGAGTTTCAAGTTTCTGTGTGTTTGTTGTAACCATAGAAACTGCGGCACCAACTTTGCAGCAACAACCTAATAGAAATAGTAAGAAAATTATTTCGGCTGCGACCGAACTGTTTTAACCTAACTCTTCTAACGGAAAAAAAACTACGTTTTGATACTCTGTAGCAGCGGAAGGGCATTCTTCCGGTTTTGTAAACAATGCGCGGGAATTTTAATTGTGTACATTTTGTCGACCGAACAGTTAATTTTTAACTGATCGTTTAACGTTTTCTCTTTCACGCTCCTCACTGCCTGCAGTGATGCTCATCTTAAGGAACTAACTTGTATCATTGCAGATGCAAATAATTGTGATACCCTGCACCACTATACCACTTGCGTAGATACAATACGCAATACGCTTGCGGAACTTGAGATAGACCCATCTATTAATTTGATTTAATTTAAATTTGTCTGTCCCCCTTTTTGTCCTATTTTCTTGTGCTCCACCTGCAGTCCGTAAATTTTGAGATATGTTGATGGAGTCTAGGGCATTTACCTGTTTTGGTGCAAGAACGAATGCTGATATTCATTCGAATCGGATCATTTTCTGGATCGCTTTCGTTATAATGCGTGATTTGGAAAAAAATGGTACTTAATGTTACGCCCTGACCCACTATGGTGTTTTCACAAGCTACGTAGCCGAAACATGAAACCATATAGAGCCATAATTCGAATAGAAATTTATTTCAAGTGTTTGGATTTTCGTTGATTGATTTTTAAAAACACGTTTAGGGAACTTTGACACTTTTTTCTGAAATTACAAAATGTAGTGAGTTAGATCAATATTTTCGGTTTTTTAAATACAAACAAAACCAATAAACAAAATTATTGTGAAATTATTCAAAATTACTTCGTATTGCACGTAGAATGGGCGCACCAGTATCACAGACACAAGACGATGTACGCGTCTTCATTGGGGTTATTGGTGACGAAGTAAGTCTATGATGGAAATGATATGAGTAATAACGGTTTCGTAAAATTTTTCCTGTCCAGGACACAACGCTTGGATTCCTCCTCGCAGGTATCGGCGAAACTAAAATACTTCCCACTAAGAATTATATGATGGTCACCAATGGTTAGTAGCCACAAAAAATGCTAATAGAATCCGACCTTAAATAACTTATCACAAGAATTAACTCTGATTGGTTCTTTATATATATATATATTTCATATAATCAAATTCAATTTCATCACACAAACAGACGATCAAAGTGTCCCACTCTAAACTGACCCAACCTTTCAATGTGTATACATAAACCCGAAATCGAATACACATTTTGACACTGAACATAAAGAACATAAAAAGCACAACTCAGCAAGAATTATACTCAAGCTTAAAAGATGTCCACTCGTAAAATAAGAGCGTAAGCCCGCGAAACCGCACTAAGAGTTTTCACCAGAAATGACGAGATCAATGCCTTTATTCATAATGATCAGGAATTTTGATGGTTTAGTCGAAGTATATATCTTTGTATAATATATGAAATGCTGAATAGCTTGTCCGTAATGGGCAGATGACGATTGCCCAAACGGGTCAGTATATTTTGCACGCTGATATATGCCTATAAACTCGAAGAAGAGGTTTCCGCTATCTATCTCGAATCTATTCCGAATGTGTGTAAACAAATCGCACATAAAAATCGACAGAATAGAGAATAAAAAGAATAGATAGAATAGAATAGAATCTAGGATGTTCTGTTCCTAAAAAAAGAACAAATAAATATAACACACATATATAGGAGAAAATTGTATTTTCAGGATTTTTTTTGCATGTTCTTTAAATTGTCTCGCTTGTGAAAATTTTTAATTTTGATTTTTCCTCGTTTAATACATTTTTACTCAGACAACAGCGTCACCGATGTTGAGAAGTTCTTCGTCACATTATATCAAAATTCTAATATTGGCATTATATTAGTTGCTTCAGACATATGGCATTATTTGCTGCCGGCTTACAATGGTATGATAAAAAGAAAACTTCCGATTATTTTGGAAGTTCCTATGAAATGTACAATGACAACCCCTTTGAAGCTAAAAGAGCGCGAAGTGGTCAAAAGAAAAACGGAGATTGAAGCCAAACCTTAGTGTAAAAGCAAATAAGTGCAAGATATGCCGCTTCACTCGAAGAACAAAATCGACGAAAATTTATGAAAGCTTACGAAATTAAAAATTATATTAATTAATCACTACCTAGAATTATTGAAGTTATCTAGATATGAGAAAGTGATTCACATTGATCCGGTTTTTTGTACTTTTACTTGCCTAAGAAAGCAGCGTTTGGCTATTTATGCTTATGAAGCATAATCGTGAACATAAGAAGCGATTCCCTTTCTCTTATTTGAAAAGATTATAGCAAATCATCAGTATTTTCGTGATTACACTTTTATACTTTTATTCTTTTGTTCCTTTTTTACTTAACAATTACATAAATATTCTTAACTATTTAGCTTAATTTTTAATATCTATATCGTTTCGAAGTATATCCAATTTTAGTAATCATGCAGCTTATATATTATAATGTTAACTTTTACTTCACAATGTATTCCTCCTTGAAACATATAATAATATTGCATTAGATATACATACACGCTCTCTCGTCATGTGCCTGCGAAGCAATTCCGCCATCTCGAAAATCAATTTTCTTGATTGGTAGCATTTTTTATTAGGACATCGGGACACGTATGTGTATTTTAAAATGGAATTAATGATGAGCGGTTAAACGTTGCTAATTTCTATAGTCTTTAAAGAGACAATGCCTTAATTGTACCAACAGCTAAAACGTTTGCGCTTAGAAAGCGGCAAATGTAAAAAAGTGATTGTGGCAGGATCGTATAAACCAAAGAAAGTGATAGATAAGAGAGCTCTGTGAAGCTGCACCAACTAAAGCCGAGAATACATTAAACGACGTAGTCTCGAACACAAGCTACTTTCAAGACAATCGATTCTTTAACTCATATACGGATTGTGCAAAGCCTTTACCCGACTATCTCTAAAATGAAATTTGCTCAACTTTGAGGGATAACTTGGGAAAAAGGCCCATTTTTCGTAATTGGGAATACCATTGTCAAAACCAAATCTGATTAAAAACATATATATTTTTCAAACAGTCTCTGATACATATTTCAATGATTCGCAAACATTAGCAATTCAATGCTGGATACAAAGAATAACATATAACATGGATGGCTAATGTGAAATTCGAACAAACACGTAAAAGAGTGGGTACAACTTAATTGGCTCGGGATCTTAGGCTGATGACGAAATCTGGATTACATTTTGAGATGTTGCAAAGACAAAAACGAACACAAAACGAAATTATTTTTCTAATGTTTCTCTTGTATGCGTTAAAAAAAAATATTTATGGGAAACTAAATTAGGATTGGAAATTTTGATATGTCAGTGAACTGCTATTGCGGTGGCCGGCATCGTCCCGCCGATGTTCCTGAAAAATCTATATCCTTTTGCTCAATAATTGGAATGCGATCATCATATAGAGTTGGCGCTTGCAGAATGATACCTGCAGTACCAGCTAAGACAGCTAGAGTAAAAATCCAAAGAAAAAGACGATCCAAAACCATTGCTACGTATTTCCAATCCTCTTTAACCTTTGCATTCAAAAAAAGGAATTCATTGTTCAAATATTATTAAACAAAAAGCTTGCATACTTTGGTGGAGTCTTCTTGCATTTTAGTATGCTCAGCAATAAACTGTGCGCAAAAACAAGTGCGGTGTAATCTTGGTGGGCATTTTGTGTGTGAAAATACCGGATTACTCAAAATCGGGCTTTTAATTCCGGACAAGCCCGCATCGATGTCAGGAACAACCGTTAATTCATCTGATTCGGATTGCGTAAGCGGTGGTATGGGCCCATGTATTTGACAGCTTCCACCAAAGGGCCCTGTTCCGGATAAGCTGAATAGATATTTAAAAATTTAAAAAACAATTTTATTTGACTTTAAATATTTTTTCAATAACAAAAACTATAAACGTTAATAAGGATGTTTACAAACATAAGATGCCGGAAAAATAATGTTATCCCTAATCTTACCACGAGACGCCTAAGTTACTCTTCGATTTTGAAGTCACTTCCAACAAGTACTTGTAAATTCGGAGTTAGTCGTGATATCACATTTTGATAAAATATTTGTCATTATACCGACGGCGTTGGGAGAACGGAGGACCGAATAGAGCGCAAAAATTTGAAACAGAGATGCGTTAAGGGACTGTCTGCACCATTTTAGAATAGTAACCGCTGTGTCGCATTTGATAATTTCCTTACGAGCTCTGAACTGAACCAAAATTTATGCAGAACCCGCATCAACAAATGAATGTTTTCTTATCGTTGGAAGGCTTTTTTATGTTTATATAATTCGAAATCAAAAAATATACGGCCTGTGTATAATATTTTATGTTCATAAATAGTCTGTTTAAATAATAATATTTTTCATTATTCCCATGATTCTCTTAAATGACTAAAAGTCACGTTGAGGTATGATTGTAAAAATTATGGGAAGATTACGGTTAATTATCTGTCTTTGTACGATCGAAATTATTGACGGAATGAGCAAAAAAAAGGAGCGATTTTACTTTAACTGCGTTCCGAAATTTTTTTCATTTACAAAAATCTCCTCTTGCTCGTATCAATTTGGCGCAAAGTTAATGGCGAATAAACGAATGAAATAAAAGCTTTTTTACGTATGCGTTATAGGGCAAAGTGGATACTGTACCTAGTTTCGAAGTTGTACTTGGGTCTTCTTATAAATAAAAATTTTGGCAGGTAGTCTATAAAAACATTTTTTACCCAGGGAGCCATTCGATGAGTTTGCGGCGAACGAAAATGCACATTTAATACGACAACAGTTACGCATATACTGTAAATAAACCCAAAAATAAATTCTTATTATTGTTTGGATAAAATATTGTCTATGCCCACCTTATGGAAACGAGAATCATTGCGAATATCAAATATTTCCCCAGTAATGGCACGACTAGCGATGTGGGCGGTATAATTTCAACCACTAATAGAAAAAACACATGGAGACTAATGAGAATCGAAATCGATAGCGTAACCTGTTAATAATTAACAGATACTTGATATTAAAAAACACATAATTTTTTGTAACGCTTCATTTAGTTGTTACCTTTTCACCGCTATCTGATGGCAAATAAAACGTTAACACTGTTAGAAAAGAAATTCCCATACATGGAATTATAATGTTGACCGTATAGAATAAAGTTTTACGGCGCATTGTTATATTAAACGTAATATCTAAATAGGGCTCATCGCAGCAAGTGTAGAACTTTTCATTTCTGAAATATACTCAATTAATTTGTAATCTGCATCCACCGAAAGTTAGCTCAAGTTTTCTGCGCAAAGATATTAGTTTGCAGTAGCTCCTTACACTTTCAAGCTTGCAATCACTTAAGAAATTAATTAATTAAAATTAAAAAGTTACACTTTTACAATTTTTTATCCTACATCACTTGCGGCAAGGGCACATCCAATTTCTGCGAACGTATACAGTCTTAATCTTTCCATGTTTTTAGGTCAAACTATTATTTTGGTGAAATTTTCATAGTACAATAATAATAATTAACTGACTGGTGCGTTACAACACAAGCCACAGGACAACTTCAATACATCTTCACCACGAGTGATGTCATTTGTAACAAAAGTCCAAAAACTGAGGCAAATTTTTCAAACACTAAGTGGAACTACCTGTGTATGTTCAGTTATATCAGATTTTACACTTTAAGAAAGTGCAAGCAAGTGAGTATTCTCAATAACGACGTTAGGGCAGGGATTTTGAATGGTTTTGCCAAATTAGAGGGCGATGAGTCCATTTTTGCGACCAGGAGTAACAACAGACATTACATGGACGAACAGGCGGACTTGCTTAACTCGATTCAAAATTTTATGGTGACCAAAAATATGTATAGTTGGGGGCCTCTAGAGCTTCCTTCAAATCAAATCATAAGAATTTGATGGATCGGACTACAGCAAATTGGACCTGCATTTTTAAGCAACTTTCAGCGGCAGCCTAGAAGAATGTGTTAGCATTCGCTTGCTTCTCCAAATGAATAGAGAAGAGTTTCTATCTGGCGCCTGCAAAATGCTACGCATATAAAAGCAAGAGCTCAGCCTCTTGCTGCCTGGCCTGGCAAAATAACGTAAGCGTGGAGCAAATAGATCAGTGAATCTAATACTCAACTTATTACTATGCAGAACTGATTTAAGCAATCAAGGAAGAAAGTATACGTGCATCCGTGAATTAAAAGAACAACGAAAGTGCAACGAAGCGTTTATTAAAGAAAGCGTTGAAATCTATATAAAAACAAAGGAAAGTAAAAGCAAAACGTATGAGTACGTGTTGGATAAAAGCCTACACAGACTGACTTGAATTTATGACACAAGCAACCCTTTGCCAATTGTGAAAACAAGACGGGAAAGTAACATCATTGCCGGCAATTTCAACGACATGTTCGAAGATTGTGTTCTTCGTAAACTTCTTTTAGAGTTTTTTTTTTAAATTTCATGAAAATGAATGCCACTGATTGATATAAATTTGATAATATCTTTATTTACGTTTACGATTTATTTACGATACGTCATCAATTCAATTTTGTGTTTAGCCATTAAATCGCTAACTAAAACTGTGATTGCTTTGTGTTTATCCGTCTCGACCTTTAACAGGGAAAGCGTAAATCAATACAGTTACGATATTGAGCACGGGAAACAAACAAGGAAAATACATGCATTAACATGAAATTTTAAATTAAAAAATAAAGCTGGGATATTAATGGGATTACGACGTACATTCACTTACGCTCTTGACTCGAGCTTTTTATTTATTTATTGTTTTTGCTTAAGAAAACTGAAATACCTAGTACCGTCAATAATTTGCTTCACATGTATATTACAACTAACCTGACAGCCGGCACCTCCAGTATGTCCCATTCAACAGACATGTAGAACTCGGAAAGATCTACACCAACATCAACTATATTGCTACCTTGTTGTTCATCCATATGCCTCAAGTCGACCTTTGTTTAAAATTGATGCGCAAAAATCGTAGGCAAAAGTAAATATATATACATATACATAAGTTTCAATTGATTGTCGAACAAGACTTATATGCAATACATATGCACTGTTCACATGCATTCGCAGTGAGTACATATGAATGGTTTTTATTTATGCATCTAAGAATAAAATGCGTAAAGTAAGTAAAGATAGACATATAGAAGAATACAGTTATGACAATATATGTTTATAATTAATAGCGTATAAAATGAAAGCAAGGAAGGACATGCATATGTATATGTTTTTGTTTTTTTTCTTTCTTTTTTTTTTTTTTTTTTTTAATTTCAGGTCGTACATATTTTTAACATAACAATTTTAGGAGAAGGATGAAAGTAAACAGAAAGAGTTCTAGATATAATAAAGTAAACAAAAATGAGTAGAAAAAAATTAAAATTAATTTTTCACACAATAAAAGCGAGCCGAGGCATAAAATACACCGAATTGATCTCATTAAGTGCAGCATACATTTTCTTGAGATTTTCAATTGCATTTTACGCAAAGGCATATTGACGCATATATGTATGTGTACCAAATTGCATCCATATTGATTTATGACGTGTATATATACAAACATACATACATACATATATATATATATATATATATATATATTTACGTGTATATATGCATCTACTGCATACTTCAATACTGATTCGGTTAAGCAAATATTTTAACAAACCAACGGAAATGCAAGCAATGTAATGTAATCATGCAGATAAAATACGTTTTGAGGGTCAGAAATGATAATAACGACTTATATTTAATCTTAATTTAGTTTGGTTTTTAATTATGTAGAATCGAGAGTGTGCCAATTATTCTGTCAAAAATGTTTATTAGATCAACTTTTCAAAATTTGCTGTGCATAGGTACTTTTTCTCATTAAACTAAAGATATGTATGCATGTACAATATTAACGTTTTGCAAAATTCACCTTTTACTCCTTTTTCCGCTGGGACAGTCAGTTAAGTTCTCGAAAGAACGTTACTACAAAATTTATCTAAATATCACTTTTTAACATAACTTAATAAATATTAAAGACGCTTATCTTCTGTAAGCCTTGATTGACAGATTAGTTTTGAGTATTAAATACTTTGAGAACTTATTACGAAGACTTGCTAACTACAGTTAGTCAGTAAATTACATTTTTGAAGACTATCTTCTTTTCGTGCGCCAAATAATCGGCTTAAAAAAGAAAATCTCGCTGAATACGAAATCCGAGAAGCAAGGACACATGGCGCTGCTTGTAACTCACATAATCGGTCGATATTGTTCCTGCATATTTTGGTCTTCCTTTCTTATTCGCCATTACGATGATCATCTCCGATACGAAACATTGTCAACAAACGTTAATAGCAACTTGCAGTTGCTATCAATTAATTGTACTTCATAAAAAATTTACAACCCGGAAATAAATGGAGCCAACAAAAGATAACAAAGAAAAAATGGCAACGATAAGGCATTCTCATTAACGTAAGCGACCAAACACAGAGTAAATAAATAATAGGGCTTATAATTCATAGCAATAAGACAGAGTAATTAAACTGGTCAACAGCAATTGAGGATAAGTATTCGGCTAGCGAAGAAGTAACAAAGGAACGAATCTATACGCGTAGATTTTGAAATTCTTTGAACGAGAGTCTTCTCTTCAGATGTGTGCGGTCTTATCTTCTATGCTTTTCTTCCCATACAAATTTAGCTTTATATTTGTAGGCGCGAAATTTGCAGAAGGGATTTGAGTTCTTATCTACTAAGCGACTAAGCGAATAAACCTGAGAATTAAATTTCTGCTCCAAGACTCTCTATTACTTTCTATCCACTTTCGCCATGAACACTAAGACGTGAACTTTTTTGCAATATGGAGGGTTATCTTTCGTGAGAAGGCTAATATTCGATAAGGTCCAAAAAATAGATCTGCGCGATTGATATATGGTGTAATTAATTAATTATTATGGATCAATTTTCATCATGAAATACAGAAAACGAGGCCATTTTGCCATATAAAGGGTTACTGGATGTAGTTACATTGATGTGGGAGGAGGTTAAAAAAACTGGTCCATCCAATCGAGCGAATCTCAGCGATTTTTGAACTCAAAGGCATCGGTGTACGAAATTTCGTTAAAATCTCAAAAATTGCGACTTATAGGTTGAACCCAAAAATAGAGGAACAGACGGACACACACCCTTAATTTGATTCACACATCCGCGTTGAGTATGAAGACGTTAGCGAAAAGAACGAACAAAAGCGTAGAAACGTGACCTCGTGCCTGTATATGTTAAATGAAATTAAGTTTCGATGTTCCATAATAATACTGGATGGGTTTTCCATCTTTGCCGATAGAATATACGCGAAGGTGTTTATACTTGCATCCATTGTAACTTATGTGTGATGAGCGAGAAAACAAAAATGTTTTCAGTTTATATTGCATATTGTGGGGGTGTCGTTTGACCGATTTGGCTCGTTTTATGCGCAAACCAGTATTCAAAACCCTCCACTAATTAAGAATATATAGAGTTTACTGCACCTGCGACGATTTCTTCTGGGTGTTGCAAACATCTGAGCAAAACGAAGACTAATGTAATTATATTTGATAAATTTATTTTGGATGACCTCTGTGAAAATCATGAAAAAGCTAAAGTAAACTTCAGAGAGTTCGATTGATAAAATATGATTTACATAAATACTATATGGCGTTAACCGGAGACACAGAATCAAATCTGTTCGTGTTGATAAGACTTGAAATTTGAGGTATAACAGGCGTGATAGTAGATAAATTGTGTTGTTAGCAGAAAATGATCAATATATTGAGTGCACTTTTCTTTTGCCAACCTCTCTTGAAAGATGGTGAGCACATTCTTGTGCGTCTTCTTCGTATAATCATTACTTTTGCATTATTTTTCAAGATCATATGTTAAGCAACGAAAACAATTTCAATTCTTTATTTTCTTATATACAACTCTAGACTAGTATAGCCTAATAAATCCTGCTTTGTTGGCTGGATTTCGTTTGCAAAAAATACAACAACAGAGCTTTATTTGTTTGTTGTTTGATACCTACTATCTTAATATTAGCATTTTTTTCTTTTCTGCTATTTTTGTTAATTGGAAGATGACGTTATCTGACCTATAGATGTTTACTTTACACTTAACTTTCGGTAGTCATTGTCTGCCCGCCTGTCTTCGTTCAAACTGCAAGTAGCATGTTTTCAGGTAATTTGACGGAATTTGGCACACGTTCGGAACGTTACTGGATGGGATAATTTTTACGACCACTTAACACATGCTACGAGAAATATGCTGAGTATTCAAGCATATTAAATTAACGTGACAAGTTTGAATCGGATGGACAAAATTTTAAACACTACCATATTGCGTAGGTCTATTTTTGGACCCCGCCTCATATAACGACTTTCATTATAAATACGCCGTTAGTTAGCCGAAAAGTTAGTGCTTTGTGTTGAGAAGAGATGACAGACAATCATATCCTTACTAAGAGAATTTATTTTGCTACATTGGAAGGACATTAGTTCACATATTAAATCCATTCCTTTACGTGGAAACAAGGCATCATTCTTGTAATTTTATTATGAAAATAAAAGGCAAGCTGTACTAGAGGAAGTGGAGTAGTGTATTTAACGATTGATCTTGCCCGACTAAAATATTTTTATTTGTTTCACATATATATATATATATATATATTGTTTGCACATCACTTATAACATAAGGATAACTTGTCTGTTAGAAAAGTGAGTAAACTTTAGCGGAAATATTCTTGAACGAACGCAGCTTTGCCCTTGCAAATATCTAATGATATGATATTCGTTATAGCAAAATATTAAATGAACTGCTGATTACATAGATAATAAAAGCATAACAACGAACAAACTCGGTGGCGCTTTTCAGATGATTTCTCGGTCAATGACTGCAAACGATGTACATATTACTGTACGGACTTATTAATAGCTTATTAATAAATTCATTTCTGAATTGAATGTTCGGCGCGAGGCAGGCTTTTCACAGCTTTGTCCCTTGGAATCCTTTGTTTGCTTTTATAATAGGTATCCAGGCCAATTTGGGTAGATTTATTTTTTAAAAAACCAATATTTGCTGAACAAATAAAGGATGTGCGGACTTAACTTGCAACTATCAAACTAATGTGTTTAGTACATTTTAGTAGTGGCGATCTAAAATTTTGAACAACATTGGGACGACATTTTTCAGGACAGGACAATATTCTTGGTTAAACAAAAGCAACTGGCTTTTTTACATATTGGTTCGAAGTGGGGACTGCCGCAATATACGACTCTAAAAGTATATCCTACACAGGATCCACATTAAGGTTTACCTGTTGTGCTTTATTTCAATTTTTGACTCACAAATAAAAGAGAAAAAAAATAATACGTGCCTTCAACACTAAAATTAGTGTTGATGTAATGCTTATTATCATTATTTTTTACGACCGAGCAGAGTTTAAGTTATGAAATGAAGCTGTAATGGAATTAAATTTCTCTACCAACCTTTAACGCAACTTTGTAACGATATGCATTTGGCACAAATTATTGTGAAAAAAGGGGATGTCGGCCTAAAATCGTTTAAACTCATGTTTAACATTTAATGCCCGACTTAAATGGAAGTTTCTATGTTTTTGTAACAATGTTTATTATTAATTGTTTAATTTTTAGTTTTTATACACAATTTTAATTATTGGTTTAATCTTGGTTTTTACAATGATTCGGTTTAATTATCCCTTATTTCGGTTTTGTTTACATTAAATATGTTTATCTTGTTGGTATTTATTAAAATCTTTATTATTTATTATTATCACTCACTGATTTATTTTGAATATTCAATGAGCATAAAAAAGGCAATTTATTCACCACTGTGCAGGAAATAAAGTGACATGCAGTTAATTTGTGTTTCATCATGCAATGTAAAAGACAACATGCGTATAATAATATTAGTA